ACTATAATACTTACACAGATGTATTTACCAGAAATGCTTGACATAAATTATAATAACAGCAGTTCAGTATAACTATGAATGTATCTCAAAAGTCAAGTTCAATTTTGAATTTATACAAAGAACCAATCATCTACTATTGTTAGGGTGACACTCCTTTTGATCATTTATAAATATGTAATTGTATGGTGTTTGACAAATCCTGTAAATTGTAATATCCCATATATTGAGATGAATATGAAGAAGACCCAGACGATGTGCCCCATGAAATCCAGAACTATGCAGATGAGATTTATACTTAAGGCTGATTACCTCTGCCTCCTCCCTATTCTGTTACTACTCTCCCCCATCCTCCCCCAGGCAAGAACTATTACAATTAGATGTGCATTACTAACCAGAAATGCTTGAAATTAAGTATAATCAAAGAAGTTGTAATGTAAATGTATCTCAAAAGTCAACTTAGACTCTGTATTTATAGAGAATTAATCTATGATAAGGGCGACGCCCACTTTTGATCACTTGAGTAATTCTATGGTCTTTATACTTACCAATCATGCAGAATTATAATATCCTATATGAATGTGAAGAAGACCCAGAAGATGTACCCCATGAAATCCAGAACTATGTAGATGAGATTTATACTTAAGGGTGATTAGCTTTGCCCTCTTCCAATTCTGTTACCCCCCCCCCCCCCCCATCTACCCCCTCCCCAATGCAATAAGTATAACACTTACATGTACATTATTTACCAAAAATGCTTCATATTTAGTATAACCAAAGAACATCATTATAAATGTATCTCAAAAGTCAAGTAAAACTCTGTATTTTTAGAGAATGGCAATCATCTAGTATGATAAGGGCGACGCCCACTTTTGATCACTTATGTAATTGTATGGTCTTTGACACTCCCCAGTTATGTTAATTGCAATATCCTTTATATTTAAATAAATGTTTGAACTGCCCTGGTAATTTTGAAAATGCTAAAATGTTCTGATATCTGTTGATTTGAAAAATAATCCACATTCTATATTATGTACAGGTACAGGTTTTACCAAAATTAAGGATTTTCTCAGCAAAAATTGTGGTTTCCATGGCAAACATGAGTGACAGACCATTGAAAGTTTGCATACTACCTTAAAATGATCTCATCAACTCTCGATAAAATTATTATGATGATTGAAGACCAACTGAATGAATTATTCAATGATGATAATGTAACCCCTGTAATTTTCCTTTTTAGGGTCAAAAACCAAATTTTGACAACTTTCGCCCCGGATACGGCGCATCAGACAAAAAATTTCTGAAGTATCACATAAAAATACATAAGAAACAAGTAATTTCAATTTGTTCAGAAGCGGGTACATTTTTCGGTGCTACCTCACTAACTAAGTATATTTCAATTTGGGACATAGTATGTGATGTGCTGTAAGTTCATCAGTATATTAAAAAGTTCAATTTGGCGCATTATCATAGTTCAATTTTGCGCGTTATTTATGATGTTCAAAGTACATCCTTACATTGAAAGGTTAAACTTGGCTCATGAGTATGTTTCAATGGGACATAGTATGTGATGTGCTCCAAGTTCATCAGTATATTAAAAAGTTCAATTTGGCGCATTATCATAGTTCAATTTGGCGCGTTATTTATGATGTTCAAAGTACATCCTTACATTGAAAGGTTAAACTTGGCTCATGAGTATGTTTCAATTTGGGACATAGTATGTGATGTGCTATAAGTTCATCAGTATATTAAAAAGTTCAATTTGGCGCATTAGTATAGTTCAATTTGGTGCATTATTTATGATGTTCAAAGTACATCCTTACAATGAAAGGTTAAACTTGGCTCATGAGTATGTTTCAATTTGGGATATAGTATGTGATGTGATTCAAGTACATCAGTATATTAAAAAGTTCAATTTGGCGCATTAGTATCGTTCAATTTGGCGCATTATTTATGATGTTCAAAGTACATCCTTACATTGAAAGGTTAAACTTGGCTCATGAGTATGTTTCAATTTGGGACATAGTATGTGATGTGCTCAAACTTCATCAATATATTAAAAAGCTCAATTTGGCGCATTAGTGTAGTTCAATTTGGCGCATTATTTATGATGTTCAAAGTAAATCCTTACATTGAAAGGTTGAACTTGGCTCATGCGAGTATGTTTCAATTTTTGACATAGTATGTGATGTGCTCAAACTTCATCAATATATAAAAAAGCTCAATTTGGCGCATTACGGTAGTTCAATTTTGCGCATTATTTATGATGTTCAAAGTACATCCTTACATTGAAAGGTTAAACTTGGCTCATGAGTATGTTTCAATTTGGGACATAGTATGTGATGTGCTCAAACTTCATCAATATATTAAAAAGCTCAATTTGGCGCATTAGTGTAGTTCAATTTGGCGCATTATTTATGATGTTCAAAGTAAATCCTTACATTGAAAGGTTGAACTTGGCTCATGCGAGTATGTTTCAATTTTTGACATAGTATGTGATGTGCTCAAACTTCATCAATATATAAAAAAGCTCAATTTGGCGCATTACGGTAGTTCAATTTTGCGCATTATTTATGATGTTCAAAGTAAATCCTTACATTGAAAGGTTGAACTTGGCTCATGAGAGTATGTTTCAATTTTTGACATAGTATGTGATGTGCTCAAACTTCATCAATATATTAAAAAGCTCAATTTGGCGCATTAGTGTAGTTCAATTTGCCGCATTATTTATGATGTTCAAAGTACATCTTTACATTGAAAGGTTAAACTTGGCTCATGAGTATGGTTCAATTTGGGACATAGTATGTGATGTGCTCAAACTTCATCAATATATTAAAAAGCTTAATTTAGCGCATTAGTGTAGTTCAATTTTGCGCATTATTTATGATGTTCAAAGTAAATCCTTACATTGAAAGGTTGAACTTGGCTCATGAGAGTATGTTTCAATTTTGGACATAGTATGTGATGTGCTCCAAGTACATCAGTATTTTAAAAAGTTCAATTTGGCGCGTTAGTATTCATCAATTTGGCACGTTTTTTATGATGTTCAAAGTTCATCCTTACATTGAACGGTTAAACTTGGCTCATGAGTATGTTTCAATTTGGGACTTAGTATGTGATGTGCTCTCAGTTCAATAGTATATTAAAACGTTCAATTTGGCGTGTTAGCATAGTTCAATTTCGGGCATTAAGAACATCATAAATAACGCACCAAATTATACTATACTAATGCGCCGAACTGAACCTTTTAATATACTGATGAACCTACAGCACATCACATACTATATCTCAAATTGAAACATACTCATGAGCCAAGTTTAACCTTTTTAACCATTTTATTCATGAAATAGGCTAGGTGCGAGTAGAAATGATCTTGATTTACGTCATTAAATATTCAAAATTCAGTCAAAGTGATGTCATATTTGAAATCTACATGTAAAAATACATCTAAAAACATGGTTTCGAAAATTGTTTATCAACTTTGGAAATTTAATCTTTTTTAAAAATGTGACTTCTAGTTCGGGTTGATTCCCCATAGACCCCATATTACAAAATTGCAAAAAGTGAAATATCTTTTCTTGTATTGGACATATAACATTTTCCTTTACTGGACATACTTAAATTTGCATAACTATTCGATACACAAGGGCTATATGAAAATTGAACCATTAAAACAGATGTAATTTAAGTTAAAGGGAACTTTCTACTATACCCGCCATGCTATCTGACCCGAGCGAGCCACCTGGTGGTGAAACTGGTAACTACCTACTCGCATTTGCGTTATTGTAAAATATAATGTACTCTGTAATTACTGCATGCTATGTAATTGACAAATATATTGAAGTATATACATATTTTATACTTAAACTTTGTGTTTTGTTCTGTATCGTTTTGTGACACTTGTTGATAAGGTTGATCCATACTATTATATATGTTATAGATTGTACATGTAACCTAATGATTTGCATACAAAAATAAGTTTTTGTTCAGCGCAATCCCTCATCCTTCATAATTTTTAATTCCGGGGATTTTATACCGATTGCTTATTGTATTTCATACATTTGAATATTGTTTTCTTTTTAAGATTTAAAAATGCATCATCATCATCAACTTCTGCCACATAATTATACAACAATTAATTTTCCTCCAGATGGCTTCTCTCTAAACCTTGGAACCTCCTCCCTTACTAGGGGTCTAATTTGTCATAGGAAAGTCAGGATTGTCTCAATTTAAAACTGACAAAGAACAAAGATATCACGATACGCTTAACCTCATTTTAATTTTATCTACACCGAAATTGCTGCTGATTTTTGGTAAGACTAAAAACAAACTTCAAATTAATATGCGCTTATTTTACTCAAAACGGAGAGTAAATCATTTACCGATTTATATTTGAAATATACCCAAATTTTTCATTCCACTTTTTGTATTGACTTACATTTTTAAAATTCATTTAAAGTTCATTTAAAATCATACAGTTCAACATCCTAAAATTTTAAATGAGATCTCAGACATTAAGTTTGATTTAGCTTTCTTAAGTGAAATGCATGATTTTATTTGTTTACATTAGCGCTTAATTGAAAAATAAAATAGGATTAACTCCAAGCAAATTAAGGCACATCAAAGAATATATAGCCTCGCATATAAGAGGCGTATAGTTTGTTTTTGGATTACGTAATACATACTATACTCATCTTTTCTATGTACTTATATCCTACTATTCCTGGCTCTTAAGAATATTCGGAGAATAGTTCAAACGATATTTAGTATCGTAGAGAATATACAACCAATACTAAATGTTCCGCTTCTGAGGCAAGAATAGTTTGTTTCCCATACCGAATACAATATAGTGAGGACATACTGAACTATATTCACAAATAGTTTGCCACTTATACCCTACTATATTTGGCTTTTTGCACAGTGTTATGTGTGCCTTTACTTGGGGAGGTTTGGCCTCAAATGCAAATAGGTGTGTGACTGTGAATTTGTTCATTGTTTTTCAGCTTGGGAAATTCGGACTTGACTGCAAACAGGTGTGTGACTGTGATTGGGACAATGCAGAGACATGTGATCATGTGACAGGGGCATGTTTATGCAAATCAAGATGGGCTGGTAAGATCACAGTCATGTAAAAAAATATTTTTTTAAATCAGTTTTTCTAGTTTGATTCTAAGATGCTCGTTTTTCATGTAATTTTTGGATGATCTTTTTTAAAAAGAATAGTTATCCCAATAGATTTAAAATGGATTATCTAGTCCATTTTTATTATGTCACCACCAAAAGTGGTGACATATTGTTATGGTCTCCGTTTTTTTGCGACGGCGGTTGGTGGTTGGTGGTTGGCGTCCGGCGTCCGGCGTCTGGCGTCTGTAACAATTTCTTACAACTTCCTATAACTTAACAAATACTGTTTAGACTGACTTCAATTTTTTTCTAAATCATCTACATGTTCTCAGAAGTTCAAATCTGACTTTAGATTTGACATTTGACCTTCAATGACCTTCTCAAGGTCAAAAAGGTCTTTTTTCAACTTGCTTCACATTGACTAAATTTTTTTTCAAAATCATCTACATGTTCTCAGAAATTCAAATCTGACTTTAGATTTGACTTTAGATTTGACATTTGACCTTCAAATCTGACTTTAGATTTGACATTTGACCTTCAATGACCTTCTCAAGGTCAAAAAAGGTCAAAAAGGTCTGTTTTCAACTTGCTTCAAATTGACTAAATTTTTTTTTCAAAATCATCTACGTGTTCTCAGAAATTCAAATCTGACTTAAGATTTGACTTAAGATTTGACATTTGACCTTCAATGACCTTCTCAAGGTCAAAAAAGGTCAAAAAGGTCTGTTTTCAACCCTTCTTCAAATTGACTAAAAAAAATTTTCAAAATAATCTACGTGTTCTCAGAAATTCAAATCTGACTTAAGATTTGACTTAAGATTTGACATTTGACCTTCAATGACCTTCTCAAAGTCAAAAAAGGTCAAAAAGGTCTTTTTTCAACTTGCTTCAAATTGACTAAAATTTTTTTTCAAAATCATCTACATGTTCTCAGAAATTCAAATCTGACTTAAGATTTGACAACATTTGACCTTCAATGACCTTCTCAAAGTCAAAAAAGGTCAAAAAGGTCTTTTTTCAACTTGCTTCAAATTGACTAAATTTTTTTTTCAAAATCATCTACATGTTCTCAGAAATTCAAATCTGACTTTAGATTTGACATTTGACCTTCAATGACCTTCTCAAAGTCAAAAAAGGTCAAAAAGGTCTTTTTTCAACTTGCTTCAAATTGACTAAATTTTTTTTTCAAAATCATCTACATGTTCTCAGAAATTCAAATCTGACTTTAGATTTGACATTTGACCTTCAATGACCTTCTCAAAGTCAAAAAAGGTCAAAAAGGTCTTTTTTCAACTTGCTTCAAATTGACTAAATTTTTTTTTCAAAATCATCTACATGTTCTCAGAAATTCAAATCTGACTTTAGATTTGACATTTGACCTTCAATGACCTTCTCAAAGTCAAAAAAGTCAAAAAGGTATTTTTTCAACTTGCTTCAAATTGACTAAATTTTTTTTTCAAAATCATCTACATGTTCTCAGAAATTCAAATCTGACTTTAGATTTGACATTTGACCTTCAATGACCTTCTCAATGTCAAAAAAGGTCAAAAAGGTATTTTTTCATCTTGCTTCAAATTGACTAATTTTTTTTTTCAAAATCATCTAAATGTTCTCAGAAATTCAAATATGACTTTAGATTTGACATTTGACCTTCAATGACCTTCTCAAGGTCAAAAAAGGTCAAAAAGGTCTTTTTTCAACTTGCTTCAAATTGACTAATTTTTTTTTTCAAAATCATCTACATGTTCTCAGAAATTCAAATCTGACTTTAGATTTGACATTTGACCTTTAATGACCTTCTCAAGTTCAAAAAAGGTCAAAAAGGTCTGTTTTCAACTTGCTTCAAATTGACCCAAAATTTTTTTTCAAAATCATCTACATCTTTTCAGAAGTTCAAATTTGACTTTACAAGTTCTCAGAAGTTCAAATCTGACTTTAGATTTGACCTTTGACCTTCAATGACCTTCTCAAGGTCAAAAGGTATTTTCCAACTTGCTTTAAATTGACCAAATTGTTTTAGGTGGTGACATTTTGTCATGTTAATGCCTTGTTGAAAAATATTGTGGAACTTTTTTGTTAAATACAATGTACATTCATGACTAAATTCTTCAAATTTGACACTGAAAATGTGTTAACCTCTTGAATCCCAGGCTCTAAAATCAATTTTAGTGAAAAACTTCGGACAGGTGTTCTCGTCACTCTGGGTTTCAAGGTCATTTCTGAGATGACGAGAAATCTCGTTACTCCAGGTAGTCAAGAGGTTAAATACACCGCAAAGATATAAACTAATCAAAAAAACAAAAATGTTTTCAGGTTTGAGGTGTGATAGCCTGTGCCCAGTAGACAAGTGGGGGGAAAGATGTGACAAAGATTGTGACTGTAAAAATGAAGGCTCGTGTAAGGCCCATGATGGATCATGCTATTGTCAACCAGGCTGGACAGGAGAGGATTGTTCTCAAGGTAAGACATTCCCGTGTTAAAGTAGGGGAGAGAAGGGTTTGGAGGGAGGGGGAAAGATGTGACAAGAATTGTGATTATAAAAATGAAGGCTCATGTAAGGCCCATGATGGATCATGCTATTGTCAACCAGGCTGGACAGGAGATGATTGTTCTGAAGGTAAGACATTCCCGTGTTAAAGTAGGGGAGAGAAGGGTTTGGAGGGAGGGGGAAAGGTGTGACAATGTGACTGTAAGAATGAAGGCTCGTGTAAGGCCCATGATGGTTCATGCTATTGTCAACCAGGCTGGACAGGAGATGATTGTTCTCAAGGTAAGATATTCTCATGTTAAATTTGGAGAGTTGAGTTTTGTGGGGTCGGGCCCTTGTGACCTATGTAGGTAAATGATAACTTTTCTGACACGTAAAATGAAGTACCACAAGATGTATCATTTAAAACAGTTGTTTTTCACTTTTCAGGCTGTCCTGAAGGGAGATATGGCCAACACTGTGGTATGCTGTGTGACTGTATGCAGAGTTTGGTGTGTGATGTCATAGATGGAAGATGTCCCTGTCCCCCTGGCTACACCGGGGCAAACTGTGATGAAGGTAAAAATATGTCATTGGCTTATTTGCGTCTGTATCAGTGCTTTACCTTTTGAAAAATATACTCATTTATTGAATTAGGAAACATGTTTAAAATGACAGAAATGAAACTCACAATTGAACAATTAATTTAGATATAAATAAATATAAATGTTTACTTTCAGTTTGCTCAAAAGGCAGTTTTGGCATTGACTGTGCTGGAACATGTGATTGTAAGAATACTGGATGGTGCAATCACATCAATGGGGAATGCCATTGCCCACCAGGATTCCATGGCCAGGACTGCTCTAAAATATATCAATGTTTAATTTCAGTTTGTCCAAAAGGCAATTTTGGCATTGACTGTGCTGGAACATGGGATTGTAAGAATACTGGATGGTGCAATCACATCAATGGGGAATGCCATTGCCCACCAAGGATTCCATGGCCAGGACTGCTCTAAAATATATCAATGTTTAATTTCAGTTTGTCCAAAAGGCAATTTTGGCATTGACTGTGCTGGAACATGTGATTGTAAGAATACTGGATGGTGCAATCACATCAATGGGGAATGCCATTGCCCACCAGGATTTCATGGCCACGATTGCTCTAAAATATATAAATGTTTAATTTCAGTTTGTCTAAAAGGCAGTTTTGGTATTGACTGTGCAGGAACATGTGATTGTAAGAATACTGGATGGTGCAATCACATCAATGGAGAATGCCATTGCCCACCAGGGTTTCATGGCCAGGACTGCTCGGAGGCTTGCCCCGCAGGGTTCTATGGTCTAGGGTGCCAACAGGAGTGTGACTGTGAGAATGGTGCTATGTGTCAACCACATGATGGGCTATGTATCTGCAGATATGGGTATATGGGACCCACATGCTCAGAAAGTATGAACTTTATATCAGCTGTTATGAATTGTAATATGGGGAAATAGAAAAGCAAAGTTGAACAAAATTAGAAGGCAAGGAGGTAACAGATGTAAAGAATATGAAAATGTTAATTCAGAATGCACTTGCCAATATCTCTAAAAATATACATGCACATTTAATAATCCATTTTACAAGTATTAAATCTTAAAACTAAAGAGGTATCTGGAAGAGGTCATTACGAGTTCATCTATGAATATTGACTTGTCTCATCCTCTTAGAAAGATGTACATATCACTGTTCCACACCTGGATGACTCTAACTGCAGTTACATGTAGTATCATTCCAGATGGTGGCCAAAATTCTTTCGTTTTTGATAAACCAACAATTTCAGCTAAACTAAGTTGAATCTGGATTCCAAATATTTCGCCTTGGAAACTTAAAAAATTATGATTGTAAACAGTCACAAGAAAATGTTCAAACACCCGCGATATTAGAAAAATTTAAAGAAAACAGCCTTACTAAGAATGACTCTAACTAAACTGAAACTTTATTTTCTAGGTTGTCCCGATGGGATGTATGGCTCAATTTGTAGTGAAAAATGTGATTGTGTGCATGCCATGGGGTGCGACCATGTGACAGGAAAATGTTTCTGTAATTCAGGATTTGGAGGCGAGAGATGTGATAAAGGTATAGTGATGCCAAGGCCTGGTAGTGACATCTTTATTACATTTGGAAAACTCTAGTGATGACAGTTTACTAAAGGGTCAAGGTCATTGTCAATGTATGTCTACAAACATAATTTTCAGGTTTAAATGGATTACAAAATTATTGAAATAGTACAAATTAATAAAAAATGTGCAAAAAAGAACAGTTGAAGTTGAATTACAATATAAGGGGGAGGAAGGGCTCTATGAGAAATGCAATTATTAAGTTGAGGAAAAATGTTGAGATTTTGACCTGGTCCCTTAGTATAAAACATAAGGGGCATTATGACTAAAGTTGTCATTGTCATGGAGTTGCCTTAGTAACCGAGAAAAACTTTGATTGTTATATTTGTCTCCTTTAACAAAGTGAAGCATGCCTTTAACCACTGGACCTGTGAAGCTGTCTTTATTATGTAGTTTTGTGTTAAATAATTTATTGATTCAAATTCTGTATCAGTAACACAGTGACACTTATTAACTCATTTATAGATTTAGTTGACCACAGAGTTTAACAGAGGGGGTTGTCATGGTGATCAAGAAATAAGGGTAAAATACTGTATAGGGATAAAAATGGGTTAAAAATGGATCATTGGAAGGGCTTCAAAAAGCAGGGTTAAGGGTAAAGGGGTCCATAAAGTAATACAGGAAATGAGTAAAAAATGGGATTACAAAAATATTGAATTTGGGATCATTTTTCCCAAAAATACTTTTGCACGGGCTCAAAATAAAGAATTGCGGGGGTTAAACTTAAATGTAAACATGCAAAAAAAGTTTTAAAATGGGCATATAGATAGTTAGTTGATTATTTTAAAACACCTTTGACACCCCCTTCCCCTTACATATGTATTTTTAACAGTAGTTTTCAGTTGTACATTTAACAGCACCATTTGTGGCATAACCACCCTTATCTTACCATAGTTTTCCCAGCACCAGGCTGTTATGGAATTTTGTTAATTATTTAGTTTGTGCACCAATGAGCTATGGTCCTAACTGCATGTCTAAGTGCCAATGTGAACAAGATGCCACCTGCGATGTTGAAACTGGAAAATGTTTCTGCCCGTCAGGATGGACTGGCGATTTTTGTCAGACAGGTACAGAGTGGTGTTACAGTAAGACCCGTATATCCGAACACTTCTTATCCGAACACCTCTTATCTGAACACCTTCAATCTGAATGCTTTTTCAGTTCAGTTATTTTAACCTGCGACTCAAATGTTACAAACAGTCAAATGTGAAAGCTTTTTGAACAACAGGCCCGTAGCCAGGATCTGCCAAGGGGGGTTCAGTTTTCAAAAATTTCCAGAGGGGTTCCCATTTGACAATTTTGGCCCAACTATGGCTAAAATTACTTGTGAAGTGCTCAAAATGGTGAAAAACTGCATGACTTTGAAAGAAATTTTGGCAAGGGGGGGAGTTGCCCAAACCCTGTGAACCCTTTGGCTACGGGCCTGAACAACTTTGACTGATCCCAGCTGAATTTGGAAATGACAGGTTTTACTGTATGTTATGTTTGGTCTATCTCCAAATGCAGGCCTTTGATGCATTCTTGATGATGTCTTTGGGTATTGTGTGGAGAGTGACATTCCTTGTACATTGTATTTACTGTATAGTTACGTTTTTTCTTTGCTATGGCATCAAGTGAGACTCTCTTCTTCAAGAGGGGACTTGAACTTGAGATGTGTGTCTTTAGAATCTCAGATAAATGGCAAAATATAGCCTTGCCCAAGTTGGTATTTTTTTTACTTATCTGATCTTGAATTATTACCGCCTTGTACAATCCAATACATCTCCGCTGTTATTATGCTGAAATATTCAACGGTTTCGAGATTTCCATAATACCTACGCTATCAGGGGTATCGTGAAACCTTATTGATTAACAGATATACGCGAGGACACGACGTGTGACTTCAGGCTGAGTGACCAATCAAAACGTTATCAGGTTGAGCCGCATAAACAAAACAAACTTCCCATCTACGACTTGAAATTCAATGATCTGATCGAGTGTTTCATTAGAGTTACAATATATTATGTAATTAAATGTACATTGGAAGGTAAGAGTCATTAATATTAATTAAATCATACGATTCAATATGTTGATTTAAAACTGATTTCGCGACGAAAATGCACGAAGACCTAGTCCAATGTAGCGGGTCATGTTGTCATCGATCGGTGATTGAATCTCAGCCTACATGTTCAGCGATCGTTTCAATGTTTATTGTTGAAATCTTCTCACCTTTGGTTATCCGATCGATGCCCCGGCATCCACTAAACTCTCATTGATATTTATCTGATAAAATATTTGTATTTTCATGATGAATTCGTGCTCAGATTCGTGCAAGATTTGTTCGTGAAAAGTCCCGGTGGAAAGTGTACTTGTTTTTGACCGTGCATAATAATGAGCTAACGCTACAGGGCCGTCGTTGATTGGTCAAATTTTACCGACATCAACAAACTGTCGGTAAAGCAAGTGGCTTTCTCTTTGGTACAAGGCGGTCATAATAGAAATCAAGATAAGTAAAAGAGACCGACTTGGGCAAGGCTAGGCAAAATAATATGAAATAGGAATTTTAATGTGGAAACCATTGCAAAACTTCAAAACAACAGGCCATGCAATTTTTCCTACTTTTTATGAAACGCTTATAAAAGCTATAAGTGTCAAACATACATGTATGAAGGAATCTTTTAATTTTTGAACAACCCTCATATTATAGCTGTTTAGTCTTAGGATTTTTTTAGAGAACTAGACAACTAGACTATTTAGCTATGTTAATCTTACTTTACTGAATACTTGTTCTGTGCATTTCATTGTTAATATGTTTCCCCAACTGTAGAAATAACTTTTAGATACATGTATAACCCAGATGTTGTATTTCATAAAAAATTGTTTACATTGTGGTGATACAGGCGCATTATCATTATTTGTAATACGTAATCGAAAGTTTCTCAAATATATTTTGCGAATTGAGGCTAAATGGCACCCACAATAGTTTCTAATAAATAAAAATGTATCTGCTTTGCTGCTATTGTGATGATAAATAAGAAAATCCAGTTTTACTGAACAATATTAATTTAGATTTCGAAATCCAACCAATGAATTCTAGAAAAATTTATTATATTGGCTTTACCTCGAATTTGCCTCGCCTTTTTAAATTTGCCTCACCATATTTTATTAGAATGCTGCGCCTCTGACATGTAAATAAATGTTGCCATGTTTTCACCACAATGTCGAGAAATCACTTATATTGTATGTACTGTTTTATGTTTTATATGCATTACTAACCCAATGCTTGTTGACATAGCCTTGCTTTACCCCCTAGCTTGTCCCCCGGGCACATACGGCCCACAGTGTATCTATGGCTGCCAATGTAACGCAACGCAGATATGTCACTCCATATATGGATGTGTGTTTGGTAGGTTTCATTTGCATATCTGCATGTTTTGAAGTTTAAAGAGATTGACTTGTCTCCAAATATTTTACTTGTATGTTAATAGTAACATCTGGTTAATTCTTGGTTGTTTCATGTTATAGCCTATTAATGTCCTGGTTGCTGAAGTGAGGAATTCTCACTTGAATATTGGAGCCCTTGGATGTACTGTAGATTGGGTTAATTTGGCGCTACTTAATTTGGCGATTTTGCCATTTTCGGCATATTGGCGGCTATTTAATTTGGCGGATATGCAAAAAAATAAACTTACCCGCTGTTTGCGAATTACCATGTAAATGGACATGTCTGGCTATGTTCATTTTTCTTTTGAGGACCACTGGCGATATTCACCACATTTGTACATTTTTGTGAGATCATCCTTTACATTTTGCACCTCTATCGATGCTGCTACTATACCGCGCTTTTCCTTTCTAGTTTTTCCCTGAGTATTAATGAGTGACTGACCAGTTCTGAGCCAATTTATGAGAGATTTTTTCATATTTTGGAAGAAACTAAATCGGAAGTGACCTAAATACACTGGACGAAATACCCTAGATAATTCCCGGGGATTCATTCTAAATTTTTGCGAATTTTTCAACTTCGCCAAATTAAAGCGGGCGCCAAATTAACCCAATCTACAGTATATACTCGTGAATGATTCACTATTCAGTAACCGGATGCTACTATAAATATAAGGGTGTCAAATATTTGGATTCTAATCAACTTCCTTTTTTGTGAAAATGACAAAAATAAAAATTTCCTGAAGGAAGTTCATCCATTTTGTTATAATAAGACATAACGCCTTTATAACCAGGTGTGGACCAGTGATTTCAGTTGTTTGAAGTTTATTATATGCTTCAAAATGTTTGATATAATGAATGTTTCTGTAGTGCCTTTCCCTTAGTCAACATTTCATTATTCAGACTAACAGAAATTATTATTTTTCAGACCTTTTTCTTAAAATTCATGACCTTATCTTTATGGTGTCCATTTTGTCAGTTATCTGATTAACTGATTATCTGATTAACTGATTATCTGATTAACTGATTTTCTTGATTATCTGATTAACTGATTTTCCTTTAGCTAATAACTGCAGCAATAGTTATAAAATAGTGCAGTATAGTAGATAAATTGATTTATCTCATACTTGAGTGGGTTTGGGGTAGATATCACCCGGGAATATATATCATATCTGAGGAGTGGGCAGGATATATTGTATATGTTCAGCTCCAGGCCAAATGCAGACAGATTTAATATCTATCCCACTCCCTGGAATTTTTCAAAAGTTTATATAAAAAGGAATATTACGAAAATGTTAAATATAAATTGTGCTTTTACAGTATAGGCCTACATGTATCTTGTCATTTGAAAAGGGTGGAAAAGGTTATATCTACCCAAACCCACTCATATGTATGAGATACACCACTGTAGTTGAATCCTAATCTTTGCTAGTTTGCAACATACAACCTATGATATCACCAGTCTTTGCCAATATATCATAGCTTCTTTGATGTGTGGTATTGATATAGGTGGCAGTGTGTATAGAAAATATCTATTATATTGTGGGCTTGAGTACCTTCACAATACAATCGGGAAACTACCCATGTAGATACATGCACCTTCCAGACAATTGTTTCTAAAATCATTATTTTTTTATTTCAGACATCAAAGCCCTTATACAGAGCCATCTAGCGAGACAAAACCAAGAGGGCTCGTTAGAGATTGGAGCCCTAGCGGGAATTATCGTTTCTGTTCTCTTAATTCTGCTGATCTTCATGGTGCTTGCAGTGGCATTCTATTACAGACGTAAAGCTAAGAAGTTGAAAGAAGATGCGGTGCCACCTGTTTCATATAGACAGGACCCAGGTATGATTGATTTGAGGGAGATGTTGTATAGATATTTATTTACATATTTATTCACTCTTCAGGGCTTAGAACTCACAGCTGCCATTGGCAACCACTTTCTCCTGGCAATGAACTTTGACACACTGGTTGCCTTTGGGCAATGGACTAAATGCCAATATGGTAAACTGTGGCACTCGTGTTTTCAACGTCAACTGTGAACCACATCATTCTTGTTGTACTGCTCAATGAGAATTTAGATGTGTTAATTTGGATTTTGTTCGAATTTTTAAAGGGTCAACATTCTTCACACATGAAATCATTGTTCACCCTCTCCCCAAACAACATTAATTTTCACATATTTTCTCATTTGGACACCTTATTATTATTAATTTATATGTCCATCAAAATAAATTGAGGGGAAAAATATATACAGTATCATACACACGAGAGGCAGTAATTATCTCCTGTATCCTTACTATCCTATAGTGTAATGTGGATATGTATTTTCCAGGGAATAATTTTGAAAACCCGATGTATGGAGATTCCTCAGCAGGTGGCGCTAACAACAGCCCCAGCACGGAATCTGAAAGCAATGTTAATCCAGCTAACCAAAATGTTCATATAGTCCTCCTGAACAATTCACTCAAAGATAAAAATAACAGTCCTGAAAAAACGCCAAATATAGGAATATGCAAATTAGGGTCATGTGACTTAGGGACTCGTCATTCTGCTGTGGATAATTTATATGAGGTTCCAGTGGAACAACCTAGAAGATTAAGAAATATTAATGAAAAAGGTGAGCAAAATTCTTAATATTTTTGTTCAGATTAAAAACAAATGGGGTTGATGTGAGGAAATAATATGGTGACTTCCTATCACATGATATTGATGGGCATAATAATTTTTAATATTAACTAAATCTTTTCTTAATTATTTTATTTTCCTTCTCACTTCATAATGCTTTCTATATGCTTTTATATTGTGAATAGATATGTAGGGATACAAATTGATCTCCGATATGCACAAATTGTATTGGACCAAAAAAGCTTATCGAATTTTTGCGTTTTAATTCCGTTCTGACCTTATTTCAGTTCATGAAATAACTGTTTGTTTTTATTATCATACTTTTAACTTGCCTACCTTGAAAAAATTGTAGTCTAGAAAAGAACTACATTTGATCTGGCTTCTTGCTTTTCACATAGAATTAATTTACTTTGGTTTTTTAGGGCATAGATCTCGACTCATTACATATAAAAGTTGCCCAAACTTAGATTTGTTACGTGTTCAAGATTTAGAACAAACATCAAAATGGACGAAACGGGTAAATGAGTTGCTGCGGTTTGCTTGCAGACCTATCAATTGTATCCATAAAACTATTGCATTGTTTAAGAATTCCAAAACATTTTCATTTAATTGTACCCATTGTTATACCCTACATAACTCTTCACATTTCCTTTCGTTTAACGCAAATAACACTTCATTAAGCTGAAATTCATGCAGTTTCATTCTGTTTCTGAATTCAATTGTGAGATTTTCCCCAAAGAATTAACTTCAACTAACAGTATTAAAGGATCTTATTATCCCATCGAACGAAGTTCGGAGGGATATAGGGAACGATTTTGTTCATATTTTGTACACATATACCCTATGGGAGTAGAAGTTCTGCTAAAAAGCCGATTTTCAAAATGGCCGCTCATTTAAAAATGGCGGCCATTTTAGTGCCGATTTTACAGTAATTTAGGTGCAATATGTAAAACTGTGATAGCATTATGTTTTAAATGTAAAAAAAATTATATAGGACATTGATAAAGCTAGAAATGTAGAAATTAAAATAGCACATGGCAGCCATCTTGAAAAATGGCGGCCTTTACTCGTTATTTTACGATTTTTACTCAAGAAGTATTGGAGCGATTTTGTTCATATTTGGTATGTGAAAACTATAAGCATGGCTCATTGTCTAATGACACTTTTGGTAGGAGGAGGCCATTTTGAAAATTTGCCGCCATTTTGAAAAATGGTCGCCATTTTAACATATTTTACTTTAACTCAAAAAGTAGTCGAGCGATTTTGTTCATATTTGGTTTGTGAATACTATAAGCATGGCACACTGTCTAATGACATTTTTGGTAGAAGGCGGCCATTTTGAAAAATGGCCGCCATTCTAACGTATTTTACTATAACTTGAAAAGTAGTGGAGCGATTTTGTTCATATTTGGTATGTGAATAATATAAGCATGGCACACTGTCTAATGACACTTTTGGTAGAAGGCGGCCATTTTGAAAAATGGCCACCATTTTAAAGTATTTTACTGTAACTCGAAAAGTAGTGGAGCGATTTTGTTCATATTTGCCATGTGAATACTATAAAAAAAGCATATTACTTCTTCTGATGACAAAAAATGGCCGCCATTTAAACGTATTTTACTCGGCCTTTACTCGTTATTTTACGATTTTTGCTGTAACTTGAAAAGTAGTGGAGCGATTTTGTTCATATTTGGTATTCGAATACTATTAGCATGGCACACTGTCTTATGACACTTTTGGTAGAAGGCGGCCATTTTGAAAAATGGCCACCATTTTAAAGTATTTTACTATAACTCGAAAAGTAGTGGAGCGATTTTGTTCATATTTGGCATGTGAATACTATAAAAAAGCATATTACTTCTTCTGATGACAACTTTCTTATGTGTGTTATTTTATGATATTTGCTATATATTTCGTTTGTAAAAATGCCAGCTATTTCTGTTCGATGGGAATTGCTACGCTTTGGCGTTGCTGTTGTTCTGGTTTGATTCATGTGTTTTACTTGTATTTGTTAAAGGGTCTTGTTTTGATTATAAGGTAACATGCACTACCATACAAGGTCGTCCAATTGTGATTCAAAGTGTGTGTATGAATTAAACTGGGGTCCATTTCTCAAATCAGTTTAGCTTTACAGACCCACAAATCAATTCTTCAGTCAAGGATTCTAATCTGTGTCTATACACTTTTGTATTCTTTAGGGTTAGCTTTTTAAAGTGGTCATCTATGGCAGACTAAAAATGGAACCCATAACAACCTTCACATTGATTTTCAGATTAGTGAGGAAAGTTCGATTACTGTTAATTGCAATCTTTTGGATAGTATATATATCCTATATGATGTTCAGGATATTGGGATTATCCCGAGGCGAATATATTTATGATTTTAAGCAGTGAGTTTAGTTCCTTAAAATGGACCCTGGTTTATATGAGAGTCATTCCTTTCATCAATAAATACCTTCATCAAAGTGTTTTTTTATTAAATTTATATCTTAAATCTCATAATCAAAAGGGAGAATCAAAGGTAGAGAAACACTTTTCCAAGTTTTTAAGTTTTTATTTATTAATCTCCCTGTCACATACCATGGGCATAGCCAGGGATGAACTAGGCGAGCTGCCTCACCAACATTTTACAGAAATGACCCTCTTAACTTTTGCCTTGCCCAAGGTTAGATCTTTGCAACATTAATACATACAATTTCATATCATACCTATTTTCTAACATTCCAATCTAATCTCTATCTCTGATTCCACAGCCTTTAACAATGTTAAAAGCTTGTGTGAAGCATATTTAACAATGTTAAAGGCTCATCTGAAGCCAAGCATATTTAACAGTGTTAAAGGCTCATCAGAAGCATATTTAACAATGTTAAAGGCTCATCCGAAGCATATTTAACAATGTCAATGGCTCATCCGAAGCATATTTAACAATGTTAAAGGCTCATCTGACGCAAATTTAACAATGTCAAAGGCTCATCTGACGCATATTTAACAATGTTAAAGGCTCATCCGAAGCATATTTAACAATGTTAAAGGCTCATCTGACGCAAATTTAACAATGTCAAAGGCTCATCTGACGCATATTTAACAATGTTAAAGGCTCATCTGAAGCATATTTAACATTGTTAAAGGCTCATCTGAAGCATATTTAACAATGTTAAAGGCTCATCTGACACATATTTAACAATGTTAAAGGCTCATCTGACGCATATTTAACAATGTTTAAGGCTCATCTGAAGCATATTTAACAATGTTAAAGGCTCATCTGAAGCATATTTAACAATGTTAAAGGCTCATCTGAAGCCAAGCATATTTAACAATGTCAATGGCTCATCCGAAGCATATTTAACAATGTTAAAGGCTCATCTGACGCAAATTTAACAATGTCAAAGGCTCATCTGACGCATATTTAACAATGTTAAAGGCTCATCAGAAGCATATTTAACAATGTTAAAGGCTCATCCGAAGCATATTTAACAATGTTAAAGGCTCATCCGAAGCATATTTAACAATGTTAAAGGCTCATCTGACGCAAATTTAACAATGTCAAAGGCTCATCTGACGCATATTTAACAATGTTAAAGGCTCATCCGAAGCATATTTAACAATGTTAAAGGCTCATCTGACGCAAATTTAACAATGTCAAAGGCTCATCTGACGCATATTTAACAATGTTAAAGGCTCATCTGAAGCATATTTAACATTGTTAAAGGCTCATCTGAAGCATATTTAACAATGTTAAAGGCTCATCTGACACATATTTAACAATGTTAAAGGCTCATCTGACGCATATTTAACAATGTTTAAGGCTCATCTGAAGCATATTTAACAATGTTAAAGGCTCATCTGAAGCATATTTAACAATGTTAAAGGCTCATCTGAAGCCAAGCATATTTAACAATGTTAAAGGCTCATCTGAAGCATATTTAACAATGTTAAAGGTTCATCTGAAGCATATTTAACAATGTTAAAGGCTCATCTGAAGCATATTTAACAATGTTAAAGGCTCATCAGAAGCATATTTAACAATGTTAAAGGCTCATCTGAAGCATATTTAACAATGTTAAAGGCTCATCTGAAGCCAAGCATATTTAACAATGTTAAAGGCTCATCTGAAGCATATTTAACAATGTTAAAGGTTCATCTGAAGCATATTTAACAATGTTAAAGGCTCATCTGAAGCATATTTAACAATGTTAAAGGCTCATCAGAAGCATATTTAACAATGTTAAAGGCTCATCCGAAGCATATTTAACAATGTCAATGGCTCATCCGAAGCATATTTAACAATGTTAAAGGCTCATCTGACGCAAATTTAACAATGTCAAAGGCTCATCTGACGCATATTTAACAATGTTAAAGGCTCATCCGAAGCATATTTAACAATGTTAAAGGCTCATCCGAAGCATATTTAACAATGTTAAAGGCTCATCTGACTCAAATTTAACAATGTCAAAGGCTCATCTGACGCATATTTAACAATGTTAAAGGCTCATCTGAAGCATATTTAACATTGTTAAAGGCTCATCTGAAGCATATTTAACAATGTTAAAGGCTCATCTGACGCATATTTAACAATGTTTAAGGCTCATCTGAAGCATATATTTAATAATGTTAAAGGCTCATCTGAAGCATATTTATTTAACAATGTTAAAGGCTCATTTGAAGCATATTTAACAATGTTAAAGGCTCATCTGAAGCATATTTAACAATGTTAAAGGCTCATCTAAAGCATATTCTGTGTTAACCTCTTTCTGTCTTTGTCTACACTCAACAGAAGCTCATATGTTAGAGGAAGATCTTCCAACAAAACTTGCAGAGAAAGAATCTCTTTTAGTAGAAACAGGTAACCATGGTAACTGTTTCCATTGTTATGATTAGTGCTAAGTTGTAACTTGTTGCTAAGTTGTACACCCCATATATGTATGTTTGTATATGTAGGTATAGATATAGGTGATAAGCATTTCTCACAGACAATATTTAAGTTTGCATGAATTACTATAGGCTTGTAACTCAAAGTAAAAATTATTTTTCACATTTTATGTGATACATATTTTAGAAAATATAGTTCAAAATCAGAATATTGCCATTGAACTGTGTATTGAATGTTCATAAGGTATTTCCCAAATATTCGTATTGTTTGAATTACGTTTAGAATTTCATGTGGGAATTGTATTGCAATGAAATGTCACATGCTGTCTCAGGTCATGGCTTTTCTTTGCAAGGAGAGGAGGGGGGGGGCTGATAGGGGGCTAGTATGTGAATTTTCCTCAAAATATTCAGACCAAGACATAATTCTTTGAACCATCCTCACATACAAAGTATAAGGTGCTAATACGAGGGGTGCTCAATTATACATAATACAGCAAATTCTACCAGGAAGACTTGATGTATCTGAAAATAAGGATTGCTGAATGAAGTTGATTTATAATGATTTAATGCAAAATAACTGGGATTTCACCCACTAGAGATTTTAAGAATAGGCTTGCACCCACCTGAGCATCCATTTGCACCCACTTGAAAATGAGAAAAAACATGAAAAATCATGTTTTGACGAGACCAAATTGTGAAATAAGGATTTTGAATCCATTTGAGAAATAGGTGAGAACACTGTTCGATTCACTTGTAGACAGGATTGCTATGCGATATTTTTAGATTTAAGCACATCATATAGACTTAATGCTTTATTCTGTTTTCATGAATGCCTATAGGAAGCTTTGAAGAGGTTAGCCGCAGTTTAATCAATCATATACTGTACTCCCACTAATATTTGATGCTATTATATTTCGCGTTTTTGGCATCTTGAAATTTCGCGGCTATTATATTTTGCTAATTTTCAGTTTTTTGAAATTTGGCGGCTATTAATCTCCGCGGATTTGTCATACAGGATCACTCTTTTGACTTTGATATCAGCCATGTTTGTTCCTTCAACCAATGATTTTGGCTTCTTATTAAGCCTTTTCATAAGAATGTTCATTTTAAAGAGAGAATCAGATCCAGCGAGCAGCCTCACAAAAAAAATGTTTCAATTTATATTTCTGGCTTATGTCATTCCTTTTCGTGTCTATTTTCTAAAAATCCCAAAAGTGCACACTTTATTTCAGGAAAACTAAAGATTTTTACAATAATGTATGATTTTTCTACATGTATAAGAATGGTTACCATTCTTATTATTTGGGAGAATTTAAACATTTTTCACCCATTTTTGCACTTTGAATCATTAATAACTTCACGAATTTATAACATATCATGAATCTTTTGGGAGATATTGTATTTGAGATTGTAAGAAATAGATTTGGTAGGTCAATTTTACATGTTGCTTGTAATTTTGTCACCACAATAAATCTTATTCTGCATTTAATACAGTAATAATGATCTCTCTTTTTCAAAATTTCTATTTTTCAAAACTCAAAATGTCACATTTTTACCTATTATCGCCCAGCAATGGATGAAAATATTGTCAACATTGAAACCCCCGGGAATTTCCTTGGAATATCGCGACTATCAAATTTCGGGAATTAAAACTGGATGAATTTCGCGGCTTTTATATTTAGCGAATCTTCCAAAACTCGCGAAAAGCGCGAAATATAGTAGCGTGCGAAAATTACCGGGAGTACAGTATACATAATACTAGGTGTCCGTAAAAACTTTACAATTACAATATAAATATATGTAGATATGTAAAGTATGTAAAGTATAAAGATATTTTAGGGGCACCCTGTATAACCTTTAAGTTTTTAGACTATATATTCTGTTTTACCTTCGACCTTCTTCAATGTCATCCTGTTTATATTTTCTATTAATAGAAAAACATCAAATGGAAGATATTTTTTGCATTTCCGATGAATTTGACATTTTTCTTTCATGCTATACAATTAAGGTTTTTGTATACAGTTTACTCATTTTGGAGTAGAAATGGGCATGCCACAAAATCATTCTTAGGCACAGGGTTGTTTTATGCATATTGTATAATTATTTGATTTTTTAGAGCATTGCAATGCGAGTCATGGCTCCAAAGGTATTTTGTTGTTTGTCAATGTACAATGAATGCTTAGTTGTATGTCAATATACAATGAATGCTTTGTTGTATGTCAATATACAATGAATGTTTTGTTGTATGTCAATATACAATGAATGCTTTGTTGTATGTCAATATACAATGAATGCTTTGTTGTATGTCAATATACAATGAATGCTTTGTTGAATGTCAATATACAATGAATGCCTTGTTGTATGTCAATATACAATGAATGCTTTGTTGTAATTAATTGTGTTGTATTACAATTATGTTCGATGCCTGTATATTTTCTGTTTAATTGTTGTTTTTAAATAATGCTTTGATTGAAATTTACCTTTATCTATACATGTATATTTTTTCTAATTGCAGAAAAGAATGGTCTAGTTTATTTTTATTACATACACCACCTTTAATTGTTTGGGAAAAAATAGCATTTATCAAACACATATGTATCTTCTTAATTCAATGTACCAAATCTGTAGCATCCAAGAATCTTAAAACTTTAACTGTTGTCCATTGTTTTATTTTATATAAAAATAACAAGTTAAAAATGTTTACAATATTAATAAGCAATTAAGACGAGGAATATTTTTTATTTTCATATAGCTCAACTAGGAATTCTTTTGAAAATAATCCACCATTTTGTCTGCCATTTTCAGAGGACCATGATTCTACTCCAAAGAAAGTACTAGCAAAGCAACTGAATCTGGGGCTAGCTCTGGCTGATGCTGGCTTTTATGATATGTCATCACAAAGTACGTCACCCTCGTCACACATGTACTCAACAGTTGAAGAAGACCCCGAGCATACCCCAGTTGAGTCAACCAGTGATCATAAAGGTATAGGTACATTTGCTGATTTTTATGTCACCACCACAAGTGGTGACATATTGTTATACATTGTATTTTCCAACCTTTTTGTGGATGGCAGTTGGTATTCGGCATTGGTATTGGCAGTTGGTCAGCATCTGTAACAAATGGCAGGTTGTGACATTTTGATTTTTCCTTGTTGATTTTTGCCATGGTTGGTTGAGATGATTTGATGTCATAGTTAAGTAGCTACATATATCATCAACTATATCCCATTTTTTCCCGAAGGAGATGTGTCTAAGCTCGATGCCATTTTCTCCCATTTACCTAGTCTCCCCTTTCTACAAAAATATGATATTGCCTAGCTCCCTCTCTTGTATTCCCTTACCCTATCTTATTTCATCGCATCTTATACCATATTTGTCCCAAGCTCACCCAACTTGCCATATTATGATTATTTTATTTCACTTGATTTAATCAAATTTAATGATTGTTTTTTCTCAGTACACAATTTGGAATTTTCACTTAAAAATGAACACTTGGTAATTTGACCATATTATGATTATTGTATTTCAATCATTTATGCAAAATAAGGCTGGCCCCATCTAATCTGTACTTTTTCTGTTATGTATTCTAAAACATGATCTCTATTTTTATGTCCTTTTCACACTTACATGGTTTAACATCTTATATTACATGCTACCTGTAATATGTAAGTAAATATATTCAAGGAAAATTAAGTGTTTTAAATACCTTACAGGTACTCACTTGGTTCCCTACACAGTAGGCTTATAAACTGTTTTTTGGATTTCCCTTGTTGTAGCCATGGCAAAGAATTGTAATATAAGTAATGGTTTTATTTTCAGGGAGCACCAAGTATGGGCCATGTTCGAAGTTCACATCCAGTCCTTTTATAACCGATAAGACACATCTCACGCAACAGGTGTCACTAGTAGACAATACCCCACAATATATCTTAGACAATACAGATCCCGGAGACTGTAGCACAGATGTATTAATACTCCCTGTAGACTTCAATGAAGAGTCTTTTAACTGCTCAAATCCTTCCACAAGAGAATCTAGTCCCGGTTCGTTCAATGACCTTGCATGTTTGGCAGTATCACGTGACACTACGCCTTGTTCATTAAATAATAGCGCCACATCTGATACCGCGTTTTTGTCACGGAGCCGTGAAGGGAGCACTGAACCACGGAATACTTCAATGGATAATAGCCGGGAAAGTAGTGCCATTTCAGACCGAAATTTTGACGATGAGACTGAAGTTAAAAAACCATTGGATGACTCCACTATAGAGAAGTGTAATAAAAATGAATCTTATGCATAGCTTTGATTGGATAAGCTTTAAATAGAGCTGATATTACCAAAATAAGATGTTATGCAGTTGAAGCCTTAAAATAGACTTGATTACAAGAATAGCCAAAATAATACACATTCTTGTAACCAGGAATTAATTGAACAATTGGGAAATCCTCTTAACCTCTTGACTACCCAGAATGACGAGAAATTTCTCGTCACCTCAGATATGACCTCATAACCCAGAGGGACGAGAAAATCCGTCACAAAATTTTTTACAAAAATTGCTCTTATTTGAACAATTTTCATCCAATTTACACAAAAATTGTTTTAAAACGTGTAGAAATGATCTCTGCCATCTAATTTTACTAAGTTGAGCATCTAAAGTTGTATAGGTATGTAGTAAATTGTCAAAAGGTGGCCAAAATGAAAAAAATCTCTGGTTTCAACCTATTTTAGAGACTGGGATTCAAGAGGTTAATTTGAAACAAAAATTTTTGGAATGTGATCGCAATTTTAGTATTAACATGGAAAAAGCCATGAGACAAAATGAATGTTGCTGGAATAATAGAAGTACACTGTAAACCATGAGAAAACATTTTGTAACAATTGAATCACTGATTTACCTAATACATTGTAAATTTTTAAAGAAAAAAAAACAATGGCTCATGATTTAATAATTTAATAGTGTTAGGTTGAAACAACTAGAAGGGAAAGAGAGAAGTTAAGTGTAAATTTTTGAAAAGATTTCACAATTTTACAATATACTCATATATTGCTTTAGTAACAAGAACAGAAAATATTCTGGATTATACATTTATTTTCAACTTGTCTTTATCACTTTTTAGTTTTAAGTCACTTTAATATGAGGCTGAGCCTCTATATGATCATATAGAGTTATTGAGTGCCTCACATTATTTTCCTCTTATTATTACTTTATTAGTGTCTGTACTTAACTACATGTACTGTCCCTGGTGATTTTTTTCACTGGCTTAATTGAATTAACATGTAGGTTTTTAATCTAAAATGTATTTAATATTTATATGTCTGTTATAATGCTCAGATTTGTACATGTATGTCATTAATTTATAAATACAGATTGACATATAGATATAGAACTAGGAAATAATAAATCATAATGAATAAATTAATAACAAAATATTTGAAATATATATTTTGTGCAGTTTTGTGCTGTTGTTCCACACATGTTGTGCAGTTTTGTACTGTTTTGTAAAGTCACCTCTCAAAGTTGTTGCTAGATTTTAACTGAGTAATTGAATCACCAATCTGCACATTTCAAAAACACAAAAAACAGAACTGACAAATCATTGATGAAAAGCAGTATATCCATACATTGTCCCATAGATATATATGGTAACCATGACGAGAACAAGAAGCATATTTTGCTTATATGTGATATTCCTCATTTTAAATTTAGAGGAGATCATTGATTTAAAGATGAGAGAGCAAAGGTGAATATAACCACATGACATATTCTCCAAGAAAATTTCTAGAACAGTGTTATTATTTTAGTACATACGAACTAAATAGAAAATTAAAAACATTAGAGTCGGTACAGAAATTTAGCCTATGCTCTATAAGTAGGTTTAAATAAGAATCAATATTATTACTTGTCTTCTACTGTTGTCCTTTGTGTTACAATGTATGCAAAGTTAAGAACTTGATCTCAAATATAGATGTCTCATAGTTTTCACGGTGATTATCCAGGCCCCCATATATCGCGAGCAAGTTCGCTATGAAATAAAGTTGTACTGAGTTTCACTAAAGTTCCATAGAAACGTTTATATTTCAATTTTATCATATCTCGAGGCCCCACTTCTAACATGAGCTCTGCGATGTCAGCGGGAGCTGGATAGTCACCGTGGTGACGATACGAAAACAGATTTTCCGATCACACAAATTGAGAATGCGAGTTAAACTGTCCGCTGGTTTTGCAGTTTTCCAACAAAGATAATCTACATTAATATATTATATGTAGTAGTTTCAGAATGAAACATTGGAAAATCAACATTTTAAGAATCAAATGAATTATACGTGTCTTGGCAAATTCAATGGTACTATTAAATAGATGGCGAGGGGGTATAGAGATATAGGGACAGAGAAACCAAACGTTCAACTGACTCTAGTTACTAAACTTGTATTCTCGAATGCAACAAACGCCTATCGGCTACCGGATTAACCTCCTATTTTATGACCGACTCATTTAGCCTCAATATGAATGGAATAATGACAGGTTCTATTTATAATTAAATGAGTTGCCCATAAAATAGGAGGTTAATCAGGAATGCAACTATCGCCTGTCGGCTACCGGATTAACCTCCTATTTTATGGGCAACTCATTTGAATATAAATAGAATAGTGGCGGGTACTATTCATATTTAAATGAGTTGGTCATAAAATAGTAAGTTAATCCGGTAGCCGTTAGTTGCATTCGCGAATACAAGTTTAATTTACTTCTATAAATTATTTTGAATAACTCATGTCAGTGCCAAAGCCCATCCCTCTTAAATTGGAGTTGATCCCTGCGGGCACGTGTGTGGAATTTGGTGACCCTAGTTAACAGGTTTATTATATAGATATAATATAGATGTGAAACATATTCAATATAATACAAAACCTCTAATAAACCTCTTTGTACTATATGTAACATGTAGTAAAATAGTTACATACAATATATCTAATTTAAGCTATTATGGACGCATTTCATTACTAAGGATTAATGTTTTATTTTCAATACATGTAAAATAAACAACAATTTGGTTATCGTAGCAAGAAGCAAAAGCCTTTTCTGGGTCACAGCGAATGGCGTGATTTCCTCGAGTCTCTTCAGTTGCAATGCAACCATACTGGGACCGAATCGTGTCGTTCCACTACTACCCTTGGTGGGGGTTCGCTACCATACTGTATGACTCCCGAAGTCTACTAAAGCACGTCAGTGGAGGAACCAACCACAGTCTCACAATCTGTCTCCGGCAAGAGCGGCCGGGGAACCAACCCATGCCAAGGGCCGGTAAACGGTTGGACCTTCGGACCGGGTGTCCTGTAGTGCAATGATCAAAAACTCCGTACCTGGGGCTCGAACGCGGGACCTCCGTATCCCACTACGTTCAACCCCAAAGTAGCCTCAGTCTACGCCACTAGGCTATTCTGTTTAGGTATCAGAACTGCTAAAAATAATGTAGTTGTTATAATATTTTGCTTGAATGAACACGTACATGCATGCAATAGTCCTATTTTCTAACCTGCTTGTATTTTGTATTCAAATAACTAATTACATATTAAACAACGACGACAAAACATGTAATTGGATTTCTCGAATGAAATACAGGGTGACCGGAAAAAAAGGAGACCATTGAAATAGGCAATATCTCCTAAAATAGACTAGTGACATCAATGAAATTTTGCATACATCAGGACAGTTCTATGGAAATTTGTTCCTGAAAGTGTCAATACAAGCAGTCAACTGGTTCAGGAGCTATGATCATTTACATAACATGCTCCAAATAGGCGCAATTGAGACCAACGCAGAGCTGGATACATTTGGCAAATACCCTTACATATTCCGACCTTGTTATGGCATTACATTTAGCATTTATTGCCACCTTTAGGTCAGCAATTGTCTCAGGATTGTTTTGGTACACATTGTCTTTCAAATTGCCCCACAAAAAGAAATCAGGTGGATTCAAATTTGAGGTGTATGGAGACGAAGCTTATCTGACCTATGGCTTCTGACTCAGTGGTCCCACTCAGTTACAGTATCATCCTAAGGAGGTTTTGGGCAGCCCTTGGTTTTCATATGGGATTTAATTGTGCCATATAGTGGTTTTAGTAACATGGCACTATGCCCAATACCTAAAGTGACTCTTAAGATTTGGTAAATCAGCACTTTGGCAACAGGATGATGAACCACATGTCAGATAACCCTTCATTGCCATTACAGCCTAGACTTGAATCCTGCTGATTTCTTTTTGTATGGATATTTGAAAGACAATCTATACCAAAACAATCCTCAGACTATTGTTGACCTAAAGAAGGCAATCACTGCTATATGTAATGCCATAATAATGCCATAGAGGGCAGAACATGTAAGGGTAGTTTGCCATATGAATCCAACTCTGCGTTGGTCTCAATTTTGCCTATTTGGAGCATGTTATGTAAATGATCATAGCTCCTGAACCAGTTGAATGCTTGTATTGAAACCTTCAGTAACAAATTTCCATATAACTGTTCCAGTGTATGCAAAATTTCATTGATGGCACTTGTCTAGTTTAGGAGAAATTGATTACTTCAATGGTCTCCTTTTTTTCCGGTCACCCTGTACGTCTTCGAAGAGATGCATACACGACAGAAGAATTATAGGATACCCTATGATTTTGAGGAATACCATTTTTATCTACGAGGTGATATATCATATTGATATCTGCATGAGAGAGCAAAGCGAACGAGTGCAGATATCAATATCACCGAGTATATTAAAATGATATATGGTATATATCATCACGATATCCTTCGGTTATTCATTTTACCAATAAATATCAAATTTATTTTTTAATGTTATACATTTAGTACACTAAGTGTAGGATAATAATGAGAGATACGTTTTGTCAGAGACGTGTTCAATGTTTTATATGTCTCTGGTTTCATGGCATGACTTTGATTGCGGCGATATGACGTTGTGGTATCATATAGTTCAGAAAATCTAAGTCTTTGCGACCGAATACACGATGGAATCATCAACGTAAATCCTAACTTTTGTTAAGTAAAAGGAATGGTTAAAATGCAGTGCACATGCTAACCACTGTATTTCACGTTCCGTTTACGCGAGGAACGGATTCGTTTTGTAACCAATTTGAAGAGTTCCTCCACAGGGATCAAAATAATTCAAAATCAGTAATTAACACAGAAAATTAAACTATAATGAAAATCAAAATAAACAATGTTCACAACTAGCAGTACTTGAACTATAGCAACGATGTACCAACTTATGAAGGTAACCGGACAACTCATCCCCTAGACAACTCATCCCTTGACAACTCATCCCCTAGACAATTCATCCCCTGGACAACTCATCCATCGTTATAAAGGCCATGGTACAGTTATAACAATTGTTAATACGCAGACCACCCTCCAAAATAAAGCCCTACTTCTTTCAGATGGTAATAATACATATAGGCCATTTTGGAAATAAATCCAATACAAATGTGACTTTTCAATACCACGCAGGCCAAGTTTTCAAAGCAAGGTCCTATTTTTAATACACGAGGCCCTTTTCCAAGGAACTACACCAAGATAAAGTCCAGATATACTCATTGTTGTGGACCTACGCTAGATGAATGGTGTGCCTTGCACCTGCACAAGACAACACGCCTCATACCTTTATTCAGTTCTTTGATCCTAAAAGCATAAATCCATGGATTCATAGACCATAGGAGCAATCTAAAAAACATGTTCAGAAGTTCCCAAAATTCATTGTCGACACGAAAAATCCATATTACAAGTATAATGAACGTCCCAGGCAACCAGCATATTGTAAACAGTGCAACTACTATAGTCATAGTTTTCAGCAACTTAATTTCTTTCGCATATGCGACTGCAAGAGTGTTATGAACTACACTTAGTGCATGGATATGCTTGGAGCGTTGTTTGACTGCAACAGTTGCCACAACAATATGGGAAACCAGGATGATCAGAAAAAGAACAAAGATATGGGCATTCAAGAAAATCAAGTACTCACGCCTAAACACTTGTTTCCCACATTTTTCGCTAAATTCGTCAAAGGGGACAATCCGTTTGTAGAACATGAAAGACGAGACAACAACGGGATAAAGCCAACTAAGTGCAATAAACCACAATACACGAGAGCGTGTTACAATCTCTTTGTATCTTAAGGGCCTTGTTACCGCAATGTGGCGATCTAAAGCAATGCCACCCATGCTGAAAAGAGATGTACCTAATAAACATATATTTAAGAAATTCGTGACGATACAAATATATTCATTTCGTATAACCCCAAATATGAGTGGGGTCATATATCGACCGATTGTGTAAAGTGGCAGAACCACCGCCCCGATACAAAGGTCAGACACCGCTAAACTCATTAGCAACATGTTGTTCGCTGTACGGAGGGGTTTAAATGTAATGATACTTACTATTACCAGAACATTTCCCCCACATGTAAACAAAGATAGAAAAGAACTGATTGTTATCATGACTATCACGAAAGACTCGAATGTTAGCGATTCATGATTCTGTGATGAATTCGAAACTTCAGTGAAATTTTTCACAGAAGCAATCGTTGCTGTTGATACATTATCACTTACACTTTCAAAGCGCATGTCTTTCATTTTGGGTTTGTAATAATGAGATGAACTGACGTACAGGTATAATCCAAGCAAGATGTTCTCGAGAAAGACATTTACAAAATTTTAAAAATAAGTCTTATACTCCCTGACGCACATGTGCTTGCTCATAATGAAATTTGAATATTTGTCCGTGTTCAATTACTCAGATGCGAGAAGGTAGTTACCAGTTTCACCACCAGGTGGCTGATTCGGGGGAAATAACTTTGCAGGGTATTACAAAATTCCCTTAAACTTGAATATTCATCAGTTTTAGTGGTTCACTTTTCATATTACCCGTATGTATGTGATAGTTATACAAATTGAAATATGTCCAGTAAAAGAAAATATTATCTGCCCAACACAAGAAAAGATATTTCACTTTTTGTGGTTTTACAGCATGGGGTCTATGGGGAATCTCCCCGACCTAGAAGTCATATTTTCAGAGAAAATTAAATTTACAAAGTTGATAAACTCTTTTCAAAACCACATTTCTAGATGTAATTTTACATGTAGATTCCAAATATGACATCACATTGACCACTGAATTGTGAATTTTTAATGACGTAAATCAAGATTATTTCTACTCGCATCTAGGATATTTTCTGTTAATTTATCATTGGCGATGTAATTGTCCGCATTCAGTTCTCTTACCATTCTGATACTCCTATCATATTTTTGTTTCACCTGAAACATGGTTTATCATGATGTATGTACACGTGTAACTCGAATATTGCAGATATTATTCGTATTGAATTTTGAACTTTAGCAATGACGATTAGATCATGGTTGCCCTCGTTCAGTTCTCGAACTTAATTTTGACATTGCAGATATAATTGTCCTAATTCAGTTCTCCATCGAAACTTAAATATCGAGGGTTCGATTTAATCGGAAACTTAAATATCGAAGGTTCGATTTAATCGTCTACATTCAGCGCTCTAACGTAGTTTTAATACTGCAGGTATCATTACCCGCTTTCATTCTCTAACATCACTTTTTCAATAACGATTTGATTACGTGTATACTGTTCTCTAACCTAACTTTAACAGTTATTCTTTAATTTTTTAATTTGATTTTTCGCAGTTAGTTATAACATAATTTAAGCAATAAAGATTCAATTATTGTCCGCATTCACTTCTTTATCATCACTTTAACATTGACGATTTAATCCTTCAGATTCGATTCAATTGTCCGCATTCACTTCTTTATCATCACTTTAACATTGACGATTTAATCCTTCAGATTCGATTCTTCGATGTAATTTAACCAATAACGAATTAATTGTCCTCCATTCAATCACCGAATGTTACTTTAACGATGATGATTTAATTCGCATCAGTTCTCTATCGATATTTGCTTTAACTATGACGACTTAGTCCTAATAACCTCCAGAATTTAAACAACGACTATTAAATCATCTTCCGTGCACATAACTTAACGTGACAATAAAAATTTAATAATTGTCCACGTTCAAATCTCTGACAGTCTCAAAACAATGACGATTCATTCGTCCGCTGATGCAGATCTTCAATTTTACTTAAACAATGACAGTTTAAACGTCCACATTCAGATATCTAATGATGTCAAGCTGAGGAGAGAAGATGCAACAGTCCACATTCAATCTATACCAATATACTTAAAACGGCGGTTAATGTCCACATTTCCTTAACGTTCGTCCAATATCCGTAGAAACACCAATGAAACAACCGTCAATATTTACCGCAATATAACCAAGAGGTCCGTGGAAGGCATCTTTATGTAACAATGATAATTATAATCGCCTTTATTATGATGTCGCATATCGAATAGCTTATTAATCAAGTTCAAATTTCCTCACTACCATTCAACATAACATTGCCCAAATACTGTTACAAATGATCTTGTTAACGTCAATTAGCACGGCTATGCAAACTACGTGTATAATCATCGTAAAATCATGAAGTTCGTATAAAGTATCTCCGAAGAAAGGATAACGAATTTTTAAGGAAAAGTCGCGGCTTCGATCCCCATAGGATGTATTGAAAGGACGCGGAATTGATATCCAATCACAAATACAATAACCCTCATTTTCCGAGAGATGTCATCGTCATTTACCACATGAAACTAATTGCACACATGCAATTTTATATGATTCTCCCCTATGTCGATCGCAAATGCCACCTTTTTATCATGTCATCAATACACGTGGTGACGTATTGTTATGGTCTTCAACTTTTCGTTCGCCGGTTTGTGATTGGCGTTCAGCATCTGTAACAAATGGCAGGTGTTGACATTTTACGTGTCGATGCCTTCGTCTTGTTTACTTTTGGTAGGATCGTGTTTTCTCTAGCTAGATTTGGACCCATCACTTCGTAAAGGGTGGAATGCGAACCAATAGGTGCCACTAATTATTGATGGGTTGTCATGTTCTAAACTCTATCAAAGCAACATAAGCTTATAACCATTCTCCTACCTGCTAGTTTGGTATAAAAACTGTTTATCATATAAAAAGTACACTGTTTTAACTGTTTCGTTTACCGTAACAATAAGTGACCCTTGCAAAAGGTTTCCTTGAAGCTATATTCTTTTAGGTCATTTCATATCGTTTTTATAAGTGATATTGTATGAAATATTTTGCCATGTGTGCAAGCATCTTGTGCAAATTTTGAATAAAATAAGTTTTGAACTCTCATTTGAGGCTGCGTCATTATAATGTTTCCAAATGAAATCAGTTTTTGAAACCAGCTAGTCCACTTCATCCGCAGTGGAATAGACCGGATACATCAAATGATGGAAAAAGAACACAAATAAAAACTTTATTTTTTAAACTATGTTTCTTAATACTGTATATTGTTATTCTAGTTTTTCTATCGCATGCGTACAAATAGTTACAATTACATATGGACGTTACTAGTCACAATGAAATTTGGATTTTTATATATAATTAGTAAACAAATGTTTACCTATAGACTTCAATGGGCCTGCATTAACGCTTATGTTTCCCAGAGACATATCTCTGTGTTTACATTAATATAATTCTTTGAACTTGCATCGACATATAAAAAACAATGGATTTGCAATAACGCTAATGTATCTAAGTTTATGTATATAAATCTATGGACTAACATCGATATATGGAAATCAATGTCTACGTATATAATTCTACGGACTTGCATCAACATTCAGAAATCAATGGACCTGCACTAATGGACCTTCATCGGCACTAATGTTCAATTCAAATGGCCTGCATGCATTGAAAAAATGAATACACATAGAATTCAACAGATTTGTACAGACGCTAATGTTTAAATATATAGAAATCAATGGGCCTGCACTGACGCTAATGTTTAGATATAGAAATCAATGGGCTTGCACTGACGCTAATGTTGAAATATAGAAATCAATAGGCCTGCACTGACGCTTATATTGAAATATAGAAATCAATGAGCCTGCACTGACGCCAATATTTAAATATAGAAATCAATGAGCCTGCACTGACGCTAATGTTTAAATATAGAAATCAATGAGCCTGCACTGACGCCAATATTTAATTATAGAAATCAATGAGCCTGCACTGACGCTAATGTTTAAATAAAGAAATCAATGAGCCTGCACTGACGCCAATATTTAAATATAGAAATCAATGAGCCTGCACTGACGCTAATGTTTTAAATATAGAAATCAATGAGCCTGCACTGACGCCAATGTTTAAACATAGAAATCAGGCTTGCGTTTGACGCTAACGTTTTCATGAAGGACTCATTTGCAATTGGCAGTGGATTGACAAAAATGTATACAATTAGATACAAGTGTGTAAACGTCAATGGGCTTGCAACGACACTTGAACGTATGTGTGTGCCAAAAATGGCATGTATAAAATACTTCTTTGTCAGCTTCAATATCACGTGACAGGACACGTGCCTCCATCTATAGATCAACGTTTAATGTCCCCCGAGGTAACACATCATGGTTCAAATGAGCACGATTTTTGGCAATCATAAATCAGTTGAGACAATAGGTAGGTCTTCACCTGGGATATCACCTCCTTTGCTACTGGTCGTATCAGTTAGGGAGTCTCCACCATCAACCCCGCTATCATTCTCCCTAGCATCCATACTGTTCTCGTTGGCTTCGTTTTGCTTAACAGTGTTGCCGTTTGAGGAATCATTTTCGTTTTCCGTCCAAGCTTGTTGGGTGGGCCTATCAGGAGGAATAGGCGGTATGCTAGCAGGCGAGGGAGCTCTACTATCTGCGCCCTGAGTTGGGTTTGTAGCAGTTGTAGGCCTACTCGATGGCGTAGCAAGGGCTTCATTTTGGCCAGGGTCTGGTGTTGGGTTGTTTTTGGCAGATGGTGGTCTACTGGCACTTGCTGCCGAGGTGGGCCTGGTGGGAGGAGTAGGTGGTATGCTAGCAGATGATGGAGCCCTGCTTCCTGCGCTCTGAGTTAGGTTTGTTATCGATGGCAAAGCAGGGACTGGATTATTGCCAGGGTCAGGCGCTGAGTTATTTTGGGCAGATGGAGGTCGTTCAGCGCTTGAAGGTCTACTGGTACTTTCACCTGCAGATGGGTCATTCTCCCCTGCAGACGGGCTACTTGCAGAAGCTGCAGCGGTTGCTCCTGCCACAGATCCAGCAGCTCCCGCTACAGCAGCGCCTACCTCAGGCTCAACTGTGCCCTGTTGCCTCTTTCGTCTTTTAAATAAGAACCACGCAGCAGCAGTGCAACCAGCGATGGACAGAATAATCACAGGGACAGTTACACCAACCGCTACCTTTACATCATCTGGGAGGTCGTCGTTCGCATTTTGGAACTGAAAATGAAATGATATTACGTACAGGTGTAGGTGAAACCAACAAGTTAAGCTACAGAATTTTACGTTTTACTTTAAAACGTATACGTATATGTGTAGAGCCCCTCCATTAGGTAATTCCTTTTTATTTCTAACTCATCGCAGTCATATTTTAACTATCTTAATAAAGGAAAACTTAAGATTCAAAGAATAGCAAGGTTTACCTCGTACACTGGAGAGGTTAAGCAAATACGGTTTTTCAAAACGTATACGTAAACGCAAAGTACATTGAATCAACATAGGATTGTATCGCTTTAGTCTACTTCAGATACCCGTTCAACTTCAAAGTTGCGTGTTTAGAACGGGAGTTTTTAATTTTTCACGTTGCTATCAACGGGAATCATTATACTCATGTCTGTTGAATACTATCCTTGCAATTTTGATTTCGATGCAGAGTATAATTCTTTCTGAAGAAGATGATGTATGTTACGCATGATTTAACTCCAATAATCTTACGAAACGAGCTCGTTTAAAATATGTATTAGAAAACCAGCTATTAAACTTCATCAATGGGATACTATGTAATCATTACAAGCTATGGTGTAGTCTAAACAAACACTAGTGCTGAACGGCTATTTATGTGTGAACTCTACATGTATTTGTATAGGGCCGATTGATACGTTTAAGTTGCGTTCTGGATTTTATACGGTAGCTTAACCTCTCCACTATCAACTTTTAAGGTTGCCAAACGTATTGAGGGGCATGAATATACGTTATAGTAAGCTATACTATCGACCAGAACGCAGGGGCTCAGCGTTCAGCTAGGCCACAAGTTCCTTACTTGAAACCCTGCGTTAGGAGGATGAATTGCATCGTACTTACGTTAAATCCATTCAACGATGAATTAGTTGTGGTTTGAGAGGATGTCGTACTTTTTGTCATTCCTCCTGGAAGCTCCGATCCTGTTGTAGCATTTATGTTGGCTATTGTTGTATTAACATTATTAGCAATAATCGTTCCTGTGGTTGAAGCACCAGCAATTGTAGGGCCCGTACCTGTCGGACCAGCATCTGTGGTGACTGTTGGACCCGCAGCTGTTGTCGTTGTAGGACCGGCACCTGTTTGACCCGCAGCTGTAGTCGTTGTAGGACTGGCACCTGTTGGACCCGCAGCTGTTGTCGTTGTAGGACCAGCGCCTGTTGAACCCGCAGCTGTAGTCGTTGTAGGACTGGCACCTGTTGGACCCGCAGCTGTTGTCGTTGTAGGACCAGCGCCTGTTGAACCCGCAGCTGTAGTCGTTGTAGGACCAGCACCTGTTGGACCCGCAGCTGTAGTCGTTGTAGGACCGGTACCTGTTGGACCCGCAGCTGTTGTCGTTGTAGGACCGGCAGCTGTAGGACCCGGAGCTATAGTTGTTGTAGGACCAGCACCTGCAGGACCCGCAGCTGTAGTTGCTGTACTATCAGCAGTTGTAAGACCCGCAGCTATAGTTGTTGTAGGACCAGCAGCTGTAGAACCTGCTATAGTTGTTGTCACGGCTAAAGTTGTTGTATCAGCTGCAGTTGTTGTCATAGCAACAGTTGTTGCATCAGCCTCAGTTGTTGTATCAGCGTCGGTTGTTGTATCAACTGCACTGGTTGTTGTAAACAAAGCGGTATCCACCAATTCACAGTCGGAGGCATTATAACAATAATTTTGGGCCACATCCTCGTCAACCAAGCCGTCTCCGTCATCATCATACGGCGCCTAAAAAGTACAAGTTAAACACTCATCAGAGTGAGATTGCAGTATGGGTCTGTATTTTGTAATCGTGTAACATCCAAAAGAGGTAGTCAACAACTACTTCAATGTGTTTTTATTTAGGGCCGGTGTTATAAAGCTGAAATGAGTTTTATATACTTTGATTTACTACAAATGGTGTTTGAGACCAAAGGAAAAATTAAACTTTGCAATAGTTTGACTTAACTTGTTAAAAATGAGCTTCGTCTTCAGTTTAGAACTCCAGTATGCTCTGCGCTCAGGGCAATGTTTGTTCGGTATACGTTTGGATACTTACATTAGGCGTGTAGAGTTCCTCATCTATTCGCCCATCGCAGTCATTGTCGATTCCATCGCCAAGCACAGTAGGAGTTGGAGTACATGGTAGTGCAATTGGTGCTAACCTTTGGCCACCTTGAATTGGCAACAATAAAGTCACGTTACATAGTGCATTTTAGATTTAAAATTGTGATGCATGCATATTATAATGTATTGTTATATAAAATAGTATTATATCATAACATATTATATTGTATTATAATCTATAATATCACATTATATAATATTATATTATATTATTCTTCATGCAGTTAGTTGCATCATAGTAGTGTTTATGTGGTGATGGCATCTTGGTAATCAGGTAAAGCAAAAATTCGCTTTAGAGATTTGTATTTTCCTATAAAGGCCGATCCAGAAGTTCTGATAAAAAGTTAGGGCATTTTTATCAGGACTTCTGGATCGGCCCTTGTATAATTTCGTTATGAGAAACGATGTTAATGGGCGTAGCCAAGCACGAGACAGACGTGACAAGTGCCTCGGAAAATAGTATTCTTCAACAAAAGAATGGAAACGAAGTCAAAAGGTAGTAATATGCCTCCTTTAGTCCTTTACCTCGCCCATTAATTTTGCTTTGCCTGAATTAAGATCCTGGCTACATCCCTGTTGTAAGTATACAAAGGAAAATGCAACACTACAAATAATGATTCATTTGGACAAACAATATATTATACCTGTGTATCCATATGACTCGTACTTGACGACACCGTGTATCATAAAGGCAAACGAAACTGTTGGGTTTGTATGGTAAAGCGTATGTGTCCCGTCAACGACCTCATACTGCATAATCGAGTATGACGTACCATCCGCGTCAAGCTCGTACCAGTCGACGCCAGAGAGAGTGTCGCCATCTAGGATCAATCCCGATATTGCGTCTGTGTTGATGATAACGTTGATCATCTGTTGATATGGTGCTGCGATTAGAATTGCAGATTTGGCAGTGGCAAATGTATAAATACTGTCGTACTGTTCCACAGGTGGGATGATCGTCATAAAAGGATCCGAGTCTACACCATCTGCCGCGGCGCTCTTACTGAAAAGTACCACCAATGAGGGCTTGGTGCATACGATGTGGCAATACACGGGTGTTGAGTTGGTATCGATTTCTCGGACATCTCCCTTATTAAGTGTTACGGTATCAACGATGGTGGCGTTTCCTGAACAATTATACGTGATTGTATTAGCGTCAGCACCGGAGACTATCCTCAGAATATCACCCCCTGTTCTCTCCATTAACGGCGCCGTGATAAAAACCTTTCCCCATGTTTTAGCCGGTGGTATATGCTCCACTAGATGGTCACTGCTTCCAGTAACCGCGTCTGTGACCGCAATGGACTGCCGTGTACTCCCCGAAAACAGAGCTACGGGGTTGTTCGACTCCAGCTCTAACCCAGTCAGATCCGTCGTTGCACTTACTTGGTACGTTTGGAAGCTTTCTAGCGTAAAAGATACCGTCTCGTTGGCTGTATCATTGAAGTATGACACGGTGGTATTGTCATATGCCGCAACAACACAAAACGCAAAGTCTCCCATCGTCGGTTCAGCGCCAACAACAATATTTTCCGTACCAAGGGCATCTATCGGGAGCACTAAAAATCCATCAGCTGTTAAGAATTCTTTGTTCAGTGCGTAAACGACAATTTCAGCTGTAGAAGAGATGTAAACTCCCTTATCTGAAACGGTGGAATCCTCGGACATCTCTAGGTCATGTGATATTGTCACATTGATGACAGAACCTGGAATCATTATACTTTTTATGACAATGTTATGAATTTCTCAATTTATTGAATTCGTTTGAAATACCGTGACATTGATGATACCAAAAACACTATTGATAGAGAGGTTAAGCAACATCATTTTATAGCGTGGACCGCAAACGTAAACCCATACGTTCTGTTTACGTTCTCTGAACAAAAGTGCTTTAAGCTGAGCACTTTATAAACCAAGGAAACATTAATTATAAAATGATTTTTACCTTTTTGCTGTGTTCATATTTCTACTTTAAAATAATAAAGATGAATGTGATGTTTCCCAGACTGACAATGTTTATAAGTTGATTAAGTAGCCGTTGGCCGACATGTGGTGATAATAGGTAAATTTGGTCTTCCTTGTAAAATTGTTATGAATGCTATTTAATTCACAAAATCCTACCTTTTGTTATTACCAGATTGCGTTCGTCAACAATTCCAGCTGACTTTGGCGATGTTACATTTACGAAAACATCTTCATCGGACTGCGTTGTAATAAACAGAAGTTTATCCAAATTTGGGACGTAAGCAATTTGTTCTTGCAACAAAGGATTCTCCATGAAGACCAATGCGAACTCCGTTCCTGAATTATCCAGTGCTCCTACGAATAAAACAAATTAAATTGATTGTTTCTAATCCCAAAACAAGTTTGAAATAGATTAATTGATTGTTTGTTGCTTTGTTTGTTTGATTGGTGGATTGATCTTTAGATTTGTGATAATTTCTAAATGAGATGATATTAAAACCTACCATTTGTGCCACGCAGAAGAAAAACAAATGCCATCAAAATCAAATGCATTTTCTGATATATTTTCTCATTCATATTTTTTTTATTATCTAGTGTAAAATATTTTTGTTTTAGAAAATATATGAAAAATACTGTGCTATCTAAACGTCATAATTATGGTCAAATTTCTTCCGTGGTCGAAATGCTTCGATTTAATTTGCTTCTGAGGAGGAAACCTCCGATCGCCGGATAACAAGGTTTGCATTTAAAGCTATTAAAGTTCACACCTCTGGATAGCAAATATACATTTTCAGTTTTGGGTTGTTTAAGGCTGAAATGAATTGTAGGCTTCACGATCATATTGTAGTTGTTTGACCATATGTAAATAAAACGAAAATAATTTACTCCAAAGTTACTATGGTTAAATATTAGTTTGTTGGTGACCATGACTAGAATCCGTTTCCAGAAAATAATGGAATGAAATTTATTCACTGAAGTTTATATTACGAAACGGAGGTTTAGACTAGTTGTCGGATCTTGACTTTAATAAAGTTTCGAGGTTATACCAACTTAAAATGATTAAATTGTGTGTAGATGTCAATCTATATAAAAATTAACACCTACCCATTTCACTGGCCACCATTAAAAGCAGAAATAGACAACGCATCAGTTTAGTTGTCATGTTCAAAATTTCCTTAATACTTATAATAAATAAATCCTTGAATATACGCTTGGTGTCTCTACTAGCGAATTTAGATTTCTTATTAATAAGTGAAATAGAGGACTAGGAATTTGATTTAAACCACATCAATATGGAATATGCATTGCGTAACCATCACCATATAATTTACATTATTTGTAGGGAATATAATATAATTAATACAAATCTTTCACATGATAACAAAACAAATCTGCCGATGGCATTGTGCGCAATCCCGATTTCGATACTTTGCTCAAAGAGCGTGCAAACAGGTAAATAATCCCAAGCTCGATGCACTATGCGGTCGCGTAGCAGCCATGTTTGTTTGAAAGGCTGTGTTATTTTTAATTTTATTTCCGGAAACTATACGTATACAGTGAAAATACAGCAAACATGACCTCTGAATTACACGTTCCCAACGCCTTTGATTGCTCGTAAATTCTATTATAAGAACACGATCGCGTTATTCAGGAAGGGGACGGAGTTTGAGTTTATGCAAGTGTAAGCACAACCAAAAATAACTTGATATTTGAAATGAAATCGTAACTATTAGTAAAGTATCCATTTTCTCTACTGCCACGATTGCACTTTTTCCAACGTCAGACGTATCGCAAATAACAGCGCATGAGTATGACACGAGAAAATTGCACTTCCCAGGCACACACACACTGGTTTATTGTTAAAACAATTATTAAGGATGAAAAACGAAGTGTCCTAGACACATCTATTAATAAAATAAAGATCACTAGCAAAACCAAACTTTATCTGGAAATACGCATCTAAGGTTGTACTTCATTGACTATTGCGCAGTCATTTTGCGCATCCTAAATCCTATCCTCGTTTAAGCTCTCGATGGATGAGAATAGATATTGTACTTGAATCAGAAAATGAGCCTTCCATTCTTTGTTATTCCGGTGTAAAAGGGTAAGTGGTCCTATCAAATTTTGGTCCTACTCTCTATTGATTTATATTGTGACCTAATCACAATTATTTTCCTTATTATTTATACACAGTCAGGGCCAGTAAGGGCCGTAAGGAAAGGGGAACATAATCCACAGGGGACCATACTTTCTTTTACACCGGTATATTTGTAGTTCAGGGAAATAATTATCGGCTTGCAGGCTGCGGGTTCGTGTCCCGCCGTGGCGATTCTATTTTTATTTTTATTTTATTTTTGATTTTGATCCTTTTGGAACCACTAATATTGCTTTATTTTCTTCATACTTTTTATATGACACAAATTTATATTTATTAAGTTTAGTTGTTCTTATTTTCACAAATGTTATTATACATAGGGGTTATGCACTGGGAGGTTTTGGATACAGGAAATATCCCGAGGGATATACAATATATCTTCCCGAGGGACCGAAGGGACCGAGGGAAGATGTATTGTATATCCCAAGGGATATTCCATGTATCCAAACCGACCGTGCATAACTGGTGTATCTCATACTTGAGTGGGTTTAGGGTAGATATAACCTTTTCCACCTTTTTCAAATGACAAGATATTTATATTTAACATTTTCGTAATATTCTTTTTGTTCAATACAATGAAATTGTAACATTTAAACTTAAAAAAATTAAATTTTAAAATCAAAAAATTAAAACTTTTGATATTTAAACTTTTTTAAACTTTTGAAAAATTCCCGGGAGCGGGATGGATATATTATATCTGCCCGCATTTGGCCTGGAGCGGGACATATACAATATATCCTGCCCGCTCCTCAGATACGATATATATTCCCGGGTGATATCTACCCCAAACCCACTCAAGTATGAGATACATCAGTATATCTTCTACCTAGAATTGTAGAAAACAACTGATACACTGTGAAGTACTACCTTGATAGTCTAGGTTTTTGAAAAGCTACTCCGTATTGTGAGTTTTTTGTCGCTTGTAATTTGAATGTATTACAGGTTGTCTATAAAGTCTCCTTACAACTCCAATACAAAGTATGAGAAAGTGTAAAGGGACTTTATGGACACCGTGTAATATCATTATTGACATATATAAGTTTTGCACGGTGAACCAGATGTAACAAAAAATTATCTCTCAGAATAAAGAAAAATATAGATGTCTGGGCAAGAGCAATTATGTCTGTATTGAAAATGAGGAACAGTTGATCAAATATAGATGCCTCATTCATTCATTTGTCCAATAAAAAGCATAACCGTCTTCTGCAATATCGTCTGAATATATCATTCTGTGAATTTCCATCTTTGTAGTCTTCTTCAAGCGTTCGGTGTTTACTTTGACCGATGGGTGCTGGGTGAAAGAAGATGAAGAATTTGCAATTGGTAAATTGGTACATTATTCGGACCAAGAATAAAAAAAGAGATCGGACATACAGTGCTTCCATCTTTCTTGTTTTAAACGAATTACACAATAAATAAGTGCCCAAATTTATTTTAGTTTTAATAAAAATAAGTTAAATCAAGAAGCAAAAGTCTTTTCTGGGTCACCGTGAATGGCATGATTTCCTCGAGTCTCTTCAGTTGCAAGGCAACCATACTGGGACCGATTCGCGTCGTTCCACTACTGCCCTTGGTGGGGGCCCACTACCATACTGTATGACTCCCGGCGTCTACTATAGCCCATAAGTGGAGGAACCAACCACAGTCTCACAATCTGTCTCCGACAAGAGCAGTCAGAGAACCGACCCATGCCAAGGGCCGGTAAACGGTTGGACCTTCGGGCCGAGTGCCCTGTAGAACTATTATCAAGAACGCCGTACCTGAGGCTCGAATGCGGGACCTTGTATCCCTCGGTACGCACGACCACAGTCTCTAACCACCCAGGCTACACTGCTCAGGTGCCAGCAATGCTCAAAAATGTTATAGTTATACCGGGTGTTCTGTAGTGCAATAATCAAAAATACTCCGTACCTGCGGCTCGAACTTGGGACCTCCGTATCCCACTTCGTTCGATTGCGATTAGTCTCTTCACTACGAGGCTACACTGCTCAGGTGCCAACATAGCTCAAAAATGTTATAGTTATACCGGGTGTTCTGTAGTGCAATAATCAAAAATACTCCGTACCTGCGGCTCGAACGGGGGACCTCCGTATCCCACTTCGTTCGATTACGATTAGTCTCTAGTCTCTACGCCACTAGGCTACATTGCTTGGATGTCAGTAGTGGTAAAAAATAATGTAGTTGTTATAATTATTTGCTTGAGTTAACATAATGTAAATGTATTGAAACTAATTAACTCCATTTAAAAGTTGGAGTCGAAGTTTAAATATTTGATCGAGGAAACGGAATGAACTCAAACAATGAGCTCTTGCAAGTGATAACACTAGTCACAAAGCAAGGCTGTACAGAAAGTACATGTTTGGCATTATATTTCAGATCCATCGGGAAAGTAAAACATCGCAAGATATGGAGAAAAAACATTTTGAACGTTTATGCTAATATGAAATTTCAATTGCGTCTCAAAGAAATGACAAGGGGCAAATGACTACTGTATAGTAAGCGTATATGAGTGAAAACAATTGCAACTAATATGTCCAGATCGGTCAATGTAATTGAAAGAGAAAATTAGCTATTTTCCTTATTTCGGCGCATTGGAATAATTAATCGGATTACATTCAGTACTAATAAGTAATACGCGTGGCACTGGCACAATCGTTGTGATTAATACAGCTCGAGAATGGCAAAAGGCCAAATCAACTTCATCTACCGAATCTGAATGAAACTGAACATTCAATCATGACATGAAATATCTAGTTAAGACTTAACTGCATAAAACATTTAATCGTTAACTTTGGCATAAACATCCAATTAAAGAATTTTTCGTCTGCAAAAATAAAATCATGCACAGGCTCTCAAGAATCTCTCTATCATTTCATTGGTAACAGTGTCTGTATTCGGCCACACTCCTCTCTATAAGTTTGGCAACCAATCGTTTTTATTAAATAGAAAATCGAAGCCTGACAATGTTTGAATCACAATGTTGTGACCCCGGTTTTGACTTAATTAGCCTTGCCTCGGTGTATTTTTATCTTTGTTGATTTTGATTTAATTTGATTTTTCAATATAAATAAACTATAACATCGACTTGGGCAAGGCTTACAATATATCGGATATTCATGTCTTTGAAGATTTTCTTTACATCGCCAAACATCAGCATGCTATTAAAACTTAACATTTACCCAAAATGCCCAAAACTAAAACTTAAAATTTTCCCAAAATGCCCAAAACTGAACCTTAACATTTACCCAAAATGCCCAAAACTTAATCAGTTCTTAACATCCGTAGAAACATCCCTGAACATTTCAAATGAATCCCCCAAACGGTTTGGCTGGAAACCTGTAGACAAGCTTCATCAGAAAAGATTTTAGGATGGAAAATTCAAAATGGCTGCCTTAACATTTAACCAGAATGCCGAAAAACTAATCAGTTCAAAATTTTTATACGTAGAAACATCTCTAAAAATGTCATATGAATCTCTGAAATGGTTTGGCTGGAAGCTGGGGACAACATCGTACCTTTTTAGGTACGATAAAAATAGACCCCTGCTAACACCATCAATAACTTTCATATACTCAAACTGATTGACGCAGATAGTGTGTAATTCTGAGAAAGATAGACTCGAATATGTTTCACTCTGATCATCCTCCGATCACAGGGCTTCAAAATTCAGAATATCTTCTTTATTTTACCCCCTGTTATGACCAAGTTGGAAGCGCCCGATTAAACTGAATCACGTGATCTAATGATGTGCCGATGACGTATACATGATTGCTGTCGCAGCGTTGCGACAGCGAATCAAATTGCGAGTTCTTAATCGGGGAAATGTTAACTGCTTATAGCAGGGGGAAGAAGGAGGTACGGATTCTGGACACCTGCTTAGGAGGATGCACTCGGATGAGATGGATTATTTCACTTACTCTCAAAAATTACCCTATCTAGTTACAAAAGATGGCACTTATCACGACTAGCTCTATTTTATTATAATCATGGTACGTTCTCACATGTCTACGTCGTAGTCAGGTTTAGGGTCTTTAACAGAAACAGCTCTTTTGCATTCTGTCCATTCAATAGGGAGGTTAAGATTAGCGTAAAAATATACGTGTACCTATCCCCATCCGTATGTTTGTTACGGATATGTTTCGGTAATGCGTATTGCAAATGAGTTTTAAAAGGCTACGAAACCGTATGCTACATTTTATGATAACATTAATATCCTAATTATAGAATGAAAACCATGCGATGGCTTATATGGCATATACCAGAATGTCACCTCCAAGAACTGTTATATACTTCAGAGAGCTAGAGAGTGTGGTGTAGCATGACTGTTGTTGGGAGGGGGTGATGCTTGAGGGTCCGCTAATGGGGCAGTGACTTAAGCCGAAATGTTAAATTTCTAGCATGATCCAGCAATGAGAGTGACCAAATAGTAAAGTTAAACAATTAAAACCACGAGAAAATGGCTGATTTCATACATTTACAATAAGCAAAACTGATGAAGAATGTGTAAATTAAACAATTTCATGCATCATCACATGGCATCGTCTATCGCATCAATGAATGTGTTCGACCACTTAATATCTATGTAGATCGATGAGAAATGTTTGTTGTTACTATTCTGAAGTTTATTGGATGAAATTTGATCTAGAAATGACATAATTTGTTGGATAAAAACTTACGTTTTCGAATTACCTATCTGCGGCCATTTATAGGTAATTACGTATCGTAAACCCTGTAACTTAGGTAAATACCGTTTAGTGTAATAACAAACTACGTATTATATAGGTACAGGTAAATGGGTTATTTACGTTAATCTTAAACTCCCTAATATTAGACTCCTTACGTCCAGACGCCCAATTCCTGAACGCCCGTCCAACGGGTATCAAAGACCCAGTCTCTTTCTCGGGACCAAATATACCAACTAGGAATGTTGCAAAAAATCCAAGTGAAAATATCATTGAAAATCCAATTGTACTAAACATGAATATTCCAAATTGTAGGAAAAAGTGGACCTGTCCACATAAACACCGCCGCACCTAATGTTGTGCACGGCCCCAGAGTATTGAGATAGCGATGGACTCAATGGGATGCTTTTGTGTGGACAGATGGTATAATTCTGCTAAGTGCACTACATAGTCAACAGAAAGGCCAACTTCCAAAAATAGGTTCATTGATACAAGTACCTGAAAACAAAAACATAGTTTTGATACTAATAGCTCTGTCACTAGCTGACTCTTATCATAAAATATCTACAAAAACTAAAACTGCTTTATACAATTTAAACCTATCTTCATTAACATCCTTTAATTGATAAAAAGGGATTTTTAAGTTGGACCTTTTCATGCAACTTACTATGCCAGAAATCTTTTCACAGGAAGGAAGGCTGCTTATATCAAAATCTTTATTGGTAATGGTTTTTCGGACAGAAAGTAATGATTTAGGCTCAATGAATATACTGGACAAGACATAAATGTTCGGAAATTTTTTATTTCCATAATTTTTGAATCCGCGGATGAGTCCGGCATTTAAAGATCCGGTTTTTATTGAATTATAGTACAATATCATATACAATTTTACAAGAAGTATGCTGCCAAGCGCCAATGGCATTACTATAGCTAGCATTTAGGCCAACCAGGTGTCAAAAGGCCATTTAGGCCAACCAGGTGTCAAAAGGCCCCGATCCGAAGGATGTTCCTCATCATTAAAGGTAGTTCCGTATGTGCAGACATTCTAAATCCCCATAGATTAAACCAATTTCGATTTATGATAGTTAAGTTTCACGAAAAGAATGAGTAAATAAAAAGCAAAATAGGTCACGTACCTTTACCACGGTGACCAAGTGTTAACAGTGGAAATTGGCCCGGACGTGTTTTTTCAAACTCTACTTGCAACTGGTCATATTAATTGTGTATCATCATGGCGTGAATATTGATTAAAAATCCTATGGGAGTACTAAATAGTAAATACATGAATACGTTTAAGTGATTTGTTAATGTAACTTCCCGTTCTTACATGTTTATATAATGTCAAAGTATATTGGTTGAAACAACGTGAATTCAAATTGACTTTTCGATCATAAATATTATTTAAAACATGATGTCAATACTGATTCAGTAATGAAATTAATGGTACAGACATATTTGTAGTTACACACGTACATACAAGTACATACCCGGTGTCAATAAGTCTGCCAACGCATCAAATATCAGGCATGTTGTGAAACATGATTTTACTTTGTGAAGTTGAGCAACAGCTAAATTTAGACTGTTGACGTCCAATTATATCTTTTCTATATGTTAGATATAGCACTGTAAATATAATTTCAATAACTAATGGTATATTTCTGATCATCTGATATTATTCTACACTTGTGAAGGTTGACATACTTTTTGACACCCTGTATGTTTAGAATTAGTATCATTTTAAATGTGCATGATACAGACATAATGATACCAAACATCATGGGAAAGACAACGGTTTTCAACTACATTGTCTTTATCATAATTTTAATCCTATGCTTCATACAAACTCTGAATTGCTCAAGGGGGTCGAGGGATTGCAAAAAGTGCAAAACAAAGCTTCGAGATGGTAGGCGTCAGACGAACTACACAACTAAGGTGACGTTTTCTGGAATTATCGATGCAAAAGGGGAACCATATGATATGTCACCAACGCAGGGGTTAGAGGACGCTTGGAAGATGATTGATCCCAATGTGACGTCTCGTTCTGACGTCATTAAAAAAGGTAAGGTAAAAATTGTATTTATGTGATTTTTACATACTTTACATCATTGTGTTTAACGTACTTTATTTCTAATTCAAACATACTTTACATGATTTAAAGGAGAAACGTGACTGGAATTCATGAACATGAACTAAACTTAATTAGATGTTACTAAATACAAAACATTAAGAAATAAGACAAATTTCCTACTTTTTGGCGACATAGATCTGACAAATGAAGTTTTGAATTTCATTAAATAATCGATAACAGTAATTCAAATTCAGGGCACCAACGGGGGTACAGACAGGTAGAAAAACAGATAGTATCTAAATTACATATTTTTCTTACTCTAATAATGACTTTGACTAAATGTTATATTATATTGTAATTTAAATTCACTTAAAGCGGCAGTAGAAATGCCCTTTCAGGGCGATTACGCCGTGAATAACAATGAAAATTTATCTATGATTTTAAGAAATAAAGAGTATTTATTATAAAAAAAAACTGGAATTCATATTTTCAACGTAGTATACGGTATTATTTTAATCGTACTTTGCAGGATTGTTTTCACCGCACTCAACATTCTCCACACGATATATCTTACATATTAGCATAATTATAAATTATAATTTTGAACATGTTTTCAATGATTCATATTATATATTAGCATGTTTATAAATTACCATTTTAACGTACTCTACGTCATTGTTTTCAAAGTTCTCTATATATTAAATATTAACATGGTCATAAATTATCATCTCAACGTACTCTACGTCATTGTTTTCAAAGTTCCCTATATAATAAATATTAACATGGTCATAAATTATCATTTCAACGTACTCTACGTCATTGTTTTCAAAGTTCTCTTCATTCTAAACATGATATATATTAAATATTAACATGGTCATAAATTATCATTTCAACGTACTCCACGTCATTGTTTTCCACGTACTCTACATTTTTGTTTTCAACGTACTCTATATTATAGGAAGAGAATTTGTAGCATATGTTCAACAAAGGTTTAACATCGATATAAGCAGATTGAGTGACACCGAATTATTGATGGGGTCTCCAGTAGAATTCGGAAATCTAACATTTGCGGGATATACTACAGAAGCTGACCTTAGGCTTGTTTCGAAAACAACTCCAACCCGACAAGTCAAGTACTACAGAAATACAAAATACAAAGGGGTTGGATACGCCCTTCTTGTAAATGCTGATGTCGATCTAGACGGAGGTAGGCATTCTTGCCTCTATGAAATAGACTACTAATTGACATGGCAAATCGTGAAATGAAACCATCTAGTTTTAGAATAACCTTCTCAAGTATGATTGTTGTGTGTACATGTAGATAATGTTCAATGCGGGAAACATTTATGTTTTCAGTGAAGGCATGAAAACTGTCTTGTCAAAATTAATACTTCACAAAATATAGTATTGATGTAATAAAGGTAGTTAGAGTGGAATATATTTTGATAACATCTATAAGTGATCAAGAAATGGTTCAAATAGGGAATCAGAGTATTCACTTGTCAGCTTGAATATAAAGGTATAAGGAAAACATGTACAGTTGAAATCAGGGCCCTAATTTCAAGTGCCCCTAATCGATTGAGAGGGGGGGGGGCAGTAATCCACGGGGTTAATAATAAGTCAACATGTTACTTGACCTATTTGTTGCTTGACGTATTTATTGATAGGAGAATGGACTGGAATGATGCCAACACATTCAACTATCTATACAGAAAACGCTATAATTGACAGCAATGAATGCGACTTCAAGGAGGAACCGCACATACTGATAACGCGCCCACTTGATATCCACCCGGCTAAGTATTATAACGGTGAATATGTTGGTGCCAATACTTGGGAGGCTGAAGTTTGGTCAAGTATATACGGCCATGGCGTGCAGTACTCTATCGATATGCACGAAGTTTACGTTTATGCATTTGTTAACGTCTTTGGTGATGCATCATGATAATAAATTACAAAAAATGCAATATACAAACCAAATTGCAGTACTTCTGTTTACATTCGAGACATTTATTTTGGTTTCATCATATCAAGTCTCTGATATTGAATCAGCTAAACTCGTATAAACTAAATTGCCGTGCTTCTGTTTACATTCGAGTCAGTTATTATGGTTTTATCACATCAAGCCTCTGATATTGAATCAGCTAAACTCGTATAATCTAAATTGCCGTCCTTCTGTTTACATTCGAATCAGTTATTTTGGTTTTATCATGCCAAGTCTCTGCTATTGAATATCTAAATTGCCGTGCTTCTGTTTACATTCGAGTCAGTTATTATGGTTTTATCACATCAAGCCTCTGATAATGAACCAGCTAAACTCGTATAATCTAAATTGCCGTGCTTCTGTTTACATTCGAATCAGTTATTTTGGTTTTATCATACCAAGTCTCTGCTATTGAATATCTAAATTGCCGTGCTTCTGTTTACATTCGAATCAGTTATTTTGGTTTTATCATACCAAGTCTCTGCTATTGAATATCTAAATTGCCGTGCTTCTGTTTAGATTCGAATCAGTTATTTTGGTTTTATCATACCAAGTCTCTGGTATTGAATATCTAAATTGCCGTGCTTCTGTTTACATTCGAATCAGTTATTTTGGTTTTATCATACCAAGTCTCTGCTATTGAATCAGCTAAACTCGTATAAAATAAATGCCCTCAGTTGTCAAAAAGGCATCATCTAATGCAATAAGCAGGGCAGTGACGTCTATATTCCATTATATTTGATGAACGATAGGCAATTTGATTTATTTAAATTAATTAATTAATTAAAAGAAGGAGACAGTAACAATTTGGCAAAAAGGCCACGTAACTGGTTACACTCATTGAGAACGTTAAACAAGCGATTTTTTTCACAATGTATCCGTGAACGAAAAGTCAATGAATCAATGCAGCAATGTGTATAGCGCACATACAAAAAGCGCTACTTAGTCTACTTCAGATACGCGATCAGCTTCAGTTTCGATTCGTGTTTAGAACCAGAGATAATTTCATGTTGGTGAATTTTGATTTCGATGCACAGTATAATGCTTTCTGAAGAAAATGATTGTAAAAAATGTGTATCCGTTGTGAATAAGAAGCCTAAGCCAGGTTCTTAAGGAATTTGATTTTTTTAAATGAGTTATGTCTCATGAAAAGAGTGGAAAGGGAACAAACTGGCAAAAGGCCACGTAACTGGTCATTGACCTGTGCCAGGTTCTTAGGCAATTCGATTGATTTAAATTATTTATGTCTCATGAAAAAAAGTAGAAAGGAACAAACTGGAAAATACAACATACTGGTAAATGATCACACGCATTGTGCATCAGACGTAAATAAGAAAACCACAAACGTTTCTAATTTGAAAAATCGCAAAGTTTTCCCCATAATAACACATTTGCAGCTTTTTGTACAATATTGTTGTCTACTTTTCGAGAAAAAGATCAAAGATGCCTTAAGTGTTTATAGTTTTAGAAGGCAAAACAGTTGTGACATTGTAACAACATATCCTTGTCTCTTTTCATTTATCAAAATATGTTAAGAGTTGCGTCTTTGTGGGTTTTGCGTTGATGTTACTAGGCGAAAAATTGCTAATTTTGAATCGTTTTCAAGAATATATCAATAAATTGCATGCAAATGCGCAAATATGATCATTTGCAGGATCTCATTAAATAAACAAGATTTTGACAAAAACATGTCACACCTGGATCGATGCATTTATGCAACAATTGTTACAGACTACCAAGGAGGATTGGCTCCCAGAGTGCAACATCGACATTCTGTCCCATATATTGGCATGTCGTGATACCAAATTCGAATTCAAACAGCCACCATTTTGTTCACTTCAACATTTGAATCGTGAATTTTGGTCTTATTTCCTAACGAAAAATTCCAAAACTCACAAAAAATGATCGAGATGTTGGTTCGAATCTTTTGGACTGTTTATTTTGAATTTGTAGTCGGTTATAATTTCAGAAAATAACGACATTTCGACGTTTTCATTGTTGCGGAAAATATCGAGCTTCGATCCTGGAAGCCAATCCTCCTTAAGATTACAAACGCCTGCTGTTTAGGATCAAATTCATTCGCTTATATTTTAATATTTTAATGGTTTATACAGTTCAAGTGACCAGTCCACGAGATGTATATCACCGCTTCCAAAGTCTCGCGGTTATTAAGAGTCACGTGACATTTTGTCGAGATATCGTTCAAGGTATCCTTTATGTTCGTTAACGTGTAAGCTGTATGCTGTGCTGGATTTTATCTTTCTCGAGAATGCAATAATTGTTCAGCACGCAATATTTCTGATTCGAACATGACAGTATCCGCGCCTTCTATCAACTATGAACAAAGTCAATATTTCACCCGGGTTCTATTCGCGAACAATTCCCCTGGTAATACGAGTAATATGTGATGTCATAACGGCGGCTCGTAGTAGTGGCGGACCATAATGATTATTCGAAACATTTTGGTGCGTTTTCATGTTCGAATCGTAACATAGACCTCAGAGCAGGTGTAATATTGTTGAATACACCACTTAGGGCTAGGCACAAACGTTTTCTGTACCCCAAACGACCGAAGGAAAAGCTTTATAACCCTGCTCCTCGGTCTATATTTCTTAAATGGAAAGAATAATTAATGTGTTATTTTTTTCTAATTCGCTGTTAAAATATTTGAATGGCATAACATTACAAAGAAAATTGAATTGAGAACAAACGTATGTTGTGCAATGATAGAGGACTTAATAACATTAAAGAAGTAACACGAAGCCATAGCACGGTCTTAAAGTAATAAAATTGGTTAAAAATAAAAAGCCTGGATATTTCCAAGGCTTAAGCTTGTTAATATTATGATTTATAACGATTCTAGAAGATTTAGCTGATCATGACGGAATGTTATAAAAACCCTTCGACCTTCGACCTGCACCTTCGACCTTCACCTTCGACTTACAGGGTGTCCAAAAAGAAAATATTATAGAATCTATTTTTGCCGATCTCAGACCACGCAAGAGTCACTTGATTTGTGGTTCACAGGTGAGATCGTTAAGATCTTAAATTGTAGCAACGTTTGCAGTACTCTAGGTATAGTTACAGGGGTGAAATAGCGTTTTCATGTTATCAAATTAAGATTCTGTTGATGTTGATCGGGTAGTCAATCGGGTAGTTTAAATTGGGTTACTTCCTGGTTTTGATTCGATTGAATCGAAGTAAGATTAGAGTAAGTAGCGATCAATTACTGTTCTATTTATTGAGTTCCAATTATAGTCTTGTTGTGTGATCAATATTAAAACGGGATATGGCGTCAATAACTTGTTATTTAACTTTGAAATCTTGTCAGAAAAGTGATGACGTCACCGGGCCTATAAAGTATTTCGCCGATGTAAACTCAAGAGATGGCAGCTATAGCTGTTGACGAGGAGAGAGCTCCGTTCAATTTCATAATCTATGTGAAGTTGGACTTAGTCGTTTTTCAAAGAAATATTTTGGGACTTTGACAATTTTCATAAGAAAAGTCAAAGGTGCAGGTCGAAGGGTTTTTATAACTTTCTTTTTGGCCCGCTTTTTGGATACCCTGTAGGTCGAAGCTGAAGGTCGAAGGTGCAGGTCGAAGGTCGAAGGGTTTTTATAACATTCCGATCATGACAGCCATTAGGTTCAAAAATCCGTTGATCACTATCTACTAAAATTCTCAGGTCCATATTTTGGACGGTTTCTGAATAAGAAACACATAACATAGTTATAGATACTCTACCCTCTATCATATAAAGCTTTACAAATGACAGGGTTGGTTTATATTATTGTCGTTTTAAGTCATCATAAAAATACTCGGTTACACCGTGTCTTTTTACAGAATGTTTTCAGTAATTGGAAAAACATTGTTGAATTCAGTTCGCCATATCGATACCTATCCTTCTTTTGGAAGAGGGGTTCGTAATTCGGTCAGTTTGTATGTAACGCCGCATGCATTAAAATATTTTGGACCAAAGGCCATTTTGAAACAGTATATAATCTGCATGCATATTTCCGTTAGATCAAGATAAAATTATTTCCTTTTTGTTCCATATATGTTTCAAGTTATATTTGATTGTTCGAGAGAGCTGCGTTCTGGATGTACCTGTATGGGCGAACTCGTGCATTTGTGCACACACAAGAGCCTTTTCACCTGCTCTTTCACTACCGGGGTCCTAATCGCAAACACAATCGGGTTGATGCCCGATATCAGCAACGCAAGGCAAGATGACATCGGAATAATTGTAATGTAAATATTCACACTACATCTATCTATAATACACATTGCCATTAGTTGAAACACAATGATAAACTGGATCCAACAAATGCAAAACAAACTTGATATGACAAAAGCTGTCTTCGCTGCTTTGGAAAATCTGCCGATTTTTTTACGTTCTTTTGAAGATGCGTCTTCACTTGCACTCTTAGTCTTCACTTCTACTTCAAGCGCTATGATTTGTTGGTTGTGTCCCTTGGCGATATGGTATATGACACTGTAAATAACAATAATGCAAACGAGTGGAATGGCCACAGATGTGATGATATACCACCATAAGTAGATCCTTCCGTAATTATAGCTGCCTGTGCATTGGGCAATGACCTCGTGGTGTTCACCATGGAAGGTCGGCAACCCAAAGGCTGGAAAACAAGAGTCGATCAACGAAAACATCCAGATAAATGACAATGCGACGTACGTGCGTCGATTTGTAACGATTTCTCTGTATCGAAATGGTTTTAAGATGGAAATAAGACGATCGAGAGATAGAGCAACGACGCTATACGTAGCGACTTTTGTCATTAGTGGCAGCCATATGGAGGCGACCACACAAAACTGTTTTCCTACAACGTAATTTGTCCCTGTGGTTTCTTCTTTAAAGGCAGCCAGGGGTACGCTTATTAATCCATTGTGAAAGTCCACGACCACTAGGTTGAACAAAAACGTACTTGTAACCTGACGCACACGCCTGCTGATCACGTAGGAAATGATGACAAGTCCGTTTGTGATGACAATAAAGAGGGCCAGAAGAAAAAAGGTTCCCACTATAGGGGCACCAAACCCAGTTGGTCTTGAACCCTGTGTTTCTGTTTCATTCGACATTCCGATCTGTATCTAAAGCAAGCTTTTGTATTGAATAAACCTTAATTTGTATGTCCTGTTTGATTCAGATTCTTAAACAAATATAATCTTATCTCCCATTGTTTTGCCATTCTTCACGTTCAAACATCTGTGACGACAGCAACCATTAACTGATTACATAACTATTGATCTGCTCACAGCGAGGAAAACATCCGAAGTGTTTTTAAATTGACTCAGTTATGCGGATTAGATAAATATTCATCATCTTAAGTACAGGATATTACCAGCTCGTCATCCACAAATTACAATATACTCCACTGTGTGTTAAAGTCACTGAATTACTTCTGTTCTTTTAAACCCCGACTTGTGTCAATAACAACTCATGGTCACGTGGTATGGACCATTTCGATTTTGACGTGGGTTAACTGGCGAGAAAAGTCATATCCCGGAAAGATATAAGCCTACCAAATGACCATTTTATTTTCGGTGAATACATGTTTGTCTTTGTGAAAATAGAATCGAATATTCGAGTTCTTATATCATCGAAATTCCTTTTTATTGTCTTTATCCTCTTTAGTCAATGTCTCAAGGTGATTAATTCCTAAGATATTAAATTCAGTCCCACTGATATTGTCACAGAGTCGTACAATCCTTGGAAATTAATAAATCTTTAGAGACTGTGATTTATAGTGTTCTTCCTTTCCTTTCAAAAAAAGGTTAAAAAGGTAAAAAGGTATTTTTCAGCTTGCTTCAAATTGACAAAATTTTTTCATCTACAAGTTCTCAGAAATTCAAATCTGATTTAAGGTTGAACTCATGATATTGTGAGCAACTAGGTGGAGACATTTTGTCAGATCATGTTAATGCCTTTGTTTCATTCTTGCAGCCAATCCATAAACATCTTGACACCATTCTTCGCTGCTTTTATTCTTTCCCGAACGTACACTTCCTGGAATACGAGTTTTTATCAATATCAAGGTATTTTCCTTTTATCCGTTTTGTTCGCACAGTGTGTTAAACACTTAATAAATACTTGTTCATCGATTTGTCCATAGTTCACACAAATTACCCTTTTGCACTTCCGTTTGAAACCCTTCTTCGGGAATGCATTTCTGTTTTGGCTGTCTATCTGCGTCGTGCTTAGCTTGTAGACGTTCCTCGCCATTAGTATCATTACGGCGGGCGGTTTGATAATAATTATTTTGACTTTCATTTTTCTGTGTATATAAACTAACCTTTTCTAATTTGTTTGAAAGGGCTCCACATTTGTGTTTTATACATCAAAATTACATAATCACATTATTTAGTACATCGAAATTACATAATTATTTTATTGCATCGAAATTAAATTACATAATAACATAATAGTCCAATCACACGAATTCATACCATAACCAGTCTACCGAGACATAAAAACACTAGCATTAGTATGCAACAAGATCCATTTCAAACTATATGGAATGAGCAATCTGCATATTTTCCAACGTAAAACACGTACGGTATTTGTCCAATACTCGTAAATTAAGGATTTAAGCCCTGGACTCAGTGCATTGCGTGCTGAATAATTCCATTAAAGGTGTTGTTTCCTAACCTTGGCATGACCACACAGCGCAGTTAAGGAAACAAAATCTGAGTTGAACGAAGCAACCACAGTTGGTTGAATCTTGGAATTCACCTAAAAGATACAAAATCAATAAAAGAACATAATTATTTTTCAAAGAAACTTTTTGGGAGGATCAAATCTACAAAGCATCAATTTCAATTTCCTCACCTTGACAACCATACAGCAAATACATAAAATTATGGTTATATAATGGAATGCAATTACGTGGGCGACAAACAAATCACATCGAGGGGATTGATTTTTGTCGCCCATTTCATTTGGTACCTTGTTATCAATATGCTCTCAGCCCAATAACAATAAGTTACTGCATATTTATTCCTTAACTCTGTTATTATTCGTACATCTCTGCTTTCTATTGGACATACTGAATTGCGTGTCTGTCCTGATGTCTCTTAACAACAAACTTCTTTTCGAGGATTCAAGAAATCGTTGTTAAGTGATACCCTATCGGTTTCTGATAGTTCCCTTTGTTCTAAATGTCTCAATATAAAATACAAGACACTTTAATAACCGTTCTAACAAACTCATTTAATGGAATTCGATGAGAAGTATTCCTCGAAAAGCAATTATCTTCAATTATTGTATTAGGTAAGGTAAGTGCTATGGATTATTGTCATCACTGGTAAATAAAGAAAATGGGATAAACAGAAAGTACGGTTTGCAAACATTATGTTACTTTGTTTTTTTATTCAATTATCCGTTAAATTCTAATCTTGACGCCAGTTTCACACCGGAATAGCCTGACAACGGTATACCGTTGTCACAAATTAAAACCCCATTATATAAAATAATGGTCTGATATATAGAACCAAGAATATTACAGTTCAAAAACGAAACCACAAGACTAAGGGACACTTGATTCATATCAGAGTCATTACAATACAATGTCAAATAACTGATTTCTTATTTCAAACTTTCAGGGTGTTTGAACATCTTAGGCCACCATCTGTGTTTGTTTAATAAACTTTACGTCCACTTACACCTTTAATCTCAACTCAAAACATATAAAACTACAGTATATTTTAATTCATGGCTTGTGAACCAGGCACACCTGGAGACAATAGGGAGTTAAGCTTGCATATAAAATCGAAACGCCAACCTATACGTATGATCACGCCCATACAAATGCATCGCTTAAATATTTCCGTTCACGTTTAGGTTGTGAAACACATTGCTTAACTCTTTATTACCGATTACACAACACGACTGGGTACAATTGGATATTTCAACGAATCTGATACAATATGCTGCTCAACCATCATAACATAATCGTAACAAACCTCATATGGAATATACCCAACCAAACTACTTAACTGAATGACTACAAAATGCATTGACACGTCGCAAATATTTTTCGCTTTTAACACGACAGAATGTGACGTTTTTGAGAAAAATGTACACATTTGGAAATCCTTTCGTCCTCCACATTTGCCTCTATATCTCAAAATATTCAAGACGAATTACGCTGATATCGTATACATATTAACAATGGGTTAGGAGCATCATAAAACACGAATCAATTGATATTTTAAGTGAAATAAATATATGCGCTGCTATGTTTGAAAATAGGTGAATGGCCTAAATTCACCCTATTTAAATGAATTTTGTAAACCTTTCGTCCGCCACTTTTCCACATACAACAGAAAACATATACTTTTGTGAACAAAATCAACTATTTATTAATAAACTACAGTTTAGGAGCAAAATAATCATGTATAATTTATTTAAAATCGGTGTCGTATTTTTTGTTTAATGTACACTTAAAAAGCTGAAGGTATCAAAAAATGAGCAAAAAGGTCGCTGTCAACAGATTCTATTTTTCAAACTATATGACGTCACAATATGGGACGCTTACTAGATTCAATTCTTTGAAATAATACTTCCATCTATCTTTTATCAAGACAGAAATAAAGTATTCTTGTTTAAGTTATGAGCGTTTAAAGACTAAAAATTATCCAAAATGTAACGTGTCGACAGCGGATATTTACCAGATTTTTGGGTAAAAGGATCTTTTTTAAAAAGGAACACGCAAGAATTGCGAATGGAGTGTACTTGATTTGAAAACTTCATTAAAGCAGCTTTAAAATGATATATAACTTTAATGAGAATATTCACTAATATTCCGAAGAATTAAAGTTACATTCATGCGAAACCCTAAACACAAAGTGCGCCACCTTTTTGCGACGTGTCATTGTTAAACAATATTTTGTAACTATCTTTCAAACTAGTTTATTCCTTTTCCAAATAGCTCCCAACTTTGATTGAAAAGTAACATTAGTACAATTTGAAATCGTGGAAATGGCGTTTATTTCAGTTTAACATCATTTCAACATCATCATTTCAAAACTACGGTTGTAATAATATTGGAGTTAATGAAGATGTTGGTGTTCGTGCAGTAGTTGATATCACAAAACGAGTATAGTATACACGGACCCTGCACTTATACTTTACACGTATCTTCGGATGATTAAAACGAGACATTTAGAATCGAGCAAATGGTTCAATCTTGTACCCAACTTAACATCCTTGGATTGGATTTATTAACAGATAGTCCGAGGCAGTATGTTGCTCAGACAGCCAGATTTTGCTAGACAATTGCAGATTTCCAGAGACAAATATGCCAATTAAATATAAAATATGTTTATATGACCTTACCAACAATAACAATCAGAAAACGCATCACATGACACACAAACAAATTGACGACCTCGATCTGATTCGCACTGAACATTCATTAAATAATTTTCGAACTAATTCCCAAGTTCAAACGTGATAGAAAATACATTATTTGTCGGTATAACCACCACCATCACTTTCAATAGATGTCAGGCTTAAACGCATCTGTGTTTAGTTAATTATCCAGTGTAAAACTTCCCTCGGGTCAACATAACCTTTCGTTGGATATCATTAGAAGCCTTTTGTTTTGAGCTGTGCTATACAAGTGCCACAAGTATTTGTTTTAGACGATTCCACATCATTTCGGAAATCGTATCTAAGTGTACGGCTATGAAAAAAGAGTTCTCATTTATTTGGACATAATTTCGAAGAACTTTCAAGTCGTTAGCAGAACAAGCAAAGAAGTTGCTGAGCAAGCTGATGTTATACAGTATGAATTATAATTTGCAACGGTGTGAATTATTCCTGGTCATATATATATCACACTAGGGGTAAGTATAACATCTAAATAACATCATGGCTTCAACTATACTATTCTACAGTTAACATTCCACCAAATGTGAACAATTCTTCGCTGCCCCGGTATTGATGTTGACGCCCAACTGTTCTGGCTAAACCATTGGAGTGTTCGGACTCTCGCCCAACTATTCCCACTACCCCTAGTGAGTATTTCGAGTTCACTTATTTCATTAGATCTGAAAATCCATAAGGGATATTGTCAAAAAAAGTTTTTTTCTGGGCAAAAATGTAGGGTTAAAAATGTTAGCCCCTTTTTCAATAGGACTCAATTTTTGTAAATGTGAAATGGAACCCATTATCTATTTAAATTGAGGTCTCAATGAAGGGCCTTTTGTGCACCAGGCAGCCAAATGAATTTATCAATATAAGTAGTTTCGTTAATTTAATTTTAGCATTCATCTCTTGGAGAAACATGAAATTAAATGGCAAATAATAAATTAACGTATGAAGTGTATTCGATAAGCAGGCAAAGAAAAGAATACTACCGCAAGAGTCGGAACATTCGGGCTTCACATCCGGGTTATTTGGATGACTTCACTATACCTATCTTTCATTAGTCGGGGCAATTCTACACATACACATTACATTTCGCTGGACTTCACTTCCTAAAAGACAGCTTCGAGACCTTCGACTAACCGGGGTTAGCAATTAGCATTGATGGGAAAGTTAAGATTTTAAGAGAACCTGTAAGTAAACATGTGGAGTTATGGTCTTCCAAGTAATAGTTCTTTCCTTCGTAGTAGTTATTTTTCCGATGTAGTGTCAAACGGTGTAAAAAGGTCCCTGGGAAAACCAATAAAGCGAGGATGGAAATCTCTGGGGTCATGTGATATTTACACCTTTAACGTAAAGGTTCCCTTAAATTCGTGTAACTAAAACTCTGTATCATCAAGATAATTGGTTTTGTGAAAAAATGTTGTATTACTACTTTTTAGTTCAGCTTCTATTGGCTGTTTCAAAACCAGGAAGTAGACTAACTGACCTTGAATGACACATTTCCACTTGTTTACAAAAATCTGTGATAAGATCTCTGTCACAACATGGAAGTCCGTGATTTACAACAATCGATCCTAATGTTATTGAGATGTAGTTCCCAATTTTGTGTTAATCTAAGGGGTCCTTTTTATCAAAATAATAGCTTACTGATTATATTTGTAATTTATCTTGTTTAAGTTATACACAGTTATATAAGATACAACGCGAGATTTTGGGTTGTTTTACATTAAATCGATAGAGTACCCAAAACGACTTTTTCAATGGCAATTTTAAATGGCTTGGGCATCACTGCTCAGTATATTTATAGATTTAACGAGTAATTATTGTATGGAAGGATCAAGTATCATCCCTTATATTTCCTAATGAGGGTTCGGTTATTGGCATTCAATAGTATACTATGATACTAAAATATATAGGTACGTGATTTTAATTTAGAAACATGAACCCCTTAAAATGACACTATTCTCTTAATTGGTTACCGTCAACATACTGTACCATCGTGATGAGTGTGCTATCATTACTCTGTTGATTAATCTCGTGGTATGGGGAAAGTAGTTCTATTAAACCTGTTTGGGGACTTCAATGGTATACTAGTCTACAGCACCATCTTTGGATAGACTACTCTCATTTGCTGGCATATAATGCCCAGAATAACTGGGAAACATGTGATCATAACAGTGAACGGTAAAATATTTTGGATTATTTCCTGCGGATGGATGGTAGTGGTGAATTGGTCAATGTACATAAATATGATGACGTTTTGGTACTCGTATTATGTAAGAGAGCAGAACTTTTGATTTTCGTGGGACATTTTTGTTGACATTTTTCCGACATGGAGGTGAGATGCTTGGCTGTATTTTTCTGAAATTCTTTGACTCGATGGGCTGCGATTTGAGAAATTCTAATTCGAACTTTGTCAATTTAACATGCATCCCAATGGTACAAAAAGTAAAGAAAGTTCTACCGATAAACCATGGCATCTACGATTTAATACCATAAAAGCCATGAGTTTCTTAAGAAAATGAAGATGTGATGAGTGTCAGAATGGAAAATGCCAGAATAATTAAATCGGATTGAACTTTGTGATTGCACTTTTCTCCGAGTTAATATAATCTAGAATCTTTATTATGACGGTGTAATGACATTAGATAGTTGGCTTTGAATGAACGAAAATGTTAAGTCAATATTTAATTTATTTAATTTATATCAAATGATTTGGGCAATGTATGTTGTGGTAGGCTTGGTACATTGTAGTATAATATTACTACAATATCTGGCAATTTGTTGGTTAGTTTTTTCACAAGTGCATGAATATTGGGGGCGTTGATTTTTTACTAAGTTATACTAACTACAGAATTCAAAGATTGGGATTCCCATCATTTCTATATTATTCAAACATACATTAGCTGTGCGATTTCAAGAAGGATATGACAATGTGTAAATATCACATCATATGTCAGTGTGTTCTCATTAAACATTCTTGTTTTATAGTCACATCCCGTTGACCAAAATGATCTAGAATACATCAGGTGGCGGTAAAACACCATATAAAGACGCTATCAGGGGAAAACTTGGTTGTTTGAAATAATGAAGTGGTAAGTTTTTACATGATACTTAACATAGTCATAAACATCAAGTATCTACTCTGTAATTCGAATGCAGACAAATATCATTAGTAACTTGGGTTCTGGCAATGATGACTATTTAAAAGATGTTCTTATTAATTATGACCACTCGATATCAATGAACTCTTTACCAGTCATGCCAATACTAGTATAAGATACAGATCTTCTATTCATTTTGTCTATGTGTTTTTATTGCCAACAATTTCATTATATTTGTTCATATATTTTATTTTAACAAACGCGGTTATTCTATATTGAACCGTCAATATATATTTGTATTTGTATTGTATTTATTATTTATTATATTTATTATTATTTCCATATATAACTAACATATAACATGCACATGTCTGCGGCTTTGCAGAACTGCATTATAAGCCACAAGTAAACACGTTTGTAAGAAGAAAGTTGGCAAAAGAATATTAGTGTATATACAAGAAAATAGACATAATTTTAATTTCGTATTGATGCTATGAAACGATTCTTAGCTTAATGAAATGGCTTGTTATATTATACACAAGGGCATTTCACGATAACTGATATATTTTATTTTGATGTTCTATTAAACATTGCGTTAAACATTAGCGATATCAACTTTATTTTCTCTAAACAACAACAACAACACAATACTAGATAATAATAACTAGTAGGTTTATTTTGAAAATAATACTTATTTTCTATAAGATGGACATTTTTGGGCCTAATATCATCGCTTAATATTGACTCCTTAAGAGATAATTTATTATTTGTGATATTTTTGATAATATGCTTAAATGCTTTATATGATATTTCCCGGTATAAAAGTAGATTTATATGCACGTTTTCTTTTATCATACTTATACGATAGAATCGTTTGACTACACAATTATGTGACTATATAAATAACCGTTAATTGTTGAAAGTTGAATACGCATACTTATTTTTACCTGAAATCAATAACCTATGACAATGTTTTGTTGTTGCTATTTTAGGCACAAAATGGTTATATAAGGACGCATCTTGCCGTCTTAGTTCAATGCGATAAATTTTGACTCATTAATGATACTCGACGGACAAAAGTTGTTTGTGAATAGAATATATTCGATAAAAATAAACACTTTACGAACATTCGACCTAACCGATATGCAACCAAGGAACACTTATTTCAAAGAAAATAACAATTTTGATTAATTGACTGACAAAAATAATAAAGTTGACAAATCTAAGAGAACATAGTGACTGACTCATTTTTATCTTATTTACTAACTATCCAAACAAGACATATCCCCATCATCGTAAACAAAATCATACATCCGAACAATGCTTCCTTGTATCCTTCATATAATTACAGACCCCCGCCGATCCCTGGGATAACATACACTGGTAGTACGAGGCTATTTTTCCAATCTTGATATGCTCCTGTTTATCATTAAAGAATGCCGCCGATGTTTTATGAAATTTTGATATATGGTTTTTATAAATGCCTTTTGCGTATCATTTTATGAAATTGTTATATAAAGTCGGTTTCTTTCAGGAGCTCTTCATTTTAAATTTTATTGAGGACGCAGAACATATTACGTTACTGATAATGTCGGTTCAGTGTCTTTCTATTCTCATTGTGCTATTGGCCTGTTCTCAACGCTTTGTGGATACCGAGTCAGGTAAGTATTTCTTGTCTAAGTTTTGTTTGATTGCAAAGCTTTATAAGTAATTAAAGTACGAATCGCATTTTCACTGATCTTATAAACATTGGCAAATTTTAAACCAATGTGCACCTTAATAGAAAATGTGCCGCTGGCTCATAATGTTTGTTTTTATTTCTCCGAAATACAATAATATTATAGAGTAATGAGTTGAAAACAATACTGATTTAGAAAGATACTCATATTACTTTATTTTAAAACACCGCAGCCTCAGGGAAGAGTTCGCTAAATGGGGATTGTTCATTTAGGGTATAATTGTGTTACTTTGCAGATGGGTGATTTTATCTGGGAAATATGTAAATGGTTTATAACTCAAATAGAAAAATCAAGAAAAAATACAACCCATACATATTAGTCTTTAAAAATTCGTTTATTTTGGTTGAGCACTTATGACTGTGCTATTTGTTGATTTTATGCCGAACAAACAGGATTATTCTTTATCAATCAACGTTTCATAAAGTATTTGCAAATAAATTATGTCACATCACTTCGGGGCGTCTCCGGGATATCAAGATCTTGTCTGCGAATATTCATTCTTGAGTGTTTTGGTTTGATTCTATTATCTGATTGTTGTTCCAATAGGGATATTGAAGCCATTCGGAATCTGAAAGTTAGCTTACAGAGAAACTGAAAGTCAGATTTCAGGTGTCATATCATGAGTTCAGAAGGATTAAAACTTTATTATATTTAAAAATAATATAATTGATAAATCGATAGTTTCAAAGCTAAAAAACACTTTGAACTCTTTAGAGAAAAGCAATATTAAAACATATTATCTGAAGACAATTTAACCAAAACAAACATTTTAACCAAAATAACTTTCAAGATGCTTTCAACATCCCCGATACACGTAATCTTACGTTTAGTTCAACTTATGCCCGACTCTCCTGTTTTACATCGTTTAACGGTAAAGTATAAGATAGTCACCGAGGGGGATATAGAGGATAAGGTCGATTTTAACGACGCAATCCTATACTTGAGAAATGAGAAAAATTATGTATTATTCCATAAAAATATCTGTAAAATTATACATACGTTGCTATGAATTTTGTATAATTTCTCTAATTATAACATTTAGGAACCTCAGAGACGCTCACTATATTAACACAAGATGAAAATTACGTCCCCATTGAACAGATAGATCTAACTGGAAAGCTTGGACTAACGTTCCAAGTAAAGGCATGCACATCAGCTTACGTAGCGCTGTCGGCCATTTTTGGTGTTACCAACTCTCGAATGTACGAGATCGTGATATCAGGATGGTCAAACACAAAATCAGTGATACGAGATTGTAGACAAAGGTGGTGTAATAGAGCTGAATCACCGACTGGAGGTCTTTTGAAGTGTAACGAGTCTGTGTCGCTGTGGGTCGGATGGACAAATGGTGAGTTGACACAATCCAAACGCACTTTTTATATTTACGGGTTGACTTTTGTAAAATCGTTAATTGTGTTTGTTTGTTTGTTTGTTTTCGTCTTTGAGGTTTTTACGTTTTTTGTTGTGTTAGGACACATTGTTCTTGGAAGAGGTCGTTTTTTGGGACTCGAGCCGCTACTAGAATGGGAGGATAGTAGTCCTGAATACATCACTTCGTTAGCTGTTAGTACTGCAAATGGTGTCAATGGAACCTGGACATTTACACCCGATGAGAGTAAGTTTTCAGCGTTAATCCATGGCAAGGATAATGAATAACAATCTCCATTTATAATTTTACATCAAAATTGAATCCTATCCGTGTCTTTGAACTAACATTGGCCCAATATATATTATTCCAGCATGTTTGGGACCCGATTCTATGGTCACGTAACCAACATTCCTTAATGTCCGAGTCACATTTTCTCCGATTCGTCGATCAGCACCCGGCCGATTCAGTATTTGATTTTGTTCAAAACTGAATACAATTTTGAAAAAATACTCAATCGGACAGTAAAAAGATATCGAGGAAGGACCACGACGTTTACCGAAACGTCAATTAGCAAGTTTTTAAGGTTGAGACAAGAAGTAACTTATTCATATAAAGATGGACCTCTTGTAACATGTCATACATCGTATATCGTGCTTACCTAGACGAAAATACGTTTTACCTAGACTAACACTATCACTACATTTGGATTATTGTTTCATTCTGTTTCAGACTGCGGCCTACCATTGGAAAGACGTAAAATAGCTAGTGACCAGATAACGCATTCGACTTCCTCGAGAGGTCTTCCGAGATTTAATCAACGCAGTACGTTTCAATTTTTTACACAAACGCATCAGATTTCTGCAATGGTCTGTAATTACACCGTTTTATAAGTACATATTAACATAAAATCAAATTACTATAACTATGAACCAACTAAAAGGACGAGTATCATTGAGAGCCCATTTAAGCCCCCACAGATATCTCATAATATTGCATATCATATTGAAGATAAATCATTTGCGCTTTATGAAAAATATAATTTTAGCTAATTCAGACCGTTGGCTTTAAAATACAGTCAAGTTAATACATATTTTCACAAAATGTCGTTATTAATTGTTGTCTTAGTTAATAATGATATAAAGAAGTTTGAATATAGTTAGATGTTTGTCCTTATTTTATGCAATACTGAAGAACACTATGACCAACATTATTTTGTAACTCAAAGTACGTTAATGCCCTCTTTTAAGTATCAACATGACTGTTCGTTCGTATGTTTTTATGATGACGTCTCATATTATTCTAAATATATTTGCTTTACAATGCCCCAATCTCTCATGCTATACGAAATATACAGAATACAGAATATACAAATTTTATTTATACTTTGGAGTTACTTGTCCTTTATTTCCCATGATTTAGAGGTTGACTATTTACATTTACCAAAATGTTACAATTCATTGTCTGAATATCTATAATGATGATATTCGTTCACAATTTGCATTGTGTTAACTCTAGGTGGATGGTATCATTATGGTTCAAATACTCCATGGCTTCAATTCAATCTGCTACGTTCACACAAAATAACAAAGATGGCGCTACAGGGGTATGCTCCAGGACATTCATATTGGATGAAAACATTCCAAATACTCTACAGTATTGATGGAACCGATTGGTTGTACTACAATGACAAGGAAACGTTAACGGGAAATACCAATGGAAACGATGTTGCAATAATTAATATAGACCAGAACATAGAAGTAAGTATGTTGCATTATGTCAAGATGAAACGAGATCTCGACAAAACGAGAAAAGCTATATGAACAAGTGTTGTCAACAATTTGTCATTCTTGAAAATCACATATATAGAGTCAAACTAGTGGCATGATACACTATTATGGTATTTTTTATTGTTATTTGACATATTGAATAGTTTAGCTAATATGCATAATGAAAGCTCTATATTTTTATTTATATACTGTAAATCGTAATTTAACTGATGCTAGGCATTGGGTGTCATCAATGAATGATTTTCTAATACAACTGACCTCAAGCCTAAGGTCTTATAATTATCGATATAACATTTTAATTGTAAATTAACTGACCTTGGGACTAAGGTCCCATTAATAAATGGTTACCTCATACACTCGACCTTAGTCCTAAGGTCTCGTCAATATACCGTTTTGCAAGAAACATGGCCTTAGGCCTAAGGTCTAATCAATGAATGGTTTCCTTATACACCCGACCTTAGGCCTAAGATCTCGTCGATGTATATATATATACCGTTTCGTGATTTACATGACCTTAGGCCTAAGGTCTCATCAATGAATGGTTTGTTCATATACCTAACCTTAAGCCTAAGGTCTCATCATTGAAAACTTCAATACACTGACCTTAGGCCCAAGGTTTAAATGACATATTACAGACCTTAGGGGGGTTAGCTGAGAATGTGATTATTATAGTTAACACAGAATACTGCTTTTCTTCATAGGCGCGTTATCTTCTCATCCTTCCAATCACATGGAACAATCAGCCAGGTATACGGATGGAACTCTTTGGCTGTCCAAAGGAAGTACCAGCAAATGAATACACTATGATCGAGAATGATATTGTTGTAAGTCGTTAATAGGTCCTATCTTAATTACAGAGGGGAGAGGGGGGTGGATGACTATAATCGATTCATTTTGTAAATTCCTATTCGTGGATACCATCCCCAAAAGGGGGTCTTTCACTTCATGTAATGTAATTTGTATAATATTCTTTAAGGAATAATAAATCTAAAAAAAATAAATTAAGATATACGGTTATTTGACAGTTTAATTATGAAATTAAGATAAAAAGTGTACACGATTTACCTTGTTATTTTCTTTCTCCGATTCTCCGATTCTTGGAGTTTTTCCATCCCTGTTGTATATGATTGAACAATGTATACTTAAGGGGGGGGTATATTATGAAAAATTAAGCTATACTATGAATGGTACTTGCATTTATAGGACGATGAGAGTCTATTCTTACATCTAAGTCCCTATGTTGTGTCAAAACAAATTGTGATCCGACCAAGCGGGGCCCTTACCATTAAAGCAGGCGTTAGGGTTCTGTTTACGACGGCCGATGCTGGTATTATAGTTCATGGTACGTATTGTTGCGTATTCTTTTCTGCTACAGAATCATTGCATAAATTGACAATTTTATGAATTTGGTAAATTTCCGCTTCAGGTAATCTGAATATACAGGGGATAGAAAACCTTCCTGTTGTGTTCACAGCCGATGAACCAGTCAGAGACATGTCATCACTTTGGTCCGGACTGAGTTTTGTATCTGGACGTGAGTTTAATCTTTCGTTGTTCTTAATTGGTCAACATTTAAACTACACTACATATCTACATAAATTGACAAGATCATTGTATGCAAGAGTACAAAATGACTGTTGATATTTCAAAAGTGTATCATAAACTGAATCTCTTAAGCAAATTTTGGACAAAGTAAAATATGTCATTATCCCAATGAACGAACTTCTGTAGGGATATAGCGGAGCCCTTCGTAAGCCCGTCCGTCTGGAAGATAACTTGAATACAAGTTGACAAAATTTCTTCATATTTTGTGGAAAGATGTATGTTCGTGATTAGTTTTACACAAATTTCTTATTCAAGATGGCCGCTTTAGAAATGGTGGGAATTTTTCATTTCATTCAGTTTTTCATTTTAAACCAGAGTAAGAAATATTATTGTTTGAAAAGGAGCACATGGGTTATCGCAAACCATTTCAGAAGGTTATATCTTGGATTATGACTATTTTCTGACAATGAAGACAAGTTTGTCTTTTAGATCAATTTCATTATCTCAAAGAAAATTATGCACAGTAAGAATAAAGTCAAACAAACTCGGAGATATTTAACTAGCAATCAACCCATCAACACACTTTTTCAAAGATGTTGACCCCATTTTCACCAAATATGCAATCATTTCTACAACGTTTAATGCATTACTATTCTTTATTTTGATGTATCAAATAGTTTTTGAAAGAAAAACTTCATTGCTTTAAGGTAAGTGTTCCCCATGTTATTTCTCCATTGAAAAATCTCATGCTATCCATTGGTTTTAGTTCATTTTGGTCATCCAAATTCAGTATGTTTAAAGTCCCTGGAGCAATCAACTTTTCCTTTAATGGAAATCGAACAAAGCACATTCTAATTATGCATTCAACAATATAATAAAAGATTGCACTTTTCGTGAAAATTAGGTAAACTGATAAATTTAATTATCATTATATATACTTTTCTTGAAAATAATGAATGGCTCTAAAAGATACACCCATGTTCATGATCAGAAAATATTCATAATTCATGTTAGAATCGTTTGAAATTGTTTGCGATAACCTGCGTGCTCCTTTTGAATAATATTCACAACATCTAACTACAGTATTTCACACATATTCTGTGCTTTTCACCATGACCCCAAATATAAAAGGGCCGTGAAGGAGGAGGGGTATCCGGAAAACAGGAATTTGCATTGATTTTGACATCCTTCTCAATTTAGAGTACATTGCAAATATTGTATCTTTCTCTGATTTGGGCCTTGTAAAATTCAAAATTGCCAACTTATATGGGATTGCGCAATAATTTTTTAATCTCTTCAAAGTATGGCTTTATTATACTCAAATTAAAGGAATTTTAGAGTAGCTCACAATTATGGTATTGTTTTCTGATTTATGTCTAAGAAAATTCAAAATGGCTACCTAGCTAGCAGTGTATGGGGGGGGGGGTCGGGAAAACAGCAATTTGCGTTTTAATATTGTGATCTTCTTCAAGTATAGCTTTATTATACTCAACTGGAAGGCAGTTTATAGTAGATTGCAAATATAATATCTTTTTTCTGATTCGCGCCTTTCAAAATACAAAAGTGCCGCCTAATGTGGGATTACGCAATAATTGTCCGATCCCCTAAAAGTATATTTGGCTATATTATAAATATATAAATTGAAGGAATTTTAGAGTAGATCACAATTATGGTATTGTTTTTTTCCGATTTGTGCCTCAGAAAATTCAAATGGCTGCCTTGCAGGAATTTGCAATTCTAAAGTCTAAATGTTTCATTTTTTAACCAAAGTAATGAATATTACTGATTGGAATTTTGGTAATTGATAAATTGTTCATTGGGATTTGCTACTCCTTGGAATTGCCGTTTTCTAGTTATAAACGGTTGTGAAATTGTGCAGTTAATAATAAATCAGTGTTTACATATGTATAATCAAAATAAAATGATCCTTAAAAACTAATAATGAATAATAAATTCCCATTTCTTTGAACATCGAATTTGACATATCGAGGGTGTATGTTAGAGCTTCACCATTAAAACGACATCTTATCAGATTAGCTTAATAATTCACATCCAAGATATCTACCAATGCTAGTGGGAAATATTTGAACATCTAACGCCCCAGTCACATTTGTCGCACGGCGGCCGTGCGTCGACCGCGGATCAATTAAATCAGTGAATTTCTGCGGCGAGCGTAGAAAAACTACACTCGCCTTGCGGCCTCCGTACGGCGTATCCAGTTTTTTACAGGCCGCAGGGTCGCCGTAGAGATTATAACTCGGAGTTATAATATTAGTTCATTTCTGAGGTCCTCGTAGAAATCAACTGGCTCAACAAGATTGAATCATTATTTGTCAATGTTTGTCAAAATTTAAAATTCACCGTGTGGCTGCCGTGGGAAATGTGACTGCAAAAGTATGAGAGCGCAGAAATTCTACGGCGAGCGTAGAAAAGCTACTGGCCGCAGAAATGATAGACCGCACGGCGGTCGTGCGAAATGTGACTGGGGTGTAAATGAGTGGCATAGATATATATTTCGAGGATTTCAATTCCTCTAAATATATCAATCACGTTTTTTCTAACAGTAATATTCCTAAACTTTACAAAAAATTATATTCAAACAACTTTGGACAGTAAGGTATACCTTATGATCTTAATAAAAAAACATATATTGTAGAATCATCATTGCAACACGCTTATGTAGAAGGGGCCAGTGTGGGTATCCAAGCAACAGGCTACTCTGTAACTTTAGATCACGTGACCATCACAAAATGCTCAGCTGGGATCAAATTCACCAATGGCGCATCATCTCCTAACCACACAATAATTTCTGATTCACACATTTTGAATAACGGCGGGCATGGTATTGAATTCAAGGGAAGCACTGTTAACCCATTTTTAACAATTTTCCGGACTGTTGTAAAGGGAAACAGAGGATCTGGGTTATTTTGTAAAGACACACACGCAAATATTTCTGTGCAGAATTCAGAGTTGTCATATAACGCCAAATCTGGTGTTGATATACACCAAGTAGAGGGAAGTATCAATGTACTTGGAGCAAAGGTCCTGCGAAATAGAAATGATGGCGTTCGGATTAACGGAATAAGAGGTGAAAGTACTATCAACTCCACAGAGCTTGCATATAATCATTATCGTGTAGTGTACTATTCCGATGTAGGTAACTACAGAGGGGGGCTTATCAGGCTCACAAACAATTCTTTCATAAAAGGAATGAACACCGCCTATGGGTACAATATTTATTTTGACAATTGGTACTTCAACGGAAATGCAATATTTATCGAAAACAACTGGTTTAATGATATAGTAACGTCCTCAACATCTTTACTTATGATAAATAGATTCAGCTCAAAATTATATATATCAATTAGAAATAACGTGTTTTACAACTGCTATCAATCAATGTATATAAGGACTTACGATGGTACGGAAGTCCTTGTCAAAAATAATGAGATGAAAAACAGCAGAGCTAATGACCAGCACTACGATGTGAAAGTAATAAGTGAGGGCACTAACGGAATATTCAATATCATCAGGAACAGATTCAGTAACTTATCTGCATCATCTTGGTTATGGATTGACACCGACGCATTCACAATGGAAAATAATTCTTTTGAATTGTTTAAAAGTGCCGATCAATGTGCATTCTACGTTGATGTTTCAAAGCCGGATATCTTCTTAAATGCATCGTATTCATATTGGGGTTCGTCTGACCCAGGCGATGTGAAACAAAGAGTATGTGGGAATAGCCGGATTATGGAGCTAGCTCACATTAACGTGTCACCCTTTTACACCGACAGCAGTCTAACCATCTTGAACGTTGATGAGGAAGTAGATTTCTTCTTTACGGATACAAAAGATGCTATAGGTGGCGTTATTGTGGAGAATGAAACAATCCCACACATTTACAACCATACGTACCACGTGAGACGCAACATATTTATACTTCCAAATGCAACACTCACTGTAGAATCTGGAGTCCAACTCGAGTTCGATCAAGGGATTGGAATCCACATACTTGGTAAGTTGTCTGACATAAAAAAGCCAATCTGTTTTGATACATCATAAAATAAGTTGCTATAGTTTGATTATATCTAATCACTAGGAAAACAAAACAAAAATTGAAATTCGAACAACTTTTAAGTTCAAATTTAATCCATAAAGCAACTATTCCATCACATGGGTTAAACATGATGTGATGAACGTTGTATAGAATAGAATCAATGTTTCATTCAAAAAAAAGAGTTTGATTCTGTGGTTTTCCCCCGCGTTTATTGGACACATACGTACATACATGTACATATATACTCCTCAAAAAAAAGTTAAGAAACTCATAGGTTTACATGTTAACCCCCATATTTGTTTAACGACTGTTTTTTAGGTGGGGAACAACTTAAGAAATCCCAATAAAGAAAATAAATCTATATCTTGATTCTATTCACTATAAATTCCGCAACGTTTCAATGTTATATCTCCATTACATTGGGTCAAAATTTGATGTCAAAATTGATGAATTTCATGAAATTTAACAAAAATGGCAGATCCCATGTTAAACAAATGGGGAATGGTTGGGTTGCCATAAGTCATATGAGGAACGACCCATCCATCCGATTGCTCTCAAAATTGAGATTGTAAGAGATAATTATAATTTGCTAAATTGTCTACTCGACAAAAATATGATTTCATTGTCCAGGCTTTACAAAAGTTAATGGTTTCAAATTCAATAATTTTTTAATGAACCTCTTATTGAAATAACACAGGTGGTTCAGTGAGGTGGTCAAAATTACTTTAACGATCCGTATCGCTAATTTTAACAACATAAGCGAGACATTTAGCATGTAAAATGTAAAATCATTCAATTTTCTACTTAGAAAGTATTTTTAATAAATGTTTTGCTGAATAGATATTCCAAAAGCTGAGTTGCCCTTAAGCGACCATTCCCCATTTGTTTAACATGGGATCTGCCATTTTTGTTACATTTCATGAAATTTATCAATTTTGACATCAAATTTTGACTAAATGTAATTGAGATATAACATTGAAACGTTGCGGACTTTATAGGGAATAGAATCAAGATACAGATTTATTTACTTTATTGGGATTTCTTTTGTTCCCCGCTGAGAAAACAGTCGTTAAACAAATATGGGGATTAACATGTAAACCTATGAGGTCCTTAACTTTTTTGAGGAGTATATATATATAACGTAACTAATTTATATCCAAGTATTTTCAATGAATTCGCACTTCAGGGAAAATATTTGCAAAGCGAGACAATATATAAGTTATGTACAGGTTATGTATAGGTTAATCAGCCTCTTACAATCATTTATTTCAGGCCAATTGTTCATCAGAGAGGGAAAAAATGGGGACATTATTATGTCAGGAAAGAAATGGGGAGGAGTTTACGTTGCATCTCTTTCATCTGAAGGTATGTCATTGAAAATAAACACAGCTTTGCGTTCGTCATTTCAAATATTATTTATTTATTAAATACGATTCGTTTATAATATTAATTTAGATTAATATCAATTGCATTATTTAATTTTCAGGCTTGGCTCTCAATGGTGTCCAAATAGACGGCTCGACTTATGGTATCCATGGGTCTGGCAGGGACATTGCTTTGAATAATGTAACGATCTCAAACACAGAACACGCAATGTATATTTATGACACCCCAAGCAAATATATTAACATTGCTATAACTGATAGTTTCGTCAATACAACTTCTGGATCTGGTATCCATATTGAGACGCCATCAAGTGTGATAGAAAGATTCGACTTAAAAATTGAAAGAGTGATAATGCAAAGGTCAGGCGGCGTTGGATACATTTATGTAAAAGGTAGAAGTGGGAAAGTAGAGTCGACGTTTGCTGAGCGTTCATTTATATCCATTGTGAATAACACATTTTATTCCACGGATACAGAAGATACATCTGCAATAGAGCTAACAGATTTGAGCCATTTTTCTTCAATCGTTATCAAAGATAACACAATAAATGGTACGAGTCGTACAGCGTGTGTCCTTGGACTCAATTCGGGCATTGGAACCGTTGATATCATTGGTAACGTTATCTCCGAAAGTAACGGAGCTTTATCCCTGACATCTACTCTCACAAGTGGCACAAAAATCATGAATAATCGATTCATCTCTAACTTTGGAAGCGACAATGTCATAATTAATCCAACCACAGTGAATAACTGTACTATCAGTTACAACGTCTTCTTGAATAACAGCAACAACGCACTGACCCTACAAGAATTCCAATCCGGCACATTGTTGAACTACAACTTGTTTGATAACCTCAAAGGAGAAAATAATTACAATTTAAAGGTATTACAATTTTGTTTTTAAATTATGCAATGTTTTTTATTAAACGTAATCATATCGTTCAATGTTTTCAATCAACACAGCTCTTTCTAACCTTTAAAGAGTTTTACATAAGGTTAGAAATTTAATTTATAAATCAAAACTTTCATTAAACAACCCAATATTGAGTTGGATCACAATTTCTTACTACAACTAAACTTTTTGATAAACTCACAATCATTCCACTATTTACTTAACTTACATGCAAAGCCTGGGTAACCATGGCAAAGGATTTATCTACCTAGCCGAAATTTCAAAATCCCCGCCCAGTTAATATTATGAACCATATGACCGTTCAATTCTCATACTTAATCCCTTTCTCATAATAATTTTTGAAGGTAACTTCCCCAAATGGCGGCCCTGATATAAATGCAAAGTTCAACTGGTGGGGCAGTAAAGAGCGAACACAAATACTAGTCAGTATATATGACAACAAGAGAGACCCTTCCGTTGGTGTATTAGATATTTTCCCCTACCTACTTTCCCATAATTACTCAGATGTGTCAACTGAAGACAACTTTTTCCGGCCTGGTGGTAGCATCGGAGGTGAAATTAAGGGAAACGTAACTCTCAGATGTGATGACAGTCCATACGACGTCATGTCAGACATTGTAGTTATTGAGGATGCGTTGCTACTTATTGAACAATGTGTTGTGCTCAAATTTGATGAGAATATAGGCATTCGAGTTAAAGGTAATTATTTAAAGCGTGTCGACCTCATTCATCAGGTAGATATACATATATTTTTGTAAGGTTTTACCATGCGGTACTTCCTCTGGTATTAATTACAAGATAAAGTTTGTGGATAAGGACATTTTAATACCATTCTGTTTCTCAGAAGAGTTTAACCATGATTTATTGTAACTTCCAAAGCTGATTTTTGGTTTTTTGTTGCTCTTAAAACTGTGTTACGTGGGCGAGGGTTTTAAACACTATTTGTTCAATTTTTAGATTGATCTTTGAAATATTGGATGGTATGTTCTCCTTGTAAAGTTTCGTGATTTTTTCTTGATGAGTTTTGACAAATGTGTTAACATATTTATTTCGATTTTCTACTGTTTTTGTTTTGAATATTTTTTTTCAAGATTCTCTCTCTAATATTCCTTGCTTTTGTTACCTATTTCAACGAGTAGTCATCTCTTTTTAGGTGAAATACATATGAATGGAACAGCAGAAAAGCAAATTCAATGTATCCCTAAAACACCTGACGTCAAATGGACTGGTATAAGCATTGTGACTGGTAAGCTAAATTATCAAAGTTTGAAAGGCGTGAATTGCAGACAAATACAGTCCTAAATTGCACTATTATCTTAATCAAGTCTTGGTCACATTTGCTCACATTTTCACTACGGCACCCGGCCAATTGAGTATTTTGTTTAAAATTTAAAACACCTTTGAACAAAATACTCAATCAGCCAGGCGCCTGTCGATGAATCGGAGCACATGTGACTCGATCATTACACAATTATATCTTCTTAACGCACCAGAAACGAAAATGTCTTGGTGTGCATTAAGCCGACACTCATAAGGCATAAGCCTATGAAATTTTCATCTGAACCATCTGTATACTGTATTTAAGTTTACACCTGGACAGACCAACCAAAAATGGATGGACTACATATTGTATACAATATAAACATGAGCATGATATTCTTGCCACCCTGAAGGGGCATAGTGTAGATCGAAATAATGAATTTTTGCAGAGGATCGTGCCAATATTGACGGAAGACTTCGCTTGGTAGGTGATACTACATCGGGAAGACTTGAGGTATTCTATGATGGTCAATGGGGCTCTGTTTGTGACGATGGATTTGATATGAAGGATGCTATGGTTGCCTGCAGACATCTCGGTATAGTTTTTTTTATGGATAATACACTTTTGAAATTTTAGATTGAACTTAAGGCCAGTTTAGGTCATATTTATAATCATCATATTTATCACGTTGGGTGGTCCAGAGAGAGGCAACAGGCGTATGCCCGAAATCCATCTACATTTTTATATTATTTGTACGGTTTTCATTGACTAGGTATGAAGTTTGAGGGGGCTACGTTTAGAACAGTTGGTGGTGGTACAGGACCTATATGGTTGGATGACATGGCTTGTGAAGGAAGTGAAAAATCTTTATTTACATGTAGACACAATGGTTGGGGACGTGAAAACTGTGGTCATAATGAAGATGTTGGTATAACTTGCGGTGGTTTATTAAGAACACCAAGTAGATTACAGATGTCTTCGATGAGACATGTCAAATTAGTGAATTCAACTATTGGCCTTCACATCACAGGAATTATGCCTTCAGCAATGGAATATATAGAATCATTTAGTTCCGATCAAAATGGAATTACCTTCGACAATCCTTATATATTAAACATATCCACTACTGTGTTGAAAAATATAAAGACATTGGACAATAAGAAAAATGGGTTGCTATGGAAAGAAGGCATAGGGTACAACATGTCTAAAATAGAACTTGTTAACGTAAATTCCAAGGGTAATCGAGAATATGGACTACATTTCACAGGGACACACCAGGTCATAAAAGTTATGGACAGCTTGTTAAAAGAAAACATATATGGTGCAGTTTTCTCATCTCTCTTAACATCATCTTTGCATTTAGAGTCGACAGAAATATCAAGAAACACGCATGGAGCTCTCTACTCAAAAGCAGTAGCGGAGTTTAACTTCACTATGGCAAATTGCAATATTGTCAACAATGGAATTTCTTCAGACACTTCAAATAGTACATTTCATTTCAGCTCAAATGGTGATGAATATTACAGTTTACATTTTTTAAACAACACATTCATTCAAAACTTTGGGCGAATGATGATTCGTTATAATGAAGATGACACACAATACACGTATGTTCTGTTCAGAAATAATACTGTCATCGACAATACAGGTATCGCACTGCATATGACAAAAATTGATCATGAGGCGAAAGTTGTGTTCATTGACAACCATATTGAAGGGAATACAGTGAAAACTGAAACATCAGGAAATGGTGCTTGTCTGTTTTCTGCCACGTTCTACAGAGGAGAATCATTGAATTTTGATTTTGAGAGAAATATTGTGGCTAACAACACAGGATCCAGTCTTTTGCATATCACGCCATATTACAGCTGGTATGATGGCCGTTATTTGAAAATATTGCTGATGCAGAATGTATTCGAGGACAACCAAGTAACAACCTCGATTGATGTAAGTGAAAAAGCTTACGATGTAGATGCACACTATAATATATTTCACAACCCCATGGCAACTTATGAAGTTAGGTCATCTGAAAGAATACCATTAATGGGATATCATTTTGAACGAAACTACTGGGGCCCAAGAAATCTTAGTGAAATAGAGACGGTATTATGGAACCATCACAACAATATTAATTTGAATCGGATATATATTCACCCTTATGCGACCAACCCTGACTTAACTGAATTCAGTGATGATGATCAGGATGTTCAGTTTTTAATGACTTCATTTTTTGGAGGTGATGTGATTCAGGATATCGTTGTTGAAGCAAGAACCGAACCTTACATTGTACAAAGATCTATATACATAAGGTAATACATGCAAAGGGAAATACAAGTAAAATAACTCTCTGTGGTAATAATTTGTCGGATCCTTTACCAATGACAGTTTGTTAGATAAACTGTCCTTAAGACGCAAGTTTAGAGTAAATGTCCTTCATTTGATTACGCAATAAGGTGTACGTGTATTTTATCATATTTATCATTAAAACTGTTTTTTTGTTTTGTATTTCAGAGATGGTGGCATGCTGACATTAAATGCTGGTGTACATCTGATGTTTAGAGGAATGCATGGGATTTTTGTTGAAGTTAAGTATTTCTTGGGAATTCCAAGTAAATGCAAATCACATATCTTAAACGGCTTTAATTTCGTAATGTAGTTAAACCATATAACTTTTTTGTCTTAATAAATCATGCTTTGTGTGAAAATATCACTAGCTTTCTAATCAAAATAACGAAGATAATAAGATATTCTGACAATTGTTTTAGTACATCTTTAAGGAAGTACAACGAGCAACACTGAAATGGGACAATAGTTTTATAACTCGTCAGTCAAATGTGATTATTTAAAATGCATAAGTATAAGTATCTAGTTTAATTTTCAATTTAAGGTCGCCTTGTGATCAATGGCAGTGCCGAAAGTAATGTAATCCTTTCAAGAAAAGAAAGAGACGCTCAATGGGAAGGAATTGTGTTCCAGAAGCCTAAACCGGGGGGTAAATAATAGTAAATTATTTTAAGTAAAATCTATTTTATAAAAATTTTAAATCAACTCATATGTTCCGTCTGAATTAACATTGATATTTTGTTATTTTCAATATTTCATTTCAGCTTGTAAAAATGGTACACACTTTTCACTGATGAGGCATTTTGCCATCAAAGAAAATAACAGAGAGATCAACTCAAACTGGGACAGATGGTACTGTATACATCGCTGTAGAACTGCAACCTATGTATGCAAGTCAATAGAGTACAGGGCTTTGGATGGTCGCTGTCAACTGAGTGACAAATCAAAAGAAGATATCAATCCCAGCATGTGGAGCAACTTTACGGAAGAATGGGATTTCTACGAACGAGCAGATTGTATTGGTAAGCTAATGTCTATTTTACTCAAATATATACTAGTTAAATCGTCAAAAGCCAAGTATGCAGTCATGAAAGGTACTTTACATTATATATACTGACTAAAAAGTTGTTTCGACATGTTTATGAAAGGTTAGATTAAAATGTATTTTAGTTGGATAAGAATTAACTGAGAAATGGTTAAAATTGTTCCCTGCGTTGTAAGCAAAATTAAAAGTTAGTAGAAGAATTAGAAGGAAGACATTTTAGGTGTTAATCTTAATTCCGTGTCGATAACATCACCTTTACTGTTATACCTTTTAAGATGACATTCTAATTTGCTTATTATTTTGGACCTTAATCATCATTCAAGCAAGATAATTTCACACTATCTGTGTACATTATCTGAAATCATATCAAATGTGTTTTGAATACTTACTTTTTGGATATGTTTGACACCTTGTTTTGTTTTTTAATTAAATATAACCATTAGCGTGTACCTTCGAGATTCATATTACTATTCTCTTCATATGAATCGATTCCAAAATGTATTACAGATCCCGAAGCATCTGTTGTTCGCCATGCTAACATAACAGGATCGAAATATGGAATGCTGATATATGATGTCCCTATCAAGGTTTATGATGCACGCATTGAGTATGTGGAAAATGGATTGATCTTTCACAAAAATAGTTTTGGCACAAACATGACATTTCGGGATAGTCAGATAAGTCAAAGCACTGGCAGTGGAATAGTCATGACGTCATCTGCTCTACGATATATTGATATGACGGGGAGTGTGGTTGACAGGGCTCGATACCATGGTATACTTTTGGATGGAGACAACCCGATATTGAATTTGATAAATGGAACAGTATCTCAAAGTGAAAAACATGGAATCTATAAATCATCGAGTGTTAGTGCGGCGTCTGTATCACTTGATGGCGTAACATTTGATTCCAATAGACAAAATGATCTGAATATCAAATATCCAAAATATATATCCGTTTTAAACTGCGCATTCATGAAATCTATCCAGTCAAATTACCATGCAATATATATCAGTAAAATGGGACAGTATTATGACAAGACTTCTCGTTTGACTATGGATATCAAGAACTCTGTATTTGAAGAAAACGTGGGACCTGTTGTAAAGGTGACAACCAATACGCATAATCACCATTTGAAAGCGTTAATCAACATACAGAATAATGTATTTCGAAATAATAGTAACAGTCTGGTGGAAATTGCGCCCTCAACAGGTACTGATGTATTGATTCAAGATAATCTAATGGAATATAACGTTGGAACAGCTCACCTAATAGACATACATGCAATTTATTACCAATATGGAAAGCAATGGCTCAACAATGACGTCCATATTATTCGAAATAAGTTGTTAAGCAATGAAGGTCTAACAATGGTTCACCTTAACCCAGATGACAACGCGAAAAGCAGTGGGATGTTAACTGATAATGTTTTCAGTGGTAACTCTGCATCACAGGGCATCATTAGGACGACATCCGGAAATTATTCATTTCATTACAATATACTTGAGAACCCTTCCATTGCTTTTGAACTATATGTAGAGTATAACGGCGACGACGTCGTAGACGCCACTTATAACTGGTGGGGAAGCACAACTGAAGCGTATGCAAAGGACCGTATATTTGATAAAGAAGATGCAATAAACTCTGCAGTCGTTGTGTACATCCCAATTTTACAAGGAAAGGTGTTTACATGCTTTGCTGTAAATAATTGTTCTGGCCACGGGGAATGCATCAGACCTGATAGATGTCGCTGTGATGATGGATGGAAGGGTACTGAGTGTAACCAAGTCTCTTGTCAACAGGTATCATTTATTTAATGTGTTCATTATATCATATCATTCGCTCTGTACGCTAACTTTTGTTGTTGCTCTCCTTAATTGTACTTATGACGTGCACGGACCTGGGGACAATTCGGGAAATACGGGCTAATCTCAGCTTTAAGCGTTAATATCTGCCTTATTTAAAAAGCAAACTACATGCATTATATATCATTTTGAAGTATTTCTTATTCGCATTTCACTGAAATTATTTTTCCTTGAAAAGTGTGATGGGATCTACCATATTTTTTAAGTTAAATGTACTCCGACATCGTCAAATACGCTGTAAGGCGTAACATTTCACGCTTACACGGTTCGTTGAAATCGGGATAACTTTTGAAATACTGATCAGAATTTTACTAAAATTTCACATTTTATTCATTGAAACATGTGCTTTTATGACGTCACAATAGTCTAGCGGCTACAGTTCAAATCGTCTTATATGAACGCTTTTAAGATTTTCAAAATTGTGTAAGGTTTTGAAGGCGAGGGAGACTAGCAATAAGTTTACCTTTATTTAACCTACTAATTTAGGTCTGATTTCAAAAAAAATTTAACTGCACAATATTGTCATGGCGAAATTTACAAAACAATAACCGATTTCTTTATTTTTCAAATAATAAGAGAATAAGAGTTGCTTTTAGAGACTTGAAAAAATGTAACGCATCGATTTTTTACCACAAATCCCATACATATCAATTTTTACTAACGCCCCGAGTGGATTTCCTGACCGTTTTTCAAAAATCAAAAACATTTTAGAAATATTGTCCTCGAGATCTTCTTGCTCTGTGAATTTCACCAGGATTGAATAAGAATAAAGCATCTTATTTTTAGGTTGACTAAACTTGACAAAATGTAACGCTTGTCGTTTTTGACGTTATAATGCTGATTGCGCCCTATACTGGCCATTGTATTGTTTTGGTATTTTGACGCCATAATGTTACTCTAATTGTCCCCAGTTTCGTGCGACGTGTAACTGCCATTAATGAGCTCACGTTATCATTTAGAACAGACACACTTTATATTTGTGTACCCTCAAACAATATGTTTTTCAAGAATGGTCTCATAGTATTAACTTATTCGAAGGTCTCCAACTGCTATGGTAATGGCAACTGTGTAGGACCAAATGTTTGTGAATGCATTGGGAGTTGGACAGGGAAAACGTGTGCAGATGCAACCTGTTACAGTGTCAACAACTGTTCGAGCAGAGGGTATTGTTTGCAACCGGACACGTGTTCTTGCTTTTCTTCCTACGCTGGGACCGACTGTTCACAATGTGAAGATTTGTATTGGGGTCAGGATTGCGAGCCATGCCCACCATGTATCAATGGATACTGCAACAAATTAACAGGTGATTTACAGAAACAGAAATGTATGCGTCGGTATACCATCACACTTATGGAAACTACAAGCAATAGCTTGACGATTTTGGGCTTTTTTAGTACTATATTTTTGCAATTGATATATTTCAGGTGAATGTACATGTTCCACAATAAATTGGGCTGGTGAGCTTTGCAATGTGTGCAACAGAACATTCTATGGACCATACTGTCTGCCTATTCCAACAGTTCTCCTTGTTGCCCCGTCAACAGGACCTGATATAGGTGGCACTGTTGTCAACGTAATCGGGCACAACTTTGAGAACAGTAGTGATGGTCATTATATATGTCGTTTTGGAAATATAGACACGATTGGTCTGTGGTTATCACGTGAACAAATACAATGCATTAGTCCAAAGCAAACTGGCGAAGTGTCTGTAAATGTTGCAAAAGATGGAAGCGGATTTACAAAGGAACATGTGAGTTAATTTAGGAATTTATATAATATTGTATAACATCGCGGTCGACTTCTGTAAAACGGTGAACATAACTTGCAAGGGTACTGAAATCTCAATTCAAAATACTTTGCCTTAACGACAACTTTTGATATTATATCATTGAATAGACGGCGACTACCTCCCCGCCCAACATTTTGTTAATAGATCGTAAGAATGTGATAATGTGATATTACCCTCTTCGGATATATATTGACAATTCACATAACTATGACAATTAAATGTAAGTCAAACCGCATTTCGTTTATGTTTTCTAACCTTACAATATTTTTACTACTTTAAGGTCAAATTCAAATACCACCCCACATGTCCTAGTATTGCCTGCGGAAGAAATGAAACACCACCTCATGGGATTTGTATGTTTGGCCAATGTTCATGCATCTTACCCTGGGAAGGAGAGTCCTGTCAAGATATTGTTATTGCGCCATTGTTTAAGGAGATCAATTTCACATACGCCAATGAAGGAGAGAGATATGAAGTTCAAATGGAAATAATTCAGGTTATATATGATATAATTCAGTTTTAAGATGAAAGCAAAAACACATCCTTTATTTTTGATGACTATTGTCTAGCGCTATTTCAATTAACACTATCTTTACCACTTTCGTTTGATTTTTTTTAAATAGTGTCGGTTGTTAGTGAAATGTCGAAATATTTGCATAATTTATGGAATGAATGAGCATTGTGACAATGAATTAATATTTAAACTTTTTCAGGGAACTACACCAGTAACGTGGCAGCTGTTGAACGGGCCTCAAGGACTGTCTCTTGATCCAAGGTCCGGTCTATTAATTTGGCCAAGAACCGTAGCTCAAAAATATCCTTATGTAAGTTATGTTTATCCTTGATAACTCTTAATTGCACTACTTCTTGAAAAAATGGTATGACTGTTTTTCATTGTCTAGATTTAATTACTGTAATTGTTATTAAAGGTTGTTCAATTGAGAGTAGAAAATGCGGTTGGCTCAGATGAGAACACATTTACGCTAAGCGTTCCATTAAGCTACAACGCAACAGTGACGTCATTGTCTGTCACTGGAGTTCTATCACATCCGGTGGAAGTCTACATTTATGGACATGTCAGCCTCTTTAAGGGCGGATGGGAGGATAAAAGAGGGGCGGTGATGGTGCATATTTGGTAATGGTTTCGTGCGTTTCAATACTATTTGAATACATTTTGTTTGAGACATGCAAAATAGATGCTGTATTTCTGCCTTGATAGATTTACCAAAATGTGAAATATTAAATTGCGTTTTCATAGCTTTAAACATCATTATTTACCAAGCCAAACATTGTTTTAACAAGTCCACTTGATCTCGCCAATATTTCAAACATCCAAAACAAAACGCATATACGTTGAATTTATTCAGAGTAATTCTAATTATACCCAAATCTATTAATCGGTCGTTGTTAATCATGAATATTTGAGGGCTCATGATCTTAAAATTAAGTGACGATATTTGGCTGATGAAATTTGTTTTCATTATAGTGTTAAGAACAAAGATACAGTACGTAAACTGACAGCAATCACTAATTCGCAAGATGGCGGGCGTTTTGAAGCCATCTACTACCCAAACCCAGCGGACAGTGGTTTATTTGAAGTGGTAAGTGAATTACCAACGTACCTCTATTCACCTACCTCTTTACATGTCATGCATGCACACAATTTCGTTGTATTCAATAATGATCGTTTAACTGGTTAACTAATCATGCATTATTTTTAATGGTAGGATGCAAGGCACCCGTCCGATGATTATTGTGGCTCGCAGGCACAATGGACAGTACTTGGAATGCAAGTGCGGCCTGCAAATGGATTCCATAGACTATTTCTAGATGACAGCAAGTTGCCTCAAGTGGCCAAGCTGATTAATACAGGATCAATGCCTTTATATAACATTTCAGTTCAGGTATGTATACGTATACAGTGCATATAAAAAAAACGCAACAGATTGTTATCTCGGAAAAGCACAAAACCAATGATAACAGCATTAATTTCATGCAATGCACCATAAAGCCATGTGTTTCCTCTTTACAATGATATATCATTCATTGATATTTGGTCATGGTTGGGTGAGTAATCATTCTATTTGCAAAGTGGGCCAAAATTAGCTTTTGGCCAAGTTATAAACATCGCAAAAGTCAGTGTACGGAGCCTGATGCAATATTGGAAAAAAACATAAAACCAATGCTGACTACATCCTTTTCATTCAATGTACCAAAAAGCCAAATTACTCCTCTTTGCAATGGAATATCATTCATTCACAGGGAGTCATGACTGGCCGAATAATCACTAATTTTGCAAAGTGGGGCAAAATTCAGCTCGGTCCCAAGTTTTAAAAATTGCAAAAGCCAGTACAAAGGGCATAGGGGCTATTGGAAGAAGGTGTGAGAGGTGTGGCATAGACAGTAAAGTGTCCATACTCATACTCTTGCAAGAATACATCCTATACCTCTCCAAATTGCCACCACTTCCTTGCACATAAAGATGCGCTCATCTGCCCACGTCATGCGTGGTTCAGCCCTGAGTCATCTGTGGGTTAAAGCAGAGAAAAGCAGCCCTTGGGCAATTCTTTCTCGAGGTTTTGCAATATCTGGTGGAGGAATTGTGAGCACAGATGTTCCTGAGATAGATCCAAAAGAAAAAGTCACAACAATTCAATTCAGAGGAACTTCCATTGGCACTTAGCCTTTGCACTGATTTTTGCAATATCTAAGACTTGGCCAAGAGCCGATTTTGACCCACTGTGTAAACGGAAGGATTTCTCACCCAACTATTATCACATGTGAATGATAGACACTAGGCTTTATGATACATTAAATTAAATTGATGTAGTCATCACTAGTTTTGTGATTTTACAAGATAACTACTTGTTGCGTTTTTTGATACACCCTGTATTTACATAAAACCATTTGCACGAAAATTAATTGATGTTTTTAAGAATTGTGTATTTTCATAAATATTTGTTTATCATTTTAACTAGTGTTCATGTAGCTAACGTTCTTTCAATCGTGTTAGTATGAGCCGAAACTGCAAACCTCTTTTAGAATAACTTAAATGGAATATTCTTGTGCAGACGATTAGATTATTGCTCTTTTACATTGTATTCATAGTAAGCAGCTCATTTTAAAATTCATACGACTTTATTAAGTGATCAATTTAAAAAAAATATGTAATATGTAAATATGCAATGTAAGATGACAGATATTGGAGCTCAGCAGATAAACTAAAAGGACATTTGTATGATACTTGGTATTATTATATATATTGTATTTGTATTATAGAAGATCATCAAGGTGATTTGTAAACTAAACTCTGCATTTTCTATTTAGCTGATAGGATTTGGGCCACCTCTTAAGAGACTCGAAGTCAAACCGAGCAACGGTACCATTGTCAATAGAATATTCCTATCTTCGCTAGCCCCTGGTGAAAATATACCATTTGATATTGAACTAGATGCCAATAGCTCTCTTCGAGGGAACATTGGTATTGTATTTACATCCGACACTGGGACAGTTGCCGTTTTCTGGTTAAATTTAAGACTTGATGTTAGAACGCCATTGCTTAGGGCAACTCCAAACTTCCTCTCTGCAAGTGTGAATAGAGGCGAGCAAAGGATTTTCGAGGTATAATTTTGATTAATTAAACCGATGCCTCTTTTTTAGAATCAATGAATTCTGTAAATCACATTTTGCCTTTAGGACTTTTTTGTTTTGGTAATATTATTATACGTGTTATTGTTACATAAGTGTACTATTTTTTCATGACAGATTGGTGTCAGTAATGAAGGAACCATTCCTGCTCGTGACGTAAGCGTCGAACTAAGTGGTGATCCTATAATTACCTTAATTTCTTTTTCGCCCGAATCAGGTATGGGGTATAATTTACAGTCGATCATCTTGTAAATTTATGTGATACTGTACTGTATATAATCAACTCATATTCGTGTTTTCTGAGGAGTTTACTGGAAACATATTTATGTAAATCAATTTTTCAATCCAAAGCTTGTTGACGTCGCTATTTGATTTGATTAGTTTCTCATTTTGCAGATAATTTAACCATGAACTCGGATGGCACTTTCACCTTGCCTGCATCATCAAAAGCAATATTGTCTTTAGCAATAACCGTACCTCCTACGGAATCACTTGGAGACAGACGTGGTTCAATGATTGTTCGATCAAAACTCACAGAGGTCGTGATTCGATATAAAATAATTATTACTTCAAGTAATATAGTTGATTTGAGGATACGAGTAGAAGATGAATATACATATTACACTGATGGCGACCCGTTGGTCGTTGGAGCTAAAGTAAAGTTAAGAAATCCACAAAAACGAAACGTTGTTGAAACTTACACGACCTCAAACAGCACAGGTATACCGACCTTACAGTTCTGTATTGAGTCATTATTTTTGCATAGCTTTATTCCACTTCTTTTTTCATCTTCATTTTTCACTTTATTTTGACTAATTTAAAATGTGTTCAATATATTTATTTCAAGGACTACACTGAAAATCTTAATATAAATATTTTGCACTAGAACTGCTGTTTGACGATCTTGAAGAGGCATACTACAATTTAGAAGTGAGTGCAGACAGGCATACTTCATACAGTGCTGTAATTCTGGCATCTCCAGCCAACCCAAATGTAACAGTCTTCCTACAGAGAACGGCAGTGAAGTATAGCTGGACTGTTACACCTGTTACATACCAGGACAAATACATTGTCACCTTAGATTCAACATTTGAAACCTGGGTAAGATTAAACGATCGAGATATGGATTCAAATCCACTATGTTGCTGCCCAAAGTTAACCACAGAGCGACAGGTTTTTATGTGGTGCAAATTGTCAATAAAATTCTTATTTCGAAATCTCATATTTGAGTGACATCCATTTTGTGGCCATATTATTTTTCAAATAGATTGTAGTATTTGACATTTTTGGTAACTGTATGTGCCGTATTTTGTTTTACTTTAATAATATAAGTGTTACTACTTTATCTTTATCTTTGAGGAAATCATATGCATTATTTTTAGAAGTGATCATTTTATAGATATCGTTTGTATTTAGGTACCAATGCCAGTTGTTACAATAGAACCTCGACAAATTGACCTTACTGCATTAGAAGAGCGTGAAAAGAATGAAATTGTATTCACAATCACAAACCATGGTCTGATAAGAGCACAAAACCTTAGATTTGCTCTTCCTACAAACCACCCTACACTAGAATTTGTACAGGTAAATTATCAGCGAATCTCCAATAATGCTATAGGTGAACACAGGGGTCGACCAGATGTTCTGAAAAAGTGGACCTCAAAATCCCTTTCCGCATCATCTTAAGAGGGAAACTCGGAAAGACATAATTTTAAAATGTCCGAAACATGCGTTTTTGACTCGTTTTCTTTTATTTTGGTCCCATGAATGGAAATCTTAATGGATTAATCTGAAATTTGGTCGGCATGATGGCATTTGATTGTTCAAATGACAAATAATCTATCAACCCATCAGATGTATATTATATCATTTGTCTTTGAAAGTCTTTGAATTGGTTAATCAGTCCAATATCAACTCCAAGAATATGACTGATCCACCCCAATCAGTTCTCAAGAGCACTTCGGTTTTGTTTCAGACGGTTCCGACCATCGGCGACATCGAGGCCAACACAACTATAATCGTTCCTGTAAAAGTAAATGAGCAAGCAAGACAGAAAAGAAGCGGGTCTGCATGTAGATCATACAATATTGTATTGATTTGGTACTACTTATGTGGGGTTCTTAGGTCGAACTCTGTTGGAGTAATACTTCAACGTCGAGAAATGATGTCTCGGATCCCTTCAAATACATGTGGTATTGTATACGGTAGGCAGTTTTAAATAGTATAAGGATCGAGACACTGGTAAAAACTAGTGGCATGCAGCTATAATATTGTATAATCAATCGCAGCATAATGTCTCTACTTTATTTTTAAAGTCTCCGAATGGGTAAATTTCCATTTAGTAAAAAATCTCAAATTTAGTAAGAATCGTGATATTTCCGAAAATTAGTAGAATGTAGCTACATTCGACATATTCAATAATGACAATAATGATGTTGTACATAGAAATCGCAGCATAATGTCGCTTCTTCTTTTAAATCAGTATTTGGATAATATTTTTGAAATATTTTATTTTATTTCACATTTTGACTTTATCAGACGAAACATGGCCTCTTCGACGATGCATCTAAAGCTGGAAATATAATTTGGCTTCTTTATATTTAGCTTCATTGACATAATTTATTGAATTTATTAAATAATGCAAGGTCACATGTCATATATTCGAACTTCTAAATAGGATCTTTAACTGCATCTGGATCTGCATACGGGCATATTCGTTACTATGGTGCTGTGACACCGATGTCATGTGACTGTGCCAAGAAACTAATCCTTGACTGCCTCCTACCCATGATACCAGGGTTCGGACCCGTATATTCACTGGCACGTAAAGCGTATGCATTATCACAAGCAATTGCCAATACGAAGTAAGTTAATTGTCATATAATATGTTTTATATGAGGTCTTAACGGATCATACAAGGTATCAAAATCGAACTTCCTCGTTGTCTTCCGATAAAAACACCATTAAGACAAATAACGTGTAAAAGAACAATAAACAGTTAACTGCCTGAAAAAAAATGAGAAAAGAAAAAAATGGTCATGGACCTTTTTCTTGAGTGGTATATATTCGTTTAATAGTTTATCAATATTTCAGACGAAAACGGCGTGATCTTTACGACAACACAAATAATTTACTCAAGCCTGACTACCCCTTAGTGCAAGCAAATATAAGACGTCGAAAACGTGGGGTGGACAAGGTAGTTGATGCCGCTTTGTCGTTTAATCCAAAATATGAATGTGCCAAAGCAATCGCAGAAGCAGCTGGTAAGATGATCGCATAATACTACGTCAAATGTGACGTGCCTGTCTTAGTATTTTTGTACATAATTAAATGAAATTCGATTAAGAACTCGATGACCGTCATTATTTATAATAATTTTTTTGAAAATCTAAATTATGTATTCTTAATTAAGTAGCCATTATTGATAATCATTCTAATGCTACCTGGTCTTTTGTGCGTTTCCAATATAAGCCCTACTTGCAATGATCAATAAAAAAAAGTTTCCAGATTTATTATTTGCTAGCTTACATGTATGTCTTTCAAATGCATCATAGGTGACAATGCAGCAGGGGAAAGCAAAGCAAACAGTGCTCTAAAGATTGGTGGTAGTTGCTTACCGGGTCCTTTGGGACCGATAGTAAAGTATGTTCGCTATTCAGTACACCAAATTAACAGAATAAATTCACAAAGTTTTATTGGTTACCAACTAAATAACAGCAAGGTTATAACTACTATATAAATTAAACATGACGAAATGTGAGATCTATTTTTTTAGACCCATATTATTGATATTTATGATATTGTACGATTGTCATTATGTTTCATAATGTAAATAAAAACTGTTGTAGCTGTTTATATATCGCCTTGGTGGAGTGTCCAAAATTAAATGCTGCCGGGGCTAGAAGAAGAGCGGATCGTAAACGGCGTTCAACAATACAGGATGTGTATACCAATATGGCGACTGTAAATTCCATAGTTTACGACATGTATCAACTGTCCTATCATATGTATGGAAATGAACAAATGTGAGTATCATTTTTTTTCTTTAAATACAAAAGTTGTGTTTTTTCTTGACATTCTGTCAATCAATTATTTAGCTAGTATATATAGCAATAGATATTTATATCATCTTCACAAAACGTTTAATATTTATATTGATCGATGGATTTATATGATTACCTCTTGAATTTAGTTTATTGGTGAGGAGGGGATGATATTTTTGTAATTATAAAAAAACATGATCTAAACACCTCAATTTAAAGGAGTTATGTTTGTTTTAAGAAAATCCCCACTTTTCCAATTTCCTATATTAAAACCATAACTCATGTAATAATCAGATGAAGTATGACTTTAAAACGAAACTGAATTTATTCTAGGTTCAACCTTGGCCTAGGGCTATGGTATCTCGAGTTTGAAATGAGCATATCTGACACCAGCGACCTAGGAACATCTTTATCATTAAACGAATCAGCAAATGTGCTGGAGTACATCAATGAAACAGATCGTGCACTTGTTTCTGCTTTCCTCCAACGATGGAACAACTCCGTTAACGCCTGGAGGAACGGTGTGACAGAACCCTCGCCAAGCATTGACATTATATCAAAATCAATGCTTGAAACGACCATGAGTAAATTTAAAGAGGAACACCTAAACTCTGTAGAGGTGCGCTTGATTTTATCAGTTATTGGAAGGTGTTGTTATCAGGTTAACAAATTATGTAGGGTTGTGTAATGTTATGTTATGTTGTGTAATGTCATGTGATGTTAGGTTATATTCTGTAATGGTATTTAGCTCATTTTATGATGCAATACATTTTTACGACTCCAAACACTCTGGTTTACTTGTTTATATTATTTAACTGTTGTGTATAGTTTGTTTGCGTACCTACTTGCTTATATCTGTCTGTTTGAATTGGTTTGATATTGACATAATTTGTTTCAGAGGGGTTTTGATGATGTCTTTGCTGAGTTCGATAACGCCTATGTAGCAGTACGGGATAAGTTTGAAAATGAAAAGGTAAGCTTTATTAACTGTGAACTATTTAGCGTTGATAGAATCTTCAATCTTGCAGAAAATGACCGTTGTGTCAACACTGGTGTGTTCGGGCATTAACACCCGCTGCCTCTAGTCAGTTCGACTAACAAAAAAAAGTTACCTTTTTTGTGGATAGGAATTGAACGCCAGCACTTTCGAATTAGGCGTTTTGGTGCCGAAACCACGAGGTTGAAAGTTCCAGACGCATGTGCACCTTGTGTTTTTTCAATTATTTATCCTATTAATATATAACGTTTTATAAAATCTATGTTTTTTATCATATAACTAGAAAGAAAAAGGAGTATGCGCTAGAGTGAGAATAAGAATCGTCCAAGAGGCAGTTCTTACACGAGATGCATTCAATGGTAAACTGGAGATTGAAAATGGTGAAAATTCAGCCCTAACAAATATTAAAGTTGATCTTCATATATGGAAATCAGAGGATGTGACACAGGAACATACGATGGATCATTTTTCAATAGGTATTGTTTATGCATTTTAGCCCATTTGAACACCTGTGTACTTTTTGATTTATTGAACAGGAATTTAGTCTTCGAGATTTAGGCTAGCATATACTTCCGATAAATCCTACCATAGTTATGATAGTTTTTCTAATATATCAGCGGGTGACAAGCTTTTTCAAACGATCTATTGAATGAAATACATCATCAATACCTAACTGAGCAAAAAGATTTAGGTACATGTAGTTCGAATTCCTTGATCAGTGACTGTCATTCTGTCGCTGTCGGGTACACATAGTCGATTCCGTGCGTGGCTTTCAATTTTCAGTTTTGACAAAAAGTACAAAAACGATTAAGAGATGGTTATTTTTAGCAATGTATGAAACTTCAGAAACTTCAGCGCCCCGTTTTAAAATAATGTAGGTCCTTGGGTTTCCCTTTGATTTTCCCTTTCCCTTCGATTTTCCATTTACATCTCTGACATGTTGATATATTTTATTTTATTATGTCCATCCAGAAAATTGCTTGTTGAACAATATTTGAAAAATAATTGAATTTCACCTAAAACTCTTAATACTCGTATACCCCTTTGTATTTAATTTTTTCAATTACACTTGCATTGGCAGGGGATCCAGATTTGAGTGGCATCAGTTCTGTAGATGGTTTGGGAAGTCTAGAAAAGGGGAAGACCGGTGCTGCTGAATGGTTGATCATACCTTACTCTACAGCTGCACCGTCAGAAGATATCGTGTACGCCATTGGTGGTGTACTCACTTACTATGTTGACGAGGCTAAATTTACCGTCCCACTTCTTGCTGATAGTGTAACTGTAAAACCTGACCCACGACTTCATATTCATTACTTCCATGAGAAATATGTTGAAGCTGATGATCCCTTTACAAAGGATGTGGTTGAGCCCTCTGTTCCATTTAGTTTGGCTATTATGATTACAAATGCAGGTAATGGGATCGCAAGGGGGCTTAAGATAACTTCAGCTCAACCCAAAATAATAGAAAATGAAAAAGGACTATTGGTGTCATTCAGGATTATTGCGGCACAAATAGGAAATGAAGCAATATCACCATCCTTGGCGATTGACTTTGGGGATATTGAACCTCATCAAACAAAAACTGCCCGATGGCTTCTCGAATGTACCCTGAAAGGGAAATTTTTTAACTACACGGCCACGTTTGAGAACATAAATCCTCTGGGTGACCCTGAACTCTCAGTGTTAGATGTTCTAGAGTACCATGACTTGATTCATCTGGTTCGAATGCGAAGTAATATAACCCAGTCTGATGATGGCTTCAGTGATTTCCTGGTAAATGATAGAATAGATGGGCTAGATATGCCTGATGTTGTATATAATAGCAAGGACCAATCCAAAGAGCCAGTGTTTGTTAGTCTTAATGTGACATATGAGAAAACAAATAAAAATTGGTCGGGGAAAAAGTACAGTTACCTGGAAGTCAATGTTCCTCTTGGCTGGACTTGCACTGATTGGGTGTACGCACGTTTTGAACATGACATTGAACTTGATGCTGACAAACATTTACTCCAGGTCCTGAGACACAACGGTAAGGAACTTATAAGACCTGAAAATGCCTGGATGACGTGGCATATAGAAGAATCCCTATTCGGGCATTTGTTTGACCATTGTCCATGGAACCTGAACCAGTTGTTTTACAACTACACATTCATTGTTGGTCCCCTCAATAATTACGATCCGAAAGTGAATGATTTCATCGTATCACTTGTAGTTAAACTGCCACTTTATAAAACACAATATGTCACAACCATTATTGCTACTGATAGAGATGGTGACGGCATCAGATACAGTTTTGTTGAACCGTCTGATTACTTCAATATTGACAGTGATTCGGGCGTCATTCGAGCAATTCACGACATTACTGTGTTGATTGGTGAACAAAGTATTCACGTTGGAGTTGAAGATGATGGGATTCCACCAAGGAAAAGTATAAGTGTCCTGAAGTTAATATTTGAAGCTGCTGATTCAAAAACAGTGTCTCCAGATTACACAGATCATACGACGGAGATGACCAATACAGTGACTAGTACTACTGATACATACGATCATGCAGCTAATACAACAGTGGTGAACCCATTTACTACCGTTGATGATAAATTTACGAAAACATCTGGTATAACGACTTCCACACCATCTATTGTGACTTCTGGAGCAACACTCCCTTCCAAAAACTGTAAGTAACATTGTCACTGATATTTGCACACTACCTTTGTATTCAAAGTTCAGAGATAAATTATTAAGACTTTATGTACTTGTGGATGGATAGTTATACAGTACCACATTTACTAGGATGCCTCGATTAGAAATTATGTTACAGAAAATGGCCTTTGTATTCAAAGATTAAAATATAAAGTATAATGATTAAATTAAAGAAAGGTAACATTAGGAAAATTAAAAAAATCTTAAAGAACAAAATGTGTTTCTTATTTGTGGAAAATGCAAACCCACCCTTTCTAAAATGTCACAACAAGAAAGTAAACTAAAAATGCGTCACTTGGAAATGTATATGTATTACACAAGAATTTTAGCGAAGTGATCTTGATAACTCGGTAGATGTATTTGAAATGATGATGATTTTCTTATTAAAGTTCCAGGGAATAACGACGAACGGTGGAACCTCGATCAATAATCACATGCATTTCAAAAAGTGGATACACTTGTGACGTTTCAGTCAATATTAACTTCATATACAGTCCATGACGTATGCATTCACCAACCAATTGTTAATCCTGAATGACAAATATCATTATTTAATACACAATGTATGATTTCAGCTGGCTTACTCTCTCTTTTGTTGACCCTGAAAATGTTGTGGAAGGCTGTTTTTAATGATGTTGATGCCAATGAAACAAGAGGGTTATATCAGTCAATCTTATTGATAGTAGGTTTTACATTTCAATATATTATGCATCTACTGTGAAATCAATGATTTTCGCCTGAATATTCATAAATCATAACCTCAACTAGACAATGTAGATTATATATCGTGTTCAAAGCATGCTGAATATCAATAGGGTCATGCTTGAATGATGTATTATCATTATTAATGCTTTAATATATTCCCATTATTATTTCAGTTGCGAGATGCGTTTAAAGGAATGTCAAATATTCTCAAGGTCACCCTAGACGGTTTAAGGTTAGTATAATTATTTATCTCAAAATCGAATAGTTAACGTTTGATACGAGTAGAGAACTACTGAGACGTTTTTCATTTGTCTAACGAGATCCTGCTACCAATCGAATAACGGTTAATTAATATAATTTCATTTTGTAAAATATTTGTTATTATTTTTAGTCCGGGGAGTGTTGTTGTTAAATTGGGTGTGTTGCTATCTGAGAAGGCAACAAATAAAACGGCAAATGAAACCCTTAATGTATTGAGAAAATACTTAGAGACCGTTAACTACACAGTCCTAACTGACAAGGAAAATATCACGATTAAAGAGGATAGTCTAATTGTCAGTAAGTCTGTGTAAACAGTACCAAATACGATTTACAATTGATTCTTTGTCGTCAATAAACAACTAGGTGTCATTTAGTATTACGTTATGATTAATTTCCGTTTTACTTTATATTAATTATTTTCCACATCAAATACGGTCTGCTCCGTTCATTAATTCTAATGATATCTTTTTATATCAGAAAAGGGGTCAAAATGGTGTCTGAACTGGGGTAAACGAGCAATCAAAATATAAAACCACAATGTCTATCAATACAATATATGTAACTTTGAAATATTTAAAATAGGCTGCTATATAATGTTATGAATTATTTTTCATTATTATATTGATCAGATACGCATACTTTAATTTTAGATGTAGATCCTTGCCAAAATGTCAACTGTGGTGAAAATGGCGAATGTGTATATCGCGATCAGCACACGGCATGCAGGTACACTGTTTCCTTGAGATCTGAAGTCGAATTTGGATCGTTTGTTAGAGACTGTTTGACGATATAAAAGAACAAATAATATGAAATATGAAATATTTTGCTGAAGGAATATGATAAATATATGCAAACGATAACAGGCTCTAAGGCGCTCTTCGGTAACCCTACTATCACACCAAACTAGTTCTCACTACGTTCTCGAAAACGGGCTTCAACTGTGTACGAACGGACTGGACGTACTTAGAACCGTTTGGGGTATATTTACAAACTTCATCGAACGTACTTGAACGGGTAGGTCCTCTAGAACTTAGAACATACTCAAAATGCTCTCGTGTGGTCGTCACGTTCTACAATTAGAACGAGTGACAACGTACTAACGACGAGCTGGACGTACTACGAACGGAACCGTCGTACTTCAATCCTACCAGGGACGTTTTTAAAACGAGTTGAACTGTCTTAGGACGTATCGAGAACATGTTAGAACTAATTGCAAACGGGTTTAAACTGATAAAGAACGTATTAAAGACTGCTTATGAACGAGTTAGCAAAAATAAAGCTATCACACCAAACAAGTTGCCACTGCGTTCTTCAAAACTGGTTTTAAACTGTGTGCGAACGGAATGAACGTAGCTGCAACTTTCTAAGGACTATTTACGATCTTCATGAACGTCCTCAGACGGGAAGGTGATTTTAGAATTTTGAATCGATTCAAAATTCGATGGCGACCATACCGTTCTGTAATCAGGTCATGATGACCTTCTAGACTAAGGGACGCGTTAACAACGTTGCACACCGACGTGGTGCGACCTGTACGAACTGCGAATGAGATGGACGTATTGAAGACTGTTTATGAACGAAGTAGCTAATTATTTTAGACATATTTTCCGACCACAGCCAGATTGAGCCCGTTTTACGACGTTTTCGTAGGACTGGCAAGAACGGGTAAGAACTAGTTTGGTGTGATAGGGGGGTTACCCTACTATCACATCAAACTAGTTCTCACTATGTTCTCGAAAACGGGCTTCAACTGTGTACGAACGGACTGGACGTACTTAGAACCGTTTGGGGTATATTTACAAACTTCATCGAACGTACTCGAACGAGTAGGTCCTATAGAACTTAGAACTTGCTCAAAATGTTCTCGTTGTCATCATGTTCTAAAATCAGATCGAGTGACAACGTACTAACGACGAGCTGGACGTACTACGAACGGAACCGTCGTACTTAAATCCTACCAGGGACGTTTTTAAAACGAGTTGAACTGTCTTAGGACGTATCGAAAACATGTTAGAACTAATTGCAAACGGGTTTAAACTGGTCAAGAACGTATTAAAGACTGCTTATGAACGAGTTAGCTAAAATATAGCTATCACACCAAACAAGTTGCCACTGCGTTCTTCAAAACGGGAAAGTGATTCTAGAATTTTAAAATGATTCAAAATTCGATGGCGACCATACCGTTCTGTAATCAGATCGTGTGATAACTTCAAACGAGATGACCTACTAGACCAGGAACGTAATTGCCGTATTTAAACCCTAGGGACGCGTTATAAAACGTTGTGCAATCGGATATCAATTGCAATACATGTGCACACCGACATGGTGCGATCTGAACGAACTGCAAATGATATGGACGTATTGAAGATTGTCTAAGAACGAAGTGGCTAATTATTTTAGACATACTTCCCGACCACAGTGTGATAGGGGGTTGCCAAACATTTATCACTTGTATTCCACTTACTATATGTTTCATAATTCACTTTGTATAAATTATGTTTATATTTGTCATATGTTAAACCATGCCATGGACTATATATAATTGTAAACTTAAATCATTTCCTAACAAAATGACACCATCAAATTGAAAAACCTTTGTTTTCTCGTGGAGTAAGAGATTAAAATTGACACCAGGAGTGCCGTAAGCTACCATAAATTAAAAAAATTAAAATTCCCAAATTTCCCTCCATGTTGCAGTCACAGTTGACTGAATCTGCTTGACTGAATCATGATAAATTTAAGAGTAGTACACAATTGATAAGTAATTAAAAATATATAAGTATAATTGCTGAATTTTGCGCTATACTTGTATAAATGTACCTCTTTTGAAGGGGCCAAAGTTCAAATTTCCCTCAATTTCCCTCAATTTGGAAATCCGAAGTGAATATATTTGGTCGCTCATGACACCCCTGGTGTCATGCTAGCTCTAACTCCAACAGAAAATAACGGTTTTTCAATCAGCTGGTGTCATATTGTTAGGAAACGATTTATGTTTAAAATGATATACAAATACATGGCATGGTTCAGCGTAATATCATAGTGATATTCATCCTTAAATTTGGGTATTGTTTTTTGGCCCACCCTGTATATTGCTAGAATTTTAATAATGTTAGAGTTACAATCGTTTCACTTTACAATGAGAAATGCTATTTCACAATGCATACCTGCGTATATGTATGTATATATGTATGTAGGTGTTATTCGGGCTACGAAGGTCCTGATTGTAGTGACTCTACGAATGGAGAATCGACTAACACACTAGTGATAATAATTTGTGTGACAGTTGGTGCCATAAGTATCATAGGGATCGTCGCTGTATGCTACTGTGTCATGCAGAGGGGGAAGAGGGGCAAATCGTCTACTAACACAGATGATAAGGATATGTCTGTGTTAGGATACAACTCTACAATGCTCGCGAAACAACAAGGACAAAGGTATGTATATGCATTTGTCGAGCATGTCTTCTTTATTAAGTATATGTCGAACATCACTTTCATTACCATGTTTATAAGCACTATTTCAAGGAATTCCTGATATAAAGACACATATAGGGTAGCAAAGATTTCTTATGAAAGGCAATTTCAACAATACATAATACCTTACGTTTTAACACTAATGATATATAACACGAGTGGCAATTCAAAAGTAATGATCAAAAACTTTATAGACGCAATTACTCCCACTCAACTTGAAGGACACTTGTAACTTACTATGAAGATCAACCAATTATCAAGGACTTGTAAAAACTGCATGACATAGATAGAGATACATTTCAACATATGGCACCTTCAGGATGATGGTGCATACTCCCGAAATAAATTATGTCAACATGGGTCGCAAAGGGTCACAGCAGCCCCCAGGGTTTTAAACCTCCAAATACTTAAATATTGACCTTTGAATGACCGTTACCACAGGTCACCCAATTATGGGTCGCCAAATACTTTGATATTGACATTTGACCTTGGAATGACCTTGACTAATGTACATTGACCTGAAACTCACATAATCATGGGTCGCCAAAGGTCACAAAAGCCCCAAGAGTCTCTCAACTCCAAATACTTAGAAATTGACAGTTGACCTTAGAATGACATTGACCTCAGATCACCTAATCGTGGATTGCCAAGGGTCACAGAGGCCCCAAAGGTAGTTTAAAACGCTAAATACTTAGATATCGACTTTTGATATTGAGATGACCAATGAACATTGACCTTGACTCAAGGTCACCTAACCAATGGTCATAGTAGACCCTAAGGCCCTTAAACACCTAATACCTACATACTTACTTACTTACATACTTAGATATTAACTTTTTACCATGAGATGACCAATACATATTGACCTTTGCCTCAGGACTCAAGGTTGCCTAATGATGGCCAAGTGTCAAAACAGCCCCAACACTGAGACACTTGACACTGAGAAGGTTATTGAATGATCTAAGTCTTTAAAAATGTTCAGTTTGTCTATAAGACATATAAGGCATTACTTTTGAATCATCCCTCGTATGTGTATTTCTTCCTGTGATATATAAATGACTTCCTGTTGAAATGTGTCTCTGGTATACATTCGACTTGGCAGATGTCCCATCGTTCGTTTGTGTGCCGCAATACACAATAAATTATGCTTTGAGAAAACATCGAACAGACATTATGTTTTAATTGCGTAGACCTACTTATTTTTAAATAGAGAAAAGATATGATGAATTCATGCAATGTCTACATTTTTATGTTGCAGGTCAACAATAGGTCGTACCGAGTCGAGATCAAGCTGGATGGGGGGTTTATAGACAAGGAGGGGTACTAAATTCACACTGTTAAAACGGAATGATTATCCTCATATTTAGTATATATTTAAACGGAATGCTTTTTTATTTTTGTATACTTGAACTATATATATTGCAATTTTTGTATAAACATATTTAAACGGAATGCTTATTTTCATCTTTCGTATGCCTCCTAAACGTTCTTGTGTATATTTATGACCCAGATGGAGAAACTAGAAAGGACGAAATGCAATGGTCACACTACGTTCTTGTTGGCAAACATATAATCTGCTCAAGATTGAGACAAGTGTCATTTTGAATGTATGATCGAAATAGATCTACACTTCGTCATATTGTTAGAAAATTGACATCATCTGAATAAGTTGACGATGTGCTCAATTTTATTTTCAATTTGCTTTATTGACCATTGACTTTTGTCTCCTCGAATACATGAATATTATTAAGTATATAAATATTAATCAAAAGCAGAAGTTCAATTCTACAATAATTCATGGAGAATTTCAAGCATGCAGACTTAAGCTATGTTGAGGAAGCATCTCTATTGATTATGAGCCGACAACGAATAGTTGTAGCTACATTCTATTATTGATAAGTGGACAGAGGGACTATAGTAATCAGCTACATTTAGAGCTGCTTTGAACGTGAAGGGAGAATCAAATCTCTATCTAAATAAGAATAAGAATAAAGCAAGAGGAGGGAAAACCCCATGAATCGATTGATGACATACGATTTCCTCCTTAGCGCACCTCCTTCCCCGGAAGTACTTAACCTCCATCTTGGTTTTCAAAATTTTCAAATTGACCTAGTTTTAAACCAAATCAACGATCGACTCGCTAAACCAATCAGCGACGATGTCATCTCAATACAGATTTACATTATAAGCGTATGTCATCTTTGAACCCTGGGGTTTCACCTCTCTTAAATTGGGCTTTTAAATGTAAATCGGATTACGACAGGTTAGTTGAATATTTTGATGTAATGTAAACTATTGTAATTAAATATGTTAATAATAATGTATACACATTCGTGCTGTAAAATACCTATCGTGTTATTCATCACCAAACTATTTCAATATTCATAGTTTCCGAATATTTATTAATCATCTTAGGTTGTACAGTATACGATGTTGATATTTAAAGATCGTATCAGACGTGGCGACCAAAAACGGCCATTTCATATTTAAACTAGTGTATTGTTTTTAGCCTACTCTGTATACGAGTATATTTGAGAAAGGAATAAAAAACGTATTAAAAATATGTCAATCCTACAATTTACTTGCAAATGTGTCACGCAATGGAACTGTTTTTGCGTTGATAGCGTTTGATAATTTGATACATGATAGATTAACTTGAAATGACATTTAATATACAGCAACGAGACAAACGGTTACTTCCAATAGGTGAATAAATATCGATTTTTCATCCTGAATTCAAAAAAATTGAAAAAACAACACAGGGTGTCCCGAAAGTATGTTTTTTAGAAATATTGAGATTATTGAAAAACAGGGAGTGTATAATGTTACTCAAACACCATGTCACTATATTTCAATTTCTGACTTTATCTCGAAAAGGATTTGGAATATATGATCAAATAGTTATAGAAGAGATGGGGCATCTTAATTAATCAAAACTGCGATGGTATCTCCCCTCTTAATTTTCGTCAAATTACCTTAAAAATTAAAGGATAGCCCTAAAATAAATTCAAAAATGTTCGACCCTTTAGAAAGAAGGCACAAATTCAAATGAGTAATTGTGGCAATTCTTTTACACTCGCTCTTAACCGTTGTGTATTTCCTTAAGTCGATACTAAATTGTAACACTTATAAGGCTATCAGTTATGAACAACACCTAAGTTGATGACCTGTACATCGATCCCAATACAATGTTTTTGATTTTAAGTTCGATATCACTATTTATCGCCCTCTTGCACACATCCTAAGGGAAAGCTCCTCCATAAACGGAATTAGCTCATCAAAGTGTCCAAAGACCTTGTAATGGGTATGATATGGTTCAGAGGAAATTGATTCCCATTCTTTCTCAACATTTTTCCGAGCTTTGCCACGTTCACTGGGAAGGCCGAGGAGAAAGATTGCCACTTTCTCTGTTCCATTTCTCGCCTTTAGGGCATTAGCAGCTCTGAGTGTATTCTTCTGATATTTAGCCTTCATCGTGCGTCCAACTGTCACAATGATAATAATATTGTAGGCCGCAGGTCGATCACCCGCAGCTGGTGTGAACACAACACTATTTGCGAATTCAAGTGCGAGATCCGTTCGTCTTCGTTTGCCAAGTGTCATTGATTCATTTCCGATGATCCCCAATGTTGCCGCTTTTGTACTAGACGCAGTCTCGTTAAACAGCATCTGAGACATAACTCTATCATTGTACGTTAAAAGTGCAAATTTCACAGATTTATTACCATCTCCGACATCATTGAATGTTTCAACTAATGCTTTCATTGCATCCCGAACAACTGTCCGATGGTCTGTTTTGAGACTTTTTGAATTGTCGAGGATAATAAGGACATCTAGCGGGACATCTTGGACACATTGGATCGTACTATTTCCATTTATCTCGTTAGATCCTGAAATCAAAAGTACGATAATGCACCAAAGCTATAACTGATCTATCTGAGGAATGTTTGCATTAAGCATGACTAATAAGAATAGAATGTTCTAATTAAGGAATAAATAATGAAAATCCATTCAATATGGTGAAATTCAGCACGAGTTGGACAGAATGTTGTACAAAGCACGAACAGAAGGTGAGTGCATTTGTACTAACATTCTGTCCAACGAGTGCTGAATTTCACCATATTGAATGGCCTATCATTATTTATTCCGATTCAAACATAAAAATTAGTAAAAGCCGTGTCTGTGAAACGGGCATGAAGGAAGAATACGCATGCTGTCAAGATTCTGAAGTCGGCCGGAAAAATTCTAGAATTTGTTTGGGCTGTTCTATTTTACTCCCCGTTTTAGATTCTAACGGTGTATGCAAACATGGGGTATTGATAAAATAAATAGTTACAGTAGTTACGGAGGGAGTAAAAAAGAACAGCTTTCCCCGGACAGAGCCCCAGATGTGCAGCTGAGATGTGTCGTCACTCAAAACAACGCAAATTTCAGATTGAATAGAGCATGGTCGTGCATCTATGGAGAATTGGAGAACGTTCTATATTGGCTATGCTGCATTCTGATTGGTTGAGAAATTCGAATAGAGCACGGTCATGTTTGAATCCCTTATAACAAATAACCAGTAAATTTTTAATCATTCTGACCTGGATAGTGTTTGAGATTTTGCATTGTAAAGTTAAGACGAGCGTATACAATTTCTGCTAGACTCTTAGAATCACTTGAGTATTGGAATATGTTATCTTGCTCAGCGAGACCATTAACCTGCTCCTTCGTGTCATTGAACGCCGTCTTACCATCTTTGTTAGGTAATTGAACCAAGAAAACATACGCATTGCTTTTGGTACGCAGTCGTTTCATCGATGTCATCGTCTTTTTTATGAATTTCTTTGGATGCGTACGACCATCAGTCAAAAGAATCAAAACATTAGAATTGTGATCATCCTGCTCACCAGATTCGAAGAAATCTTCAATTAACATTTTAAGAGCTTTACTGAAGATTGTTTTACAACCTACAGCAGCATAATCAAAGTTTTTAGTAGCATTGATAACATCAGCTTGCGTTTCTCCATCCCCAAATCCAAACACTTTACGGGAGATTTGATCAAATGCTAGCATTCCAAACTTGATGTCTCGTGGTCTCTTGTTATCAGAGATGGGTACTAAATCAAACTTTCTGACAAATTCCTCGATGAATCTCTTTGTGCCATTTTTGATATCATCTGAGGTACTACACGAGGTGTCAAACGCAAATACTATATTTGCTCCAACTGAAATCAGAAAAATACACAAATGAGTTATTTCTCATGAGAAAGTGTACCCTACTCAAACTTTATATTAAAGTTGAAGAAAGATGGAGCATGAACATGAAATACAATATTTGCTTGATTAGGTATGTCTGTCCGTATACATATATCCGCTTGTCTGATATCTGATATGACTTCCTATGGTATAATGTCTTCTAACTTTTACCTTAAGATTTCATATTTGTACAACATACTCCCGACTATCATCGCTCTGCAGCAGACATTTGCAAATACGAATTAATAATAATATATGCTTACACTTATTTGAAGGTCTTTTGACAACTGAAGTAGCGGTATGTGTGGCGGGTGTTGTTCCATTTGAAGTTATATTCCCAAAGATTGGGTTACTTGTCATTTGGTGGGTGATGTTGCTATAGAAATCATGCACTGTACTAAGAGTCTTAACCGTATTGTAAGATGTGTCAGTGGTGGCACCCTCAGGTTTAGTAGAGCTTATACTTGTTGTTCTATATGCTGTTATCTCAGTGACAACTCTTGTGTCATTTGACACCGCAGTTCCTTGTAATGTGTTTGCATCAGTAGACATTTGAGTAACATTTGCACCCATCACTTCAGTGGTTTTGAATGTGTTTTGGGATGTAGTTGTATCTATTATAGTTGTATTCAAAGCAGTTGTCACTGGAGTGAACTCCGTCACGTTCGTGGATGCACTTGTTTGGTGGGAAGTAGACTTCCCCGGTGTTGTGTCCGCAGCTTCGAATATTACATCAACAACACTGACACTTTTCCTCTGCGGAATCCCATCATCTTGGACTTCTATATGAACGCTTTGCTTGCCGAGCGAAATGATTGTTTCAGCTAATGTGACAACACCAGAGTCGCTATCAATCTGGAAGTGATCTGAAGGTCCAAGCAACTTAAACTTGATACCATCTCGGTCTTCGTCAATGGCACCAATGGTTGTAATGTATTGTGTTTTATAAGCGGGGAGTTTAATGATTATTTTCGCTATAGATTCATTCACCTTTGGATCATACGTATTCATAGGACCAATGGCAAACGTATAATTATGAAACATCTGACCCAGGGTCCATGGACAATGGTCAAACAAATGCCCATAAAGCGAATCCTCTACGTGCCAAGTCATCCAGGCATTATCGGGTTTCATTAGTTCCTTTCCGTCGTGTCTTTTGACTTGAAGCAACTGGTTATTAGCATCAAGTTCAACATCATGCTCGAAACGTGCATACAGCCAATCTGTACAATTCGAATTAAGAGGGACATCTACGTGCAAAATTGTATACTCTTTACCAGACCAATGTTTATTCAATTTTTCATAGGTCACATTCTGACTAACAAACACTGGCTTTTTGGATTGATACTTGCTATTGTATACAACATCAGGCATGTCCAATCCATCAAGTTCATCATTAACAAGGAAATCCCGGAACCCATCATCAGACTGTGTGATATTACTTCGCATTCGAACCAAGTGAATCAAGTCATGGTACTCAAGAACATCTAACACTGAAAGTTCAGGGTCACCAAGAGGATTTATGTTCTCAAACGTCGCAGTGTAGTTGAGGAATTTCCCTTTTAGAGAACATTCGAGAAGCCATCGGGCAGTTTTCGTTTGATGTGGTTCTATATCACCAAAGTCTATTCTCAAAGAACGCGAAACATTATCATTTCCAAGTTGTGCTGCTATAATCTTGAAAGATACTAACAGACCCTTTTCATTTTCAATTATTTCAGGTTGAGCTGATGTTATCTTAAACTTTTTCGCCATGCCATTGCCCGTATTTGTTATCATTACAGCCAAACTAAATGGAATAGATGGCTCAACAACATCTTTTGTGAATGGATCATCAGCTTCAACGTACTTCTCATGGAAGTAATGAATATGCAGTCGTGGGTCTGGTTTCACAGTTACGCTATCAGCAAGCAGTGGGGCAGTAAAATTAGCCCCATCAACAAAGTAGGTGAGCACACCTCCGATGTCGTATAGGACGTCCTCAGTTGGCGCAGCTGTTGAATAAGGGATGATCAACCACTCAGCAGTTCCAGTATGTCCTTTTGATAGACTCCCTGTACCATCCACGGAACTAATACCTTTCAAATCTGCATCACCTGTCAACATAGATTTGGAGTTCTAGATGAGATCCTGGTTAAATAAAGCATATAGAATTAGTTCTCTAATATACAAAAGCTACAAAGAGACAAATTGTACAGAAAGTAAGTCCATTTTTAAGAAACGGAACATGTCTGAAAATGTCTGATAACTTGTTTTAGAGGATAAACAAGTAATGCATTTTAACATTGTTGAAATAGGGTGTTTTTCGCAACAAAAAGAAATCGCTTTATCTTGGAAAATACTAAAAATCAATTGTGTTCGTTTTCAGTAAAGAAGCAGAGACGTTAAATATAGAACTCGTGTAGTTAGTTTAAAAAAGGTTCTAGGATGTTACTGAAAGTGAATGTTACTGGCCGCAGAAATAATAGACCCCACGATCGCGGTACCAAATATGACTGAGGGTTAAGTTAATAAAAAATACCTATTGCAAAATGTTCCATCATATGTTTTTGGGTTACATCCTCCGACTTCCAAATGTGAATCTCCACCTTAATATTTGTTAGGGAAGATCCCTCGCCGTTTTCAATTTCAAGTTGTCCATTAAATGCATCTCGTGTTAAAACTGCTTCTTGTACTATTCGTATTCTCACTCTGGCACATACACCTTCCTCTTTCTGCACAATGAATAAATATCTGCATTAGGTAACCAATTTCCCGATTTTTTCAATATTTCGAACCAAAACAATCACTTTGAGACTTATATTTTCAAGTGATATAATTTGATAAAACTTGATAAGACATCAAGAAAGAGTAAACTAGTTTAAATTTTCTTTGGAATTTAGACAATAAATTATTTGATATGTTTTCTAGGGATGAAATATTGGTACATTATGTTAAGCACTTATTTGGTGATCACTTAAATTGCCAATATTAAAATACAACACATCTTAAGCTTTAATTATGAATGATTAAAGTCCCAATGTATAGTTTGAAAATATATTTTTATCACGCATTTACTATTTGTCTTGACTTTAAAAATTATATTGAGAATTTTGAAAATATATTTTTTAAATCTTATAATCATTAACTCTTTTTAACATCAATGCAACGCTATTTCAATTATAAAATGCCATATCTAATGTGCAACTTCAATGTTTTAGCATATCAAAAATATTTTGCAACCTATGTTATGTCATCATGACATCACTCTGGTTGCAAAAAAACATTAAGAAAATATTAGAAATCTTCTTCTATGTCGATCCTTTCTAGATATGCTAAACTTGAAAAATAAGTCAATGTAGATTGTCTAACCAGGTTTAAAGGAAGAATATATTATGTTTCAAATTTTATTGTACCATAGGTTTCAATGAGAACTAAAATTTTGAAACGCATTTTGCTCTGAACAATTGTCATGCATGAATGAGTTCATTTCTCTTATTTTATAATGAACAAATTTTCTCGATTCTTCCAGCAAAATGCACATGATTACGAATGTTACGCATTGGTGTGAATAGTTGCCTTTTAAAAGATATGTGTGATCTCTAAAAATGGTTCTAAATGATTTCACGATTCCTCTAAAAAAAGTCCTTCATAACAACTTTTTAGATTAAATTAGTTTCACATATCACACTTTGAAAACATTCGGTAGGACTTCAATATAAGAAAGAGTGGTTCGAATTTTAAATGGGGGCTTAATGGCTTACTCAAGTTCGAAAATCGAGATAACCGGATGTTATATCCTTGAAAGTGAGAAATATAATTTGGATTACATAAAAAAGTTTCATAGTGTGTCGATATTTTTGCGATGTAAAAAAATAAACAAAATGTCAAGAAAAACTCTCTCACAAAAATTCCTAACATTCTACATACAACTCAGGGGCGGATCTGGGAACCAACAAGGGGGGGGGGCCCAAATTTCAGGTCAGAGAAAAAAACTGATTTGGGCCCCTAAAACGCAAAAGTGGGCCCAAATTTTGAATAATGAGGCCCATTTTCTTCAAAATTTGGCCTGAATTTAAAAAATAAGGCCTTAAAAGGCCCAGTAATGACCAAAAAGGCCGACTTTTTGGGGCCTTAAGGCCTTTTTTGGGCCCAATTTTTTTCTGGGCCCACCCAAGGGGGGGGCGGGCCCCCAGCCCCCCCCCCCCCCTAATCCGCCAGTGCAACTCATGGTCTTTATATTGAGTAGAAAAAATGAATCATCAACAAGTCTTATATATTGATTTTGTAGGCTGAAGAATTACAATAGGGGTAATCCAGGCCTATCTGGAGGCTACCAAAGGTCTAATTTAATATCCGGGGCTTTAAGTTGTGTACCAAACAAAACTCAACTTTGCAACATCCAGGGCTTTGTATGGTCTTGGTTAGACAATGTTGGATAAGGGGTAAGTTTTTCTCAGACATGGGAACCTTCTTTTTGTACCGTTTTGCGGTTATTTTACTCTATGGCATTGCAATCCGTTCACATCATAAGCTACATAATTGATTAACTTAAATATATGATATATGTAAATTAGGGGTAATACTAACACAAGGCATTAACATGGCAAAATGTTGCCACCCAGTTGCTCACAATATTATGAGGTCAATCTAAAGTCAGACTTGAACTTCTGAGAACTTATAGATGAAACAGGATCTTAAGAGGTTCTGGACAAATCATTTGATTCTGGACTTGACATATTTTTTTTCCAACGAAATCACATCCAAGGGTTGAATTTTTATTGGATATTTAGAGAGCGAGTCCTGTATTGATTTCAATAAAAAGGTTAAAATAGAACGCTATTTGAGAGTTAATCTTATACTTTCATTACATTGATAAATTAAGGCAAATTCTGAAAAATTTTAAAGTGCATTTTTTATGAAATATTATCCAAGTATTTAGATGAAACGGTCTTATTTAAATACAAATCATAACATGATGATATTTTTTCATAAAATATTTCTTCAAGAAATTCAATTGAAGGCTCAAGATAAAACGAGCTAATTTAGGTGAAAACCCTTACATGATGATGTGTTTTCATGACTTCTTTCATAAAATTCCATCAAGGGGTGAAAATAAAATGATCGAATTTAAGTGATTTAAGGATCACGAGGATAGGTTTTCTTGGATATTTTCTATGAAATCCCATCCAGTGGTCAAGGTAAAATTTTTATTTGGTATATTTGGTCACGTGTTCGAACCCATAGAACCATATAGGAACGTCATTTTGAATGTTACGTGATAAATCCATATAAGGCTTTTAGAACAATGTGGGGAAAGATGAGGGGAAACCCCTGACACCTGTTCACGATTTTATCCGAACGTTCATCGGATCATTTCGGTTTTTATGCACTTCATTATTTTACCGAAGTTTGCCGATTCGATTCGTCGTATTTCGGAATATTGGGGACAATTTTATACTCCATTGGGAGTATTTTTAATCTACTTCTTATTACGAAGATTCCCGAACCTTGTTCGGATTAATCCGGATTTTCTGACCTACTTCATCTACCGAGATTTAACGAGTTTACATTCGGCTCATTTCGGAATCCTGGTGACAATTTTATACTCCATTGGAGTATTTTTGATCTACTTCTTATGACGAAGATTTCCGAACCTTGTTCGGATTAATCCGGATTTTCTGACCTACTTCATCTACCGAGATTTAACGAGTTTACATTCGTCTCATTTCGGAATCCTGGTGACAATTTTATACTCCATTGGAGTATTTTTGATCTACTTTTTCTGGATTTTGCCCTACTTATTATATCTTTACAACAAGCAAATCAAAAAATTCGCCATGAACGGGTCTCGATCGACTAACCTAGAGCATGGAAGCTAGGCACGTTAGCCATGAGGCTAACGTGCAACCGATACGAAAGGATAAAAGTATTATATATTTATACCGAGCGTCAATTCAAAATGATCTTCACTTTTGACTGCACGTAAATACAACTCGTCAGTTGTATCCAGAATAGATGAACGCCTATGGTACTAGTGAATAACCAAGTCCCAGGCGAGTGGTTCGCACCCCACCGTGATATGTTATTTTTGCTTTTTTAATACGACAGAAAGGAGCAAGGTCACTGGCATGTAGCGGTCCTGATATCGATACATTCTACACGCAATAAAACCAGATACCTGCGTGTGATTAAAACTACATGTTAGAGCGTCGATATCCTACAAATCCTATTTTTTCATAAAAATATTTTTTCATGAAATCCAATCGAAGGGTGAAGATAAAACGATCTTTTAGGTAAAACAGCTTTACATGATCTGGTGATGTGTTTTCATAACTTTTTTCATAAAAGACCATTCTCGGTTTGGAGAACAAAGTTCGTCACTCTAATTGAGCGTTATCCCTGCTTCGGACAAATTTGATTTTTTTACATAATATAGATTTGAATGTCTTCTTTTGAATAGTCATAGTTTAATTTGGGTAATATTTCTAGATTTTTCATATAAAAATTACTAGTGAAACACCCAACGTCGCTTTTATGATTCGTACCACTTTTTTAACTTGGTGTATTGCATATTTCCGTGGGTTGATTTGAAAAAAAGACAAACAACGTATACATGAATATGTCATAAGCATATAGTGAGATAATTGTTAGATTAGGTTTGCTATAAGTGACTTTAAAACAAAAAAATAAAAAACATTAGTTCACGTGTTAAAGTCCCATTGACCACGACATCAAGGAAAATTGAGCTTTTTGTCATCAGACATCTGAACATCTAAGATGTTATTTTTATTGATGAAAAGATTCTTACATACTAAAGTTACATTAAAATATCAATTGCAATAGCCACCTGTTTTTAACATCCCTTTGTCACTCATCCCTTAATTATCTCTGTGTATCTTAAACGTGTGTGTGTTCGATGTTGATAGCACCCGAGTGCAACCTAAGGAGCACATACAATACATTTTGTGTATGCCCAGTCTGGCCGCCTTATATCTGCCTGCACCGAGAAATGGGCGCAGCTTTGACAATTAACGAATCATATAACGATATCACGGATTTCACCGAATGTTATTCATCCCTAAATAGCTTTTTTATTTAGTCTTATGATCCGACTGATGTTTCAATTTTTTGCAGTGACTCTGAAATTGCTGCGCCAGATATGACATCACAGCGACTCATTTTCCTACATTTAAATCACTAAACTAAATCAATTGAAACATATTCATTAAAGAATGAGGACCTTGTATTTTACTTTGGACGAGGGTAGTGGCCATGTCTTGGCATGGCTAGTTGTGCATTAACGTTTGATACTGTTGTGCGGATAAAAATAATGAATATATGTTAAAGTAGCACTAAACAGATACTTTTAAAGTTAAAAGAATATAGTTACATTTAAAGAATGGGCCCAACGAATAGATATTGAATATAGGACTCGTTTGATGAAACGTTCGTTCTTTTAATTCTAATAAACCTAGAAATCAATCAACGATTAAGTAAATTGACAAGACTTCATGTTCAAGTTGGCTGAATTTCGTGTAACTTAACTCTGTTATGTTTCTAGATTTTACATATGGAGAACAGAATTCGAAATCATAATCACAATCGTATTTTAAGGCAAATAGGCCATGAATATGCTTTTAGTTACACGGTGGATGATCAAATTAACACATTTTGGATGTTGAATTTCATTTCAAGTTCATTCGAATTTACGCATTATCGTGGGAAAGCCCAT